GAGTCGGAGGCGCGATTGGAGGCAGGGGCCGAGGCGGAGGCGGGGGTGGGAGCGGAAGCAGGGCTAGGGTGGGGTTAGTGAGGTTAGAGAGGTTGAGGGATGGGAATGTGGGTCATGCAATGCCGCGATTCACGTGGCCCGGCGGTGGTTCGCAGGTCCCCAACCACACAGGCCAGAAGCGTGCCGGCAGCAACCCCCTGAATGGAGCTTGGGATGTGAGGCAGAGCCCACATGCAGAACCCTCCGCCACCCCACCACTCCGCCCCTCGGCCCTCCCTCCTCCCTCGCCTGACACCCCACATCATTTCGTGTACTACCCAGCACCCCTCCTAAGTCCTAACCCACCTATCCCCACCCCACCTCGCACCTACTGCACTGTGCAGGTACGTGTAGCCTCCTCTGGCTTTGCCCGTCTCCCACCTCCCTCATCCCTCCCACACACCCCTTCTTCACGCCCAACACCACCACCGTGGCGCCCACACAACACATGCCCGCTACCCACTTTGAGCTGGTGCCGATGGGCCCCCGCCGCGTCTTGAGGTCCAGAGCCAGCGTCATGCCGCCCACCGTCAGCGTGGGGGCGCGGCGGGCGGCGCGGCCCATCAGCGCGGCTAGCCCGCGCATGAAGCGCTCGCACATCTCCTGTGTGGAGGCGGGGGAGGCAGGAGCGCACGAGGTGTGGCGGGAGGCGGGGCAGGAGGCAGGCTAGCGGGGGAAGGTGCGGGTTAGGGTTGCATGATGAGAGGGGCAAGCAGGGCTCAGACAGCAGTTCATCACATCTGTGCAGGATGCACGTACTACCCGTAGCTCGTAGCGGCGCGGTGGTGTCCCTACCTCCATCCAGTGGGGCCCTACCTGGTGCACCTCGGGTGGTACGGGCGGTGGCTGCTGCGGCTGCTTCGCCGCCGCTGCCATGGAAGGCAGCAGCGGCAGCGGCGGTGGCGGCGACAACGGCGACTGCGGCAGCGGCTGCATGCCCCCCAGACCACCGCCGCCGCCGCCGCCGCCGTTGCTGGCTGCCCCGCTGTTGTTGTTGAGCATCAGCATGGGCGGTACGTGGGGGCTGCGCTGAGGGGGCAGCAGCAGCTGCTGCTGCAGCTGCTGCTGCTGCTGCTGGCCGGGCGATGTGGGCTCCAGGTGGAACGGTGGCGGCTGATGTTGGGGGTGCTGGGGGTGCTGCGGTTGGTGGGGGGCGTGGTGTGTGTGCGTGCGGGTGTGGGGGTGCTGCTGATGTGGGTTGTGGGTTGAGGGTGAGTGCGGCATGGGCAGCATCTGCGGCTGCTGCTGCGGGTGCTGGCGCTGGAGTGGCGAATGCTGGAGGGGGTGCTGCTGCTGCTGCGGCGGCGGCGGAGGCGGCGGAGGCGGCGGGTTGGAATGTCGGTGGTGGTGGTGGTGGTGTGGATGCTGGTGGTGATGCTGCTGTTGATGCTGCTGCTGGTGGTGGCACGACGAAGGGCCGCCACCATCGCCGGCGTCGCCGACGGCCACCGTGACAATCGTACCGAAGGATTGCTGCTGCGGCGGCTGTTGTTGTTGCTGGTGTGGCGGCGGGAAGGCAGATCGCTGCTGCTGCTGCATGTCTGTCGCGACGCCGCCGCTGCCGTCGCCCGGAGTCGACGGCGGAGGTCCGTACGCCGCGCCCGCCGAAGCCGAGGTGTACGGATGCTGCTGCTGCTGCTGCTGCGGGTACGGATAATGGCTGTCGGCACCGTGAGGGCCAGAGGGGCCTCCCAAGGCGCCACTCGACGTCCTGGGAACGGGACCGCCGGTCCCGCCACCGCCGCCGCCGCCGTTCCGAGCCGCGCCGTTAACGGCTTCAAACTCGACTAGCGCCGCCGCGGCGGCGGCGGCAGCCCTCTCGACGTCAGACATCCGGCTGCCTAAGCGGCCGGGCGTGCCGCCGCCGCCGCCGGTCATGCAACTGCCACCGCTGGCGCTGCCGCTGCCGTCCCTAGCCCGGTAGCCCAGCTGTGACGGCGATTGCGGGGGCGGCTGCTGCGCGTACCTCTGGTACGACACGCCGCCACTCGAGTGGTTTGGATGTGTGCGGTGGTACTGCTGCTGATGGTGTTGCTGATGGTGTTGCTGCGAAGGTGACTGTGCCACCGCCGAGCGCTGCTGCTGCCGCTGCTGCATTTGCTGCGTCAGCTGCTGTGGGCTGAGCGACTGCGCAAACGATGAAGCACGGCGACCCCCCGCCCAGATCTCGCCTGCCGAAGTTAGCGGCTCAGGAACAAAGTTCGCAGCACCTGCTGGGTGAGTCTGGCTTCCTGAGCCATAGCCTACCTCTCCTGGGCTGTTTCGGGGCGCAGGTATGGCAGTTGCGATGACCGTTGATGTCGCTGCCTCGGCGCTTCCTGCAGATTTGAGCTGTGGTGTTGGTGGTCTCGCGCCGCTCAGTTGTTGCGGCACTTCTGCGGCTGGGAGAGGCTGCTGCTGGTCATCCATTTTCCTTCGCTAGCCTTGATTGCTGCCTTGACTGTTGTCGAAAAGAGCAGGAATAACACACGGAAGCGCCGCCGGAAGTAAACAGCCGAGCTCACCAGGCGCAAAGCACCCGCTGCGCAGGATACGTTTTGATTATGGCGAGGAAGAGAGCCGGTCTGTGGCCTTCTCGTTGCAAGAGCAGCTTTTGACCTGAGACGTGTTGTGGAAGGGTACACAGGCAGGAAGAGGCGTGCGCCGTCACAAGAACTGCAGACCGACAGGAAGGAGCACCTGGTCGAACTGGTAACTACTAGGTTACAGGAAATGTTTTGTTGTAGGGAAAATAGGGCAAATAGACAAGGGCAGCAGCCAAAAGGAGAAAGCCGGTACGCAGGTACAGTACTGATCTCACGAAATCTCCAAAGATTTTCCTTCCTAGTGGCTGTCTTATGAAATGCCTTGGCCGCTCCCGACCCAAATCTGTCAATAGCGGAAAGCCGACTCTATTCAATTCCAGCTGTACATGGCGAGCCTAACAGCCCTAGCAGGCATGTGGCGGCGTGCTCCTGGCCTCGCGTAAGGTCACGTGCCAGGACAGAGTCGAAAGTAAACGCTACCCACAGGTAAATGGCCGTTGCCTACCTGTGCTTACGACAGAAATGCCCTTTACGGTGTGTAGTCAGGCTTGTGGGGTCCACACAGAACAAGCGCAACAAGGTTGTCGACTCGAACAAGAGAACGGCTGCTTTTATATTAGTGCGAAGGCCTAAACGCCTTTCGCTAGCTCTACACACGCTTAGTGCTGCAGGTAAGTTAACTTGATTGATAGGAAACTATTTGACCAGCCAAGGGACGAGCTTTGGGCGTTCAAACCGAGAAAAAGCTTCAGTGCGACCCATGGGTCTGCATTCTGTGCTCGATGTAATAGCCGGTTTCTTATATGCAACTCTGCAAGCACTAAGCAGCTATAATGTTGCGTAAAAGCATATGAAGCATGAACAAGCACCAAGGCTGCATGGAGGTGATCACGAAAGCTGTCACGTACAGCGTCCAAGGGACTTGATGCTTGTCAGTCGGCACTACAGAAGTCATGCGAAGCTGACATGCCCGGCAAACGAAGTCTTGTGCATCGAGCGCGCGGCATATATCGGCCATGCAGCTCTTCATCTCCAGTCCAATAGCGGGTGTTCTCTGCTGTCATAGCCTTCGATGTCGGCGCGACATTGCGAAGGCAACCTGAAAGCAACGACTGTGCACACGTCAGCAGCCCTCCCTCCATCCTCAACTCCAGCACCAGCAAACCCTCGAAGGCTAGCACAAATTATACCAGCTTGCAATGCCCAACGCGCACGCTCTACTGGGCAATTGTGAACAGGTTACTATAACCAGAACCCTGCATGACCCTTACCGCATATGGTGTTGTATGGGGCTGGGCACCCCTACCAACTGATATACATCGCCTCTGCAATCTGCCTCCGATCCCTTCTTATGGGGGTCCTTTCAGCTCCATGTTGTGAAAGTGTCAGCTGCTAGACAGCTGCAATAGTTAAGGATTGGTTCATAATGGGCAAACACTTGTGTCAAGCGAAACACCAGGCGGAACAAGTGTGTTAACCAATTGCAGCGAAGGCGTGTTAGCCTATTGTAGTAGTGTTGTCCTTGCTACCTTTGGCTTCCCGCTTGGGGAGGTTTTGCGTTGGAAGCGGCTTTGGAAAGCCGCCCTCGGATTTGGACGAGTGCCCCTATGCCCTAATGTCTTCCAAGGGAAATGGAAAGTCTGGCACACTGCTCAGCATAGCGGGGTACTTCTCGTGCAACGTGTCTTTCGTCATCAGTAGGCTGCAACGCCATCCCGCATCATACCATACGACTTCGCTATAGAACTTTCCTCTCGGACACTGATCGGTTGAACCGTGTCTGAGCCATTGCATGTGGTGGAGAGCACACTTCTTTTAGCTGTATGGATGGAGCAATGGCCATGGGCTCACCTTGTGCCCACGGCCATTGCTGCCCATCCTTGCTGCGACTTTTGCTGAATGGAGCTGCAATATAGCTAGTGCATTGACCATCGAAATGGGATCGTGCACTCCATCTAGCGTGTCGATGTGGGGCGTCAACACGATGAACACCTATCCCGCCCTGGGCCTACATGCGCGTGGATAATATTCATGTTTCTCCTGCTCTGCATCTCGGGATTTATTTAGATGCCAGACGGCGATAGCCTTGCTTCAATTGTCCGTGGAAGAATCGTTGAGGAATAACGGTTGCATCGCCTATTGTAAGAGAACATATAACCCCTGAAATTGTCGCACTGTAGGGTATGCACACAGCTTGCAGTTACACTCTCTGCCCTTCTAACATAGAAACGTTCGTGAGGAATCGGAAAAATTGTGAATTTCAAAGGACTGTTGGTAGTATGAGTAACACGGTCTACGCCTTTGTAAAATGCCAGCCCGTTGGTTCTTGCCTCGTTTAATCTCACCTGTCTAGGGTTCTCCGTTCTTTGGCTCCGAAACTCCGTGCTGTGCCCCAGCATTTCATGCTGTGCCCCTCCAACGCCTCAAGGCAAATAGATCGGCAATAGTTAAGTGCAATCACTTCTGCCTCTATGCCATAAGTTGAAGTGTAGACACGGAGCCGTAGTCTAGCGTTGGGAGTGTTTGAACCAAGATTGGTGCAAGCCTTTGTAGTTTGTTCAATTCTTCGGAACGATGAACTACGGAAACTATGGAGACGCAGGCGCTAGCCAGTTTGGAGGCGGCGGTTTTATGCCAAGGTGCGCGGACGTAGGATGGCGGGAAGTTCTTTTCGCAAGCTTCCCCTTACCATGGAACGCTTTTTGCGACGTTCAGCCCGGCGCCAGGCCAGGATAACCAGTATGGTGGAGGCGGTGGCGGCCAGCAGAAGGTTGGTACCAGCCATTCCACATTCGAAATGTGCTTACCCGCCCTGCTGTGCATATCAGAGGCAACGAACTTCGGATGTAGCGCATGCTGGTGCTTACGTTGTGAACGTTTGCAGGGTCGGAATCAGCACAGCTCCCTGCGGGCCTTCACGATTAGGCAACTGCTGAAGGTGCGTCATGAAACGGTGTATCAGCCACTGCGCCCCGCGGCCCCACTGCTTGCTCTGATCTTCGCACGGTTCAGCTGCTATCGTGTTAACTACCGTTGGTTTGAAGCTTGTAGTTGATGCCTGAAGTGGCCAACCCCCAAACCCCTTTCCCTACAGGAGACCGCAAATGGGGACGACGAGCGACACATGGCTGACGGCCATGAGATTTCCACGGTAGGCCGTCCATGTGTTCCCTGTTACCTGTGGGCTTTTCGAGTCTGTGGCAATGAGGCTCCGAGGCTGCAGCTTCAAGGCATACCCCTCAAATGATAGAGTGCACAGAATGATAAGCATGTGTCCATCAAGCTTCCTCCGCTGCTGCCTTGCTTTCCGCTGCATGCGCCCGCAGGTGACCATTGTCGGTCGCGTCACCTCGTACCAGGAGCAGGCCACACGCGTCATCCTGCAGGTGCACGACGGGACCTCCGCCATGGAGGTGTGCAGCTGGATCGACGACGCGGATGCGCACGTGAGTCGGTTGGGTCGGTAAGAACTTGAGTATCGTAATCGGACGTACAGGCCTGCCGGAAAGATCATATGGTGCTGTACAACACAAAGTACTGACCACGTTAACTCATAAAATAATGAGTCCAAATTGTTGCTGCTCCCATGCGTTTGTGCGGTGCGCAGGCACAGAAGCGGATCGACTGGCAGGCCGGGAAGTACGTGCGAGTATACGGCAACATAAAGTCATTTGAGCGGAAGCGCAGCATCACCGCGTTCGCGGTTAAGCCCGTCACAGACCACAACGAGGTACGCCTTTGGTCATGTTTCCCTCAGCAGCTAATGGTCCTGGTAATTCCACCCTCGACCGCCTCACAAAGTCGCCGCTGCCTTGTGCCTTTCCAGGCGACTCCTCAACTTCATCTATGCCTTACACCTTTGCGCACACCATACCTGTGTTGTCGGTGCTCCCTCGCAGGTCACCTACCACTTCTTGCAGACCATCATGCAGCACCTGCACCTCACCAAGGGGGCGCCCCCCACCGGCCAGCAGCAGGGCGCTGGGGGCCCGGCGGGAGGCAGGACGCCGGGGGCCCCCGGGGCCTATGGCGCGGCACCAGGTGGGTTGGCAATGGCAACGGCCTTGTACTGGCAATGCGGTAGACCCACCTGCAAGCAGTGCTTTGCACGCTACGCTGTGATGGAGGAGACATGACACGAGGTGGCTCCTCCTGTTTGTACAGGCGCGTACGGCGGCGTGCAGCAGGGCGGGATGTACGGCAGCGCGGCGTCGGCGCCAGCGGGTAAGGTGGCATCCATGATGTAGCGTAGAGAAAGTGTGGGGGTCGTTTTAGGGCACTGTGCGCCTTGGTTGCGCTGTTCCTGGAGCCGACTAGGACTGCCCTCCATGCTCCGCTACATATCCCTTATCGGCTTATCCCTTCTTGCCCACCCCCACCTGCATCCCTGCACTTAACATGGCTGCTGTGTGCGGGATCCATCCCCCATCAGGCGGCGGCATCAACGAGGACGTGAAGCACGTGTACAACCTGCCTCACGCGCAGCAGGCTCCCAGCGGCCTCAGCGTGGAGCAGGCCTTCAACGAGCTACGCGGCATGGGGCGCGGCTACACCATGCAGCAAGTCATGCAGGTGCGCCCCCCCCCTCCTGCGGTGGTTGAGGACTGACTGCTTGCCGTATTGCACACATGAGGCCGTAGGGATGGCGCAGATATGGCATCGTCCGTCCTCCAGCCGCGTCCGTGTTGATTTGCTATTGCTGGAGACATTCATGGGCAGCACTGCCGGTTGCATATTGGCGTCTAACCCTGAGGGTCTTTATGGTATGTGTGTGCCATGCGTGTTGCTTGCAGGCTTGCGAGTACTTGGCGGCGGAGGGGGTGCTGTACAGCACTGTCAACGACACCACCTACAAGTCTACGGGAGCTTGAGCGGAATGGAAGCGTTGTCACGGCTCGTTGCTGGCGTCTACAATTAGTTGTTGATCCTTGCTAAACTGCAGCATGGTTGGATTCTGTGGCGGTGTGTGCGTTACTTAGCTGTGTGCTAGGGAGCTGACAGCGGCTGCGGATGTGGGGTTTAATGCGTTTGGAATGTGGGGTTCTGAAAGGCCCATGTTGGATAGGACTAGCAGCAATGGCCCCTTCATAAGGGCTTTGCCACAGCCAACCGCTACCGGGTTCGTGTGCGTTAGCTGTCAGTACCCAAACCGCAGAGTTGGGCCTTGATACGTCGAGGTTATCCTGGACTACCGTAGTTACGAAAGGTGTACTCGGAAGGACTTGCCAAGGCAAGGAAAATCATGCTCGTGGGTGTTGTGAGATCCAGGCCGATCAGGGCGTTTGCATGGAGCTTGGGGGTTGCGGCCCTCTCCAACAGGCCGCTAAGTGTGGCATAAAGGGATAGGATGCAAATTGACGGTCCGCATACGGGCTTTCAGCCTAAGTTGTTTATGCAATATCGTGGCCATAAAAGGCTCGTGCTCGTTCCTGATTCCTACGAAGTTGACCGCATGGAGGGTCGTATGGCGGTTGAAAGGAAGCTGCCGAACTCCCCCGCCCTCAACCGGCAACGGGCCATCCGTTTGGCATCGAACCCCTTGGTTCCGAATATGTGTGCGGCTTCTTCACAAGGTCAGTGGGATTCTGCTGCAAACTCCGGGCAGAACAAAACTGTACCTACCATTTCGGGTCAAGGCACACGATTATGCTTGGAGAAATGTCTGCAGTAAAGGTCGGCGCTTGCCATGGCGCTTCCTTGCGTTAGGCATCCAGTACAGGCGGGCTGTACTTCGACGGTAGAACTGTCAAGGGCTTCCAGACTGCATCAAGGCTAGGACATTTAAAAGTACTTGAGCAAGGTGTTCTGCTGTCAATTGGGCACAGCTGCCGTTAAGATGCGACTGCTTGGAGCAACATGATCGTAACCCATTTGTAAGTTGTACGAGAACGGTGGTTAGTTCCTTTTATGCTCAGGAGCTGAAATGTTCGTGTACAGTAATAGTCAATAATTACAGGCCTACAGCAACTTACTTTGGTCGCTTTACTTTGTTCAAGAAATCGTCGCTTAAGGCATTCGGTCATCGGTCGTCAAGTTGTCGCGGAATCATCCAGGTAAGCTATTGCTAGCTCGCTTAGATATGCACAGTGTGATTGTGCTTACTGTCAGCGTTTGTTTGGGACGTGCGCGGCAAGGAAGCTTGCCGTCGCCACATGGCATGGTAAAGAGCATTTAGGCAACGGACGAACCAATAGCGAATCCGTAAGTCACTACTTGCTCATTGACTGTTGCTTTAGTTTCCTTCCTGGTTTGTCTGTAAACGCTGCCGGTCTTACATTTCGGCTTGGAATGGTTCGGAAAGTCGCGGTTGGGCTTAGTGGCCGGTCTTGTCATCGATTTTGGCTTACTTAAGCTTTCGCGTTGCAACTCTGAACTACGTAACAAATTGCGCTCCTCGCTTACAACAGGCGTTGCAAGCAGGTACAACTACCTGTACTTCCCACCGTTTGTGCCTACCTACGCCACTCAGCTTACACCCACTCTTGCCGAATCACCCACCTCTGGTCTCCTTCCGCAGCCATGCGCGCCCCCATACGCGCCCTGTTAGCGCTGCTGCTGGCAGCGGCCCTGGCCGCCCCAGCGCTTGCTGCCCGCAGCACCGGCATCCTGGTGCAGGAAGGTAAGGGGCGGGGCGCTCACTGCAACCGCCTGCTTGCCTTGCGACTCCGTTCCGTGTCATGCATTTGGCATTTTTTAGGCCTTCGTGGTGGGCCGATTCATCTTCCTTAGTTATTCTATGTCGCCGCTTGCGGTTGCGGTCCAAAGTTACGGTCTGAAACTTGACCCCGCACAACATGACCACATTCCAACGCGAGTTTTCCCTTTCCCGGATTTTAGTCGAGGTTATCTCCAAGCGCGATGGCTGCAAGAGTGATGGAGATTGCAACCGCTCTGAGGGTAAGGGCAGGGAACGACGCTTAACTTATGGCAGCCGTACCGGAAGCCCTCACGGCTTTTCGATCCGTTTCCTTCTAGTTGATGTCTTTTTACATGCGTACGCATGCACTCCATCCCGGCAACTGCTGAGCATGTTACCAGTCGCATTCCTCCTTGCACGCTATTAATGTGCTGTCCTCCGCCGTAAGCACACCTGCAAACACACCTCTTGACTTGCCCCCTCCTCTTGCACATGGCTACAAAGCCTTTGCGGCTGCGGCCGCTGTTCCATCCAGTCACAAGAGTCACATCCCGTGCCGCCTCCTTGCCACCCTTGCCATCCGCGCCTGCTCTGTCCTGTCCTCTCTTGCAGCCTGCATCAAGGGCGAGTGCCTGAGGCTCAAGGACGATGGCGAGGTCTGCAAGGCCGACCAAGAGTGCATCTCGGGCACCTGCCAGACCAGCTGGTGGCCCGCCGGCTCGGTGTGCGTCACAACGTGAGTCGCGGGCAGCAGACAGCCTTCGAGCAGCGGGCTTCGGAGAGATAGAGGGAACGAAGCAGTATAGCGGACAGCCAGGAAGCGGTACACCTGCTCTGAAGCCTTACTCTATGCGCACAAGGCGTAGGGCTTAGGGCAGGGCATAGGGCATGGACCTTTCAGGATTCCTGCTAACGGATCGACCCTGTCAGCCAACCAGCCTCCCTTGCTTGCCGTTCCCTTTCCGCTCCCAATCCGCTGCTCCCTGTCTCCCTGCAGCTGCGATGATTCCAAGGAGTGCCCCGAGAGCCACCCCATCTGCAACACCTCGCCCTTCGGCACCGGCTCGCGTTCTGGCGGCTGGGGCATGGGCGGCATGATGCAGTGGGCTGACAGGCAGGAGGAGGAGGAGGAGGAGGACGAGGAACACGCACGTGAGGAGGACGAGGAAGTCGAGGTGGAGGACGAGGATGGTAAGGGAGGAGGAGGAGGAGGGGTACCGTGATGGGCTGAGAGCTGCGAGTGCAGGGCGCAGTGCTCGGCGGGGATGCTTTCGAGGACTTGCGGTATAGGATTCAGACCCCGGTGCTAGACTGCTCTTTCACTCCAGGCGCCTGAACCTGTCTTGCGTGCACTTGATTGTAGATGAGGACGATGAGGACGACGTCGAGGATGATGCGGATGACCAGGATGGAGGTGCGTTCCGCGGTGTTTTGGCGACCTCGGGATGCGAACCCGATGCATGTGGAGGCCTTGGGGTGGACCACCAACATGCTGTCACGCACCGCAACAACCACAATCATCTTCTGCTCCTACCGGTATACCCCTCCGCATGGCGCCCAGGGCTCATGTACATCTCCACGTTCCCTGACGCCGCTGCTGCTGCTGCTGCACCACGTAACCAACACACCGCCCCGCTCCCCTCGTTCCCTTCACCCCTGTGTCTCTTACCTGATGCCTTCAACCCTAACATCCATTCATCCCTTCCATCCTCGATTGTACACCGCACAGGCAACACCCAGAAGCGTCGTCAGGCCCTGGTTAACTCCGCAGCCTTCGGCCAGCAGCGCGCCCGCAGCAGCGTTGACCGCAGCGCCAGCGCCGCCATGAACAAGGCTATGCGCGATGCCGGCATGTCGGGCGGCATGGCTTCAGGCCAGCAGGTGGGAGGGGGGGGCTGCTCCCTGTTTTTCTTACTTGTAAGAAATACCTAATGCGTAAGAGTATATAGTAGTGTATAATAGCGTGTAAAGTGTGTAGTAGAGTATTGATGAATAACGGTACGATGCCATGGTGAAAGCAGGGGACGTATTCCTGCCTTGCGTGGTGCACCGGATGTGTACGTGCATGCTGTTCTTGAGGAGCTCCTCATCGGCAACAGGCGCCCCCTACCTCCCCCTTGCTACGGTACCACCGGCACCCACTCCATGCATGCATGGTACGCGCCGTGTGCACCCACAGGTTGATGTGGAGCAGATGAACCAAGCTATGAGCCAGCCGGGAGTGGTGGAGGAGATGGCGGAGGCCATGACCGAGAGCGGCGTGCCGGGTGCAGGAGCCATGGCCCAGGCAATGAGCAGCGGCGTTGCGGGAGAGATGATGGAGGGTAGCGGCGTGGCGGGAGGAGCTGCTAGGGGTGCCGGCTTTGGGAGCGAGATGATGAACGGCGGTGGGGCGCAGAGGAAGAAGGCGCCCTGCAACAATGGTGGCAGGTGAGGAAGGGGGGTGGATGTAAGGGAGACATTGTCCACGTGTGTTGCACCTGTTGCCGAACGCTGGCGCTCACTTCCAAGCTGCCTAGCGACCAAGCAAGTACCTCCTGCTGTCCAGCGCTGCCGTGTGTAAACTGTAGAGGCAGGCTCGAAGGCTCTGATGGCGCTTCTCTTTACTCCCGTCCCCGCACTCACCCATGACGTCCCGGTGCGCCCCTTACGGCCTGCTGTTGCCCTGCCAGGCGTCGTGCTATTGAGTCCGAAAAGAAGAAGGCTGGCCGCTGCGTTCAGTGCATGGAGGTAAGCGCATGCATGGGGGTGCACCATGCATGGATGTCACGCGCTCATTGCTCTTTGTAGTTCACAAGTTGGAGAATAGGAGTTGCGGTCAAGGCCAAAGTTAATCCTTGAGGCTCTGTGTTTGCTCAACAGCGGCCTCCGTCGCACGGGTCCACCTTCCAGTAGGCTCCCTCCCAGATAGACCCTACCTTTCGAGGTATGGCCTACTCATCATGCACACCGCCCCGCTGTGCCGCCGTATCACAACAGGACAAGGACTGTGATGACGGCTTCTACTGCGAGCGCAGCTACAAGAAGAACGGCCGCACATGCCTGGTGAGACCCTTCTCTTGTGCCTGGGGTGCGGGGCAGGGGCGTTTCGGGGACGGCCTAGTAAGGGCTTGCCAGCACCCGCTTGGACCCCTTAGGCCTCCTCACAGCTTGCAGCGGCTGCCAAGCGGGGACCATACTAAGCAGGAAGGAGGGGTTTCCAGATCCAATCGTCGTTTTGCTCTCCAAGTCGACTACCGGTACCCATGTACGCTTGCAGCGACCGGGCATGCAGCCTGACCCACGGGTCTCTTTCCCTTCAGCCATGCGGCTCATACTAACATACCAGACCCCCTTCCCTTATGTCGTACCATCCCGTACGCCCTCCCTACACTAGAAGAGTAGCTGCCATCAACTCCCATACCATGCATGGCGAAGTACGGCCAGGCTTTCTCGCTTGCTGCTGTTCCGCATCCCATACCTTACTCGCTCCCTTGCCTAGCCTACCAGCTTCCATAGAAGCCAGCACTCACACACTCGCACTAATGCTGTGTTCTTCCCCCCGTTGCATGCATGCACACCCGCATGCAGAAGTACGGCCCTCGCTGCGAGTCGTTCGGCGATTGCCGCATGGGCGAGTACTGTGACAGTGGCGCCCAGCGCTGCAGGCCCTATGCCTTCTGCGGCGCGTTCAAGAGCATGATGGGGGGCTTTTAGGGGAGCCCTGGGAACCAAGGTGCCCACAACCCGAGCCACGGTGAAGATGGGTTTGGGCATGCGCAGCCTTGCCAGGCATCCTTGCAAGATGCCCGGTTGGCTGTTGGGTCCCGCTCTCCTTACAGTTGCTGGGTGGTTACAGCAGGGTGATCTTTGCCAAACCCCCAGGTGCCTGAGTTGCTGAGAGGTAATCGCATGTGCGTGGTTATGTCCTGTCCTTAGACTCGGTTTGATGCCTGCCGAGCAGCTTTTAGCGAGTTGCACGTCAAGCGATGGCTAACGTTAGACAAGTTGTGAGTTAATGGGGGTTAGCTTGATTGCAGATTAGTTGTGGGCAGCAAAGTATGTGTAAGGGTAAGTTTGACCGATAGCCAGCATGCGTAGTTGTGTTGCCAAGAACGGTATTCAAGCATGTTGGGTGTTTGCTTTGCAGGAGTTAGCGAGACGGGAGCGAGTACTGGTACTTGCACTCGCTATGCACTCGCTGAAGCCTTGTAAGTTTCAGTATATTGTATCTTGAGCTTCCGGCAGCGATGGTCACCCTGAACCCCCTCGGGGTTCTGCACCCTTGGTAGGTGCGGTTTGCTTCCCCACGGGCTCGCTGCTGGTTGATGCTGCGGACTTTGCAGGTCCCTCTTTGGGAACGCAACAACACGGTTGCTGCCGCGCATGAGCCTGACAGCTGCTTTGCCGGTCTTCAATTTATTGGGACCAACAGATCCTCGTACGGCAGCTGTTCAACACCCCATGGATACGCGCTGGTGAAAGCTTTTAACGTAAATCTTGGTACTACTGTTTCCTGCATGTTGCAACTGCTGTATAGGGCGAAGCATACGCCGGCCACCCCAAGAACAAGAATCCGTCCCCAAGTCCTGTTCTGCGCTCGCAATAGTAGATCGTGAATAGTAAAACTTTAAAAACATCATAATGCTTTAGGGCTATGCTGACATCACTATCCTTCCAGCAATACACCCTTGTAGTTTTCGAGTAAAGCGGTGCAACTTGCCGCACGAATGGCGCTTAAGTGGGCCTTTAGGCACAGCCCTCGGCAGATTACTTGTTTGCATAGAACGGCCGTATGGATAGGGCAACCTCGGAGCACATCGGCGCGACGACGGTGTACAGCTGCATCGGAAGCAGCAGCTCACGCAGAACCTTTAGATGAAGGCTGTGTTGTGGACTGGGACTATGTGGGGGAGGGCACTCCCGATGCAGCAATTGCGGAGGCTTGGGACTACAGGCACATGGATGAGACGGTTGTAGAGGCCAACCTTGCCGACGCGGAGGCGTACCGCATGCTAGTGCTGCGTCTACCTAAGACCCTGCCTAACATAAAAGACTTGCGCGCCTTCCGCGACAACGTGACTAGGAAGCTCGCGCCCGCAATAGCACGGGCATTGTTCGCCCAGCTAAGCTGCGCTGGGGGCGCCGCGGAGCTTGTTGCGGGCTTAGCTGCTTTCGCTAGCTACCATCTTTCTAGCTTCATCGTGGACCGGCCCACCGCTATCCCGCTGTTTTCTGGAGCGTCGTCAGGCCCGTCGGGTGGCGCAACACCCGGGTTAACACAACACACCGCGCACGCAACTTCAAACAGCGGAAGCGCTGTGCATGGTGTGTCTCAGACCCAGACGACGAACGCTGCTGAGCACTTTTCAGGAGCTGTGCCCGACTTGGGTGAACACAGCCTGCCTGCGCACCTGGGGAGGCGCCGCCGGTGGGGCAACCGGGGGTCCTCCCGAAGGTCCCTGGCAGGTGCGGGTCGAAGGGGCCTTATGGATAGCGACGAGGCTACGGACGTGGGGTAGTACAGGCTACGGGTATGGGCTGGTACAGTCATGCCGTAGGACAGGGGGTTCACGACACCCCAGGGGGCATCCGCGGTTAGATGTGTTGTTGGCACGTCGGGGTTTCGATGGTGTTGAAGTAGGATGCTAGAACAGCCTGAAATTGGTACCATGTACCGGTGAACCGGTATGGGACGCACAGCATCGGTTTGAAGAAGAAGAAATACACGAAGAACGCTGAGAGGACGATCATGTTTCCCGAGAGACATAGCTAGGAGAGTCTTTGGATGTTTGGTGGTTTCGTTGTGCATGCTATTTGCTCGGGACGGAAGAACAGAGCAATGCTGCAACAAATTTTGTTCTGCCCTGCTGCTTAGTCAGTTAACATGCAGTTGGTGTATCTAAGAACTGTGTTGCGAGAGTTGTATGGGTGCCCTCAACAAACGCCACCAAGGGGTGTGCCTCGTTGGTGCACGTGCTTTGCATTGTCGCTATTGTCGTTGGAAACATGTGCATATGCGGGTTATGTGTATATTTCAGATTACTGATCAAGTAAAGTGTCTACCTTTGAGGAGCATGCCGCAGTGGCTGTACGACTCTTACCTTGAACCCTTGATGGATTGGCAAAATCGATAGTTGTGCGAGGTAGGCGGGCTTTGCTTGACCTTACGAGTCCAACAGTGCCTAGCGAACGAGGTCGGCAGCAGCAGAGCGCGAGGTAGGGTACGCGGCTGCTAATTCAGTGATGCATTTGGCACGGTTAGCAAGTTGCTGAGAGCCGTTGACTGGAGGCTACTCTCAAGGGATGGTCGTAAGTGGCTCCGTGAGCACCATTTTTTACTCGTTTCATGTACGTGTTCCCCGGGTGCATTGGCGTTGGTATCGCAGCATGTGTGCCCCTTGAAACACCCGCTGGCCGTGGCTCTTTTCTACCGGTGTCCATTAGTGTCCCATGGGTCGGGGCTATTGCTCCATGTTGTTGTATTGCTTTTGCAACGGCATGGGCCGTCGGTTACAGCTGCACAGCCCTGATCAGGCGCCTGCTGTATATATATAGTTGAAGGTTCGTGATACAGCCCCACCATTAGGGCACTACCATTGAGGGAGTTTCTCGGCCATCCTGTGCCCACATGACTGCGTGATCACAGTCCCGGAAATCTCAGCCCCCTAGCATAGAAGCTAGGTTAACAGAAGCGTGGAGCATCCCGTATGCTCCGATGTATTCCTTGTGTCCCCTGCAAGTTGCGGGCAAGGGGTTTGATGGCGCCAAAAATAGGGCACCGGCTCGTAAAGCTTGCAGGTTACGATCAGGGAATGGACTACATTTGGGGAGCCAGGGAGTTGAACCCATCAGCGTCGCGAGTTTACAAGCGTCATATCCTTGCTGGATTAGACGCTGAGCTAGGTATATAAAGGAGTTTTCCAGGTCCGTTCGGCAATTCTATCGGTATTGCTAGTTGCCGCTCACAAGACGAATGGCACGGAAGACAGACGTTTTCTGTTTGCTCTAGTTGATGGTAAAAGCACAGACGCGGACCGTAGAGAAGATCAGGAAATGCGACTGGGCACCGTTGGCGCGTTGGGTAGCAGTTTTGGAGCCTTCAGAAAGCCAATCCATTCTTGTATATTATTCTTCCCTTCTCCGACAGAGCAAATGCACTTGTAGCAGCACTGCTACTTGTAGCACCAAAGTCGGAGATCGTGTTGGACGTGCAACCCTAACTGCATCCTCATGTGGTAGTGTTGTAGCTGATTAATATTGTGCGGGAGTCTCACGTCTGTGTCTTATAATAATATGGGCACAACGCATTCATCGCTTGAGCAGGGCATTACAACTGTCGTCGCTCCGAGCCCGGACCCTGATGACACCGAGGGCGCCAGCCAAGAGGCACATGAAGAGACACTCCAAGCTCTTCGGGAGGTTGAGCGGCATCTGGCTTGCTTAGGTGCCCAGCTGAGGCAGCTTCAGGAGGTAAGGACCTAAAGAAGAAGCCATTCGCTTTGCTGCGCAGTAGGCAAGTCGGTACATGCACTGGGCAGCTTGCTCCCTTTCCTCGGCCTCTCAATCCTATTGCATTTCATGCATACTTTGTAAACAGGGCGTACTTAAGCAGGGGCGTTGGTGTCTGCAGGGAACAAGTACGGCAGTCGGTACAACATTTGAAACGACATCAGCACCCGCCAGACCACCACAAAACGGTTTGTACGACACAACCACTGCTTCTATAAGTACCACCAACACCGCCGCTAGCACCTCCCGCCCGGCCCGACCTCCAACGCCATCCCGCGTAGCTGCCAGTAATACCGACTGGCTGGGCATTGCAACGTACCTATCCGAGGGTGACTCAGCATCCCAAGGTACCGTACGGCCTCCGCTGCACTGCCGCATTATATACTTCCTCCTCCGTACACCTGCATCTTCGCGCATGCATGCAGGGTAGCCTGCTGGCTACTTACCTCCTCGCCGCTCCTTCACCCGCGCCAGGAAACCTAGCCACTTCCCGTTGCCCAAGTGTGCACCACCCATGCACACGGACTCTCCTCCCTCCCATGCACCCATGCACCTCACATGCTGCCACCCACCTGACACCCCCCTAACTCCCCCTTGCCAATCCCCCCACCCCCCAACTTGTTTTTGTGGCACCCTGCCGCTCCTATCCCCATTGTTTTGCCCCAACCTGTGGCTTCCTATGGTTCGGTATGGTCTTTGACCCCCCCAACTACCAATCCCCGCTCATCTCACCACTGCCCCCCGCACCTCCTCTTCCTCCGCCTCCGCCTCCCCCAGCCGCCTGCCGCCTGCGCAGCGAGCTGCTCTCCGCGCTGTGCGCCCACAGGCGCCTGCTGGCGGCACAGGAGGCGGCGGCCGCGGGGCGCCAACAGAAGCTGCTGCGGCAGCTGGCAGAGGCGGAGGCGGCGGTGGAGGCCGGCGTGAGAGCCGCCAGCAGGCGGGCGCATGGAGGCAGCAAGAGGTGGGGATTGGGGAAGGCGGTGTCGGGGAGAGAGGTGCAGAGAGAACACAGGACCATTGAGATGGTACAGGACCATTTGGAGCATGAGTTGGTGGGGTGGTAGGGGTGCGTTGACAGGCGGTAGCGTTGGAAAGAGCGCTGTCTAGGTGGCCGCGATGCTGAGGGGAGACGGGGAAAACCGGTTGGAGAGGCAGCCGTTCGCTGCGGCAGTGTTGTGACGGCCTGCAGCCGCATGGAGCACAAACCTGCGTGCCGGCCGACACGCAGCAAGTGTCACCCACCACCCAGCACATGCGGCTCCACTGAGGCTCTCTCACATCCCCGCCACATGCCCCTCCGCCCCCTTCCTTTTACCGTACTTTACCTCCTTGCACCACTTCCTGCCTCGCCGCAGCCTGCCCTCTCCTCGACTGCCGTCCTCCTCCTCCTCGCCTCCCTCCCCCTCCGCTGCTGCTGCCTCCGCGGCCCTGCCTGCTGACTGGCAGGCCTCGCTGGCCCCGCTGGCAGCCGCTGCGGAGGCGCTGGCGAGCCGGGCGGAGGCGGTGGCGGCGGATCTGGAGCGATGCCGGGGGGCGTTGCGGGCCAGGAGGGGGGCGGCAGGGCAGCAGCAGGGGGGAGGCGCCTAGCAGCAGGAGGGGCGGGGACTGTGCATGCAGCGGGGAGGAGGTTGGGGGGAAACATTCCAAAGTGTGGTGTAACAATGATACAAGTTGCTGGCAATCCCTGGTGGAATCAACCGGAGGTTGGGGGAGGGCGCCAGGCGGCAGTGCTTGCAGTAGCGGCAGCGGTGGCAGGGGAGGAGGTTTAGGGCGATCAAGCAGCAGCAGCGGTGGGGCGACGACGTCTTCAGCTTAGTGAGGGCCTAGGCGGCCGGTGGGGGGCGGGGGAGCTTAGGAGTCCCCGGTTCGGGGTGCAAAGTGTTCCCGGTAGCGTGTGGGATCTGGGAATCAGGGCAGAACTTGAGTGCAGAGGGGCGGTTAGTCGCATTTGGTGCCAGCAGTGCGATGCGGAACAGGTGGAGTGGCAGGCGGGCGTAGCGGGTGTGCCGCAGAGAGCCGAGTCGTCCGCTGGCTAGGTGATTGACCCATGGGTCCCTTTGAGGAGGGGAGAGGCGCCCTTTGGCTGGACATGCCCCTGGCTTGAGTACGACTTCTGAAGCACGTTGGGCAGTTTCAGCGCGTACCGTACCGTACCATGATTGGAAGAGACGAGCAGCGCATCTGCTGCGCACGGCTTGGTGGCTTGGGCCGGGATATGCACCCCCGCATGAGAGTGGCTATACAGATGTGATGTATGAAACCAAAGGATTCCAATTCGGCGCGTAGATAAGCACAACTTGGGGAACGGGTGTTGACAAGGCTTGTCAAACAGTCAGCCGTTGTAGCGTATGCCAGTGCCTTTGGAACCGACACGGTACTACGTGGTTGTGTCCGGAGGTAAAGTGTCGAAGCGTGCTGCAGAGGGCCGCTGGAATCGCCAAGGCATGCATTGCCTGTGTGGGGGCGGGTCGCGTTTCTGGCTCCTATTGTCCAACACCTAAGCGTCTGTCGATAACCGGCACTGCTGAATATAAGGTATATAACACTAACCCAAGGTGACATTATGCGGTTATGAATTAACTCGGCAATCCTGCTGAATCACAAGGAACAATTGAGGGATGGTTGCCTGGTTTAGCACCCTTCACTGTGCGGGGATCTCGCAAACAAGTAATGTTTCATACCGAAGGCGTAGGCAACCTTCTCAGCCGGTTAAGTTGCGCATAGGTGCGCGGTGCGTCCGGAAAAGACTGGATTACCGTCAGCATAACGGTCACGTGTATCGCCCAAAGTTGCCCATCATTGTGGTAAGCGAGAAGCAGCCGCCTCGCGTCAATCAATGCCATTATTGTGTTGCGTACAAGAGCCTGGTTAGTGCCCGATGGACAAGGGTTGTGCTTCGCCAGTCATACTGGCAGCCCCTTGCGTAGGCATGGAAATTAACGATTGCTTTGTTAACTGTTCATGAATTGTTGTCCCTGCTTCCGGACCACGCTTCCAGACTCTTGGCCTTCCTTCGCCCAAATTGCCGTATTTTGGCGCGCAAGGCGTTGTATAACTTCCCTGATAATAGCGAGTCGCAAACGCCCCCACACATATAACAACCCTCACTGCAACTGTTTACTTCGCTTCTCTCTGTTGCTCCTTACTGTCACAATCCTTTGGCAATTACAGTGCACCTGCTGCCTTAGCACTTCCTGCACAAAGTGCAGTCCGCTTGTAGGGGATCTTCTAGAACGCAACACGCTGACTGGTGGAGGGCTCTGGGCTACAGGCAGCAAAGCACCTGAATTGTGAACCAGAATCGGGAATGGATTCCGCCGTCATAACTTCCGGCAACAGCCTTCTCTTCCAAAACAGCCCAAGAACGCCGGACGGTGTTACATTAATTGCTTCCAGCTCACGTGCGCTTGGCAAGCGGAGAGCCTCCGATTGCTCTACATCGCCACCAGTGCAACCTGTGCCATCCAGTGGCCGCATACATGGCTCGAAAGGCTTCAGTGTACTGGCTAGTGCACAATTTGACGTCGGCCTGCATTCAGTGGCCCGGTCTCTATTCGGCGCGCCAACCAGGTCGGAAATTGACGGATACTTCCTAAAGGTTGCCATTGCCCCGCTGAAGTAACCATCTATTGGCCGTTATGGACTCTGTCTTTGGCCCTCGTCGGTCTTGTTAACAAGACTGTCCTAGTCATGGGGCTGTGTTGTATTTCTGAAGAATACGCCTAGAGGCATTTGATCCTGATGAAGAAAGACGCAGTGTTGCGTTATTGCGCGTACAAATAGGCAGGAGGCTGGCTAATGCTGTGCTGCATGTGCCATTGCTTGCATGTCAGATTACTGGCATGACTTCTGGGCTATGGCCCGCCGCGTTTTGGGTGTCGAAGCACACTTATGTGCAGGGGATCTTTCCACGCTAAACTCATTGCTGTCTGTCACAGGTGGTAATTAGCCGACGGTTATGGATAGGAGACGGTTATGGATAGGAACTGACGTCGCTGTTGTGCAAAGAGGGTCCTGCGTGGTAGCATTGCATGACTCCAACTGTCTAGTAGGGAGTGCGTTACAGTAGTATTAGTTACTTTGCGTAGGACGGCACGGACCCTACCAGCCAACGCGTACGGCAGCCCTGGAACTCATCCTGAACTTACTCGTACGACACCCATCTCGCTGATGACGTGTTATTAATGCTGTGGGGTTTATACGGTGTAGGAGCTGGTGGTGGTGGTAGAAATGGCGGCACATTTGAGTGCATCTCTCCTAGCCTGCTGCTTTGGATGAGGGGAGGATTTCCAGGGGCTCGTGCACCGCTGTATGTTGTAATTGCTCGTGTCCGTGTGACCGGCATGGACGTTGGTTATTTGGTGGTTTGTGGTTGGCATGTGGGTGTTTGGCGGATCGGAGCAGTCCTTGCATGCTGTTGTTGGCAAACGAGCAAAACAGTACAGCGTTTGAGGTGTGACAGGGTTCGGGCCATATGTTGCAGAAGTGGTGTTGTAGATCAGGACTAGAGGACCAACTCAGCCACATTGGGGGGTTATGAACAACAGACCCCGTCCTTAGTGACTTTCCCCTCAGCATGGAGGGCCGGAGGGGGGGCAATGGAGCCGGCTGTTGTTGGTGGTGATTAGGTGCTTAATAATGACCAGCTGCTTTGCTGCAGATGTTTTTGTTCCCAAAGTAGGACTGCCCTCTGTTCGCAGTTCAGTGTTCTTTCATTTTTCAATATAGCTGAGTAGTATAGACGCGATATTTTGTTGACCCTGTTTAATGTTCATTAATAATGTTTGGTCTGCTGACGCTGTGCTCTGACTTGCTTGCCTGGTTACTAGGCTGCCTTGCCGTACTATTCGTACGGCCTGTTACACCAGACCGTTGCATGTGTCGCATTGCCTAGTATTAAACTAGACGGCATGAGACACTTCATCAGGTTGTGTAAGTTTGTGCTGACTCTTGACTACTGCTGTGCCACAGCCGAATCGGATGTTTGTGGCATCATAGACTTGATAGCATGTGCATAGTAGGTCAGCAACCTAGCCTTAGCTACCGTCGGCATGAAAATGAACTTGCAATGTGTTGGAAACTTGCGACAGCTGTTAGAAGGGGAACTTACATGGGTTACGGAAGAGAAGTAACAGCCAATAGCATACAATACATAAACCGTACTGTTACATCCGGTTATTGTACATGGGGAACGGCATCAAGGTTGCATTGCCGAGCCGTTGTGCCCTTTCAGCCGGGACTTTTAATCAAGGCAAACAATCAATGCAGTGCAGGTATGGGTTGAAAGCACAAGGGAAGTCCATCCTATCGCGACCACACATAGAAACAAATTGAACAGCAGTGCCCGCCGCCGCAGCAGCAGTTGCTGTCAGCGACATGCGAAAATATGACCTTCCAAACTTGCACTCACAATGTGTCTCCCTATCACAATGTCAGCAGCGAAAGGTGACAAGCACTCGCTTCATCTGCCTCCTCAACCTGCTACCCGCTATAGGGACACCCTTCCCACACAACATCCGCATTCACCGGCAAACAAAACCCGTCCGTCCATCATCGAGCAATGAAAGGCAAAAAGCTGATCAGGCGACGCCGGTTACGGCGCTGATCGGTGTGTGCATCGTGTGTACGATGACATCTCTCTTCGGGTATGCGAATCTTCGGGTATCTATCCGATCGAGCAACGAAGCGACCCCCTCTCACTCTCACCCTAGACACAAGCTAGGAACCCAAGATTCGAGCGGAGCAAGCCGTAGTACTATACGACACAGTCTTCATCCCTCCTTTGTGCGGTACATGTCATCTTCCACGCATGGAGAAACCGGTGATTTAGACTCACACTTAACCCTTCGACCCTCACAACGCCGGCACTTGTCTGCAGCCGCCACCGCTTGTAACACTCCAAAAAACGCAAATCCCTGCCCGCAGTAACCCAATTCTAAACCCCGCAGGGCAAGGCGCATTACGAACATTACGCCTCTCAATCCCCACCTTCCTCTTACACATCTGCACTCTCACTCGCAACGTACTCTTCTCTTCCCCTCCCTCCCCTCTCCCTCTTCCCAGTACACTCCCGCACCCACGTCATCGGCACACTCACGACCTCATTTACGACACCACGGCGGTTCCGGAGCTGAAGCCGGGCTGCTGGTAGCGGTAGCGCCCGTCCTCCGCGATCCCAAAGCCCCGCGGGTCGGCGAACACGTTCTCCAGCAGCTGCCCGCGCTCGGGCTTGGGTGACTCGTCGGCGAACCTGACGAGATGGGATGAAATGGGAAAGGAGGCGGGAAAAGAAGCGGTTGGGGCAGGTTGGTGGAGGTCCGACAGGAAAGGAGCTCGGCGGGATAGAAGGGTACTTGGAAGGGGTACAGGGTGGCCAGGGGGTCCAGATGGAGAGCAGTGAGTAGAAGGCGTCCGGGCGGGATATTGCAGGCTCGCCGCTGCCACCACCAGCACCAGGACCAACAACCCTGCCTCCCTCGCCACCACCACCGCCTCCACGCTCCCTCAACCCAGCCCAGATTCGACCCATGGGTCACTCCCCCCTGGATGTACCCACTTGACGCAGTCGTCCACCTCCTCCGCCACCCGCGCCTCGATCTCCTTGATGTCAGCCTCCGTGGCTAGTCCCTGATGCAGCACAGGGGGGGCGGAGGGGGGCGGAGCCGGGGATGTAGCGGTACGCGGCAGCATTCACAAAGAGCACACACATGTTCACAAGGCAAGCAGACAGGCAGTCGGATCAGCTGACGACCAGGGCAATAAGCAACAAAGAGCTTCCACTAGCCGAGCCCTCCACATCCCCCCACCCCCCCCCCACCCCACTCCACCTGCTCCAGCATATAGGCCTTCAGCTGCGGGATGGGGTCGCGGGCCTGGTAGCGCGCCTTCTCCTCCTTGGAGCGCAGCTCATCGGGGTCGGCCAGCGAGTGGCCGCGGAAGCGGTAGGTCTCCGCCTCGATCAGCGTGGGGCCCTCGCCGCGGCGGGCGCGCTCAATGGCCTCCTGCGCGACTTGACGAACCTGGTTGAGGGTTGGGGATGGGGAGGAGGGGGAGGGTGGTAAGGAAGAAGCAACGAACGCTCGCAACGAGGGGCGAGGGGGGTGATTGGGACCCACGGGTCAGGTGGCGAGGGGTGGAGGGAGGCATCCTGGGTGGCTTGACGAACATGCACCGGGGTGGTGCGGAGGTGGAAGCAGCAGGGAAAGATTGGGTTTAGGGTGGCTGGCAACGCCGAAGAGACCCGTGGGTCACACGCGGGTATGCCTTCACCCAAAGTACCAAACCAAGCATCAGAGCCCTCCCAACTACTCCGCGCCCACCTTGAGGACGTCCATGCCGTCCACCAGCACCCCCGGCATGCCGAACGCCGGGCCCTTCTTGTAGATGTACGGGTCCACATCGCCCGAGGTGCGGCTGGTGGCGCGCAGGTGGCTCATGCCGATGGCCCACCTGCAGGGGAATATGAGGTGCGACCCATGGGATGTGAGGATTATATGACGAGGCGGACTAACACAAGGACGAATAGGAACGCAATGGCAACAAAACGAAAAGCGCAACGGCAAACCGTGACTCAAGCACATCAGCACCATCCGGCAACACGTCAAGACTTAAAACACAATCCAGAAACAACACCGGCAAACATGCCAACATCAGGCGAACAGGCAGCAGCAGCAGCGGCAGCGGCAGCGGCAGCGACGCGCGTGAGAGCCCACAAACGACACCCACACCCCCTCACAGGTTGTTCTCCACCACGAACACGTGCGGCAGCTTGTACAGCGCCGCCATGTTGAGCGACTCGTAGAACTGCCCCACGTTGCAGGTGCCGTCGCCGAAGAAGGAGCAGGTGACCGAGTCGGCCTTCTCATCGCCCAGCACGTCGCGCCTGAGGGGCCGGCGGCGGGGCCGGGGCCGGGCGCAGGTGGGTGCGAGGGATTAGATAAACTGAGCCGCGGAAACACTGACCCTGACGTAGTTTACCGGAAAGTGTGCGAGGGAGTGAGGGTGCGTGGGGTTGACGTGGGGGGGGGGGTTGAGGGTGGTGGTTGGCGGTGAGGTGAGGAATGTCGTGGGGTCTATGCAGGTATCCATGTAACACCCGCAGCGTGGTCACGCCCGCTCGCCGCTCGCTCCCGCCGGCCAACCACAAGACGATTACGTCTGTACCCACACACGCCCCCACCCCATCTGTCACTATCACACCACACATTGGATATTCTTCTTTCCCCCCACCTGTACTTGGACTGGAAGGCCGCCCCCAGGCCCACGGGGATGCCCTCTCCGATGAACGCGTAGCCGCCCAGCAGGTTGTGCTTGGAGCTGAACATGTGCATGCTGCCGCCCTGGCCCCTGCGGAGCGGGCGAGAGGGAACCAGGCGAGCAGGGAGGGAAGTGTGAAGGAGAGAGCAGGCGAGGGGAAGAGCAGGAGAGGAGAGGGGGCTCCTTGTACAATCGTGGAGGGCAAGGTGCATGAGCTGGCGCACCGTGGCGCACGGTGCCGCACCGTGACCTCTGCCGCCCACTATAACAGCACCCCCCACCATGCACCAGCCGCCCCGCCCCGCTCCCTCTCACCTGCAGCATCCCGTCTTCTTTCCGAAGAGCTCCGCCATCACCTCCCGCGCGGACACGCCCTTGCTCAGCGCGTGCACGTGGTCTCGGTAGGTTGACACCACGTAGTCGTCCGGGCGCAGCAGCCGGATGACGCCGGTGGAGACGGCTTCCTATGGACATGAGGGGGGAGGGGGGGCGGAGGGGCAGGGGGTGAGGGTTGCATGCGGGGGCGCAGTCGGGTGCGGCGCAGAACCCGAAACACAGGCAGGCGTGTATGTATGCAGCCATGGGGCGATGTCGAGGGGCGTTCGGAGGTTAAACACAGGGGTGGTTGGCTGCATGGGTGAAGCAAGTAGCCGTACACGTGCAGTAGCCGTACACTGTACGAACCTGGCCGCTGTACAGATGTACGAATCCAAACATCTTGCCCCTGTAGTACATCTGCGCGCACATCTCCTCAAACTCGCGGCCAAGCACCATGTCATAGTAGAGGTCCTTGGCAACCTGGGGTGGTGTGGGGGGTCAAAGAGTTGGAGCGGTTAGGTTGGTTGCTGCGCAGCCATGGGCAGCCCAACTTGCTTTCGTCCTCATTGCTCATTGCTCATTGCCAGTTTCCTTCACACAGCAGTTGTAGAACACACACAAACAGCACACACACCGGTGCAGGTGGTGAGCTGCAGCTACAGGTCGGATTATACTTCCTGATACGCGTTGTATAACGTTTTAGTGGGATTGCATGTCGCACGACAGAGCGCATGTCGCACGACAGCGAGCATGAACCCAAACATAGATCCAACACTGGAATCGGCAAACCCTAATGGTGCGGACTGACCTCCGGGGTGACCAGGGGTGTCTTGGCGGTGGCGGCAGCGGACTTGACGGGTGCGGCCACGGCGCGGACCTGCGTTTGGGAGCAGGGCAGGAGACGGAACAAGGAGGAGAAGAAGGTGAAGGAATACAGGGTATATAGAGGCATGGTGAGGTGAGTCTCGTGCAAAGGCATCGGAGCAAAGGAGCGGCCTTGTTGGATTGTAGGCTGCAGTGGTGTTAGGAGGAGGGGATGTGCTGCGGGAGGCGCCAGCAAGCGCGACATTCGGGAAGCCAGAGTCATGAGCCATATAACGCTCACAAGCAGTGGGAAAGGGAGTGCGCATGCCTGTCCAACACGTTAGGTTTAGTAGCATGACCAGTTCGTGAAACATAGGACCTAAAACTCACCTGTACAGCCCGACGGCCAGGCTGTGAGGGCCGAATGCCGCTTCGCTGCTTAAGCAACACTTGCATCCTTGCTGGAACCCTGCAAGGTTAAGAGGACAGGGCATGAGGAGAGAGGCAAAATCGACAGACAATAATATTTGCATAACTTATGCCAAAGCCACACGCTGCTGAGTACCTCGACCAACGGACAAGGATCGCTCGGTGCCTTCAACCACGGACTAGCTGGTCCAAGCAGGGTGCATCAGCCTAACGCTTAATCATTTCAGTGGTTGTTGCTGCCAATTAGCTAAGGCACGTGGCAGCAGCGTAAGCGTTGCTTGCATGCCAAGCAACATAGCTTTACCGCGCCAAGAGGATTAGCAGTCGATCAGGGCGCAAACCAACGGGAAAAGCACGACCCTCATATCGAGCATCCATCGAAGGGCAGCGTCACATGCGTTTGATGCGTTCAGCGAGCAACAAAAGTCACGCACCTTAAAGCGCTGGCCAGTAGACAGTAATCAGTTGGTATCCGGATTACCAAAGCGCTGCTGTCAGGGATGCTGATATATCTGCAAGTAGATAGGGCTTAACCTTCATCCACATGCCTCGTCTGCAAGGTCGTACGGCAAAGCGTTATCGCTAAGCGAAGTTGTGGGCCTAGCTTTGCAAGCCTGTTGCACTGCACTTGGTCTTCTACTACATTTTGGGACGTTGTTTTAGCAACTCTTAAAGGGCTAAATAAGTGGCATCCAAGTTGATACTTGATTGGACGGTTGCCTCCTAGTATTGACCAACACGAAGGAACTGCCCTAGCTCGTGATTATACTGCTACATAATGCGGCGCTCAACACAACTTATCGCCCGGGGTGGCAGGTTCCGATCAACGATATCGGCGCTGCCGGAGGAGGCGGTAAGCCAGATGAGAAAGCCACCGCTGCCTGCCGTATTAAATTCCAATGTCTGTCGCTTTTGTTATAAAAAGATTTCCGATAGCTGGGAACAAGTCGACAGTCGACAGATGGCTGCGGCTGACTCCTTGCTTTATTGGAATGTGTGTGCTACCTGTGCCTTTCTTAACCCTTCTTAACCCCAGGAACAAGGCTGTGTTGCTATCGCCGTCTCCATAGCAGCGTTGCCTCCCCAAGTAGCAGCAACCGCAGCTGCCCCATCCTTGGCGGCGGCAACTTTGACCGGAGCCGGCAGCCCACTGTTGACCCAAACTCGCGGCTTTGCGGCTTCAGGCGCCGGGGCAAGGCGGGGAGGCAGCGGCATTGGGGGAGAGGCGCCGAGGGAGGTGGTCGAGGCAGACGAAGCGGCACGGCGGGTAAGGTGCCCCGGGCTTGTTTGCAGTACAAGGGTTTGCGGCTCCGACAAGCAGGTGGCACTTTCCCAAACACACCGCAGCGCACGCATGTCTAATGTGTGTGCGCTTAGCCCTTAAGCCATGTGCTATACTCTTCCTTTGGGGCAGCTCTGTCCCTCCCCGGTCCCCGCCTGCCTGCCTCCCTCCGGGTCGCCCTAGCCCTTTCCGACTGCTCCCATCTTTCTAGCAGCAACGCCGAACACACCCACAGAACCCCTCCCCCCCCTCGGGTAGACCCCTCCAAGCTCCAGCCCAAGCCCCTCTCTCCAAACCCCACGCCCCCTCTCTCCCCCAGGTCATGTCCGACCCCATGTCCCGACTCATGGCGTCCCAAGGCATGCCGGTGGGCCTTTCCTTCACCGCGGGGACAGCAGCCGCAGCGGGGGCAGCAGCGGGGGCAGCAGGCGGAGGAGGCAGGAGGGGCAAGGGGCCGGTTGTAGGTAGGGCTCTGGGTGGGCGCACCCCATGCACGTCTTATAGAGCGTTGGGAGGGAGGTATGGGTGGGTGTTGATGACCGGCTGCAAGCAAGGAGCTAGCGGAATGGAATGCTGAGACAGGCTGGGAGCTGACGGCGTGGTTTGATGTCGTACGGGGGTTACGAGCAGACGGCTGGGGGACGAGGGTTAGAGCCGTTGTGGAGGCGGGACTACAGGGAAGGAATCCGTGGACATGCGTCGTGGATTGTTGGGGCTTGGGAGGATCCCCCTGCCCCATGCCTGTGTGCCCTGTCCCATGCCGGTGTGTGCCCTGTCCCATGCCGGTGTGTGCCCTGTCCCATGCCGGTGTGTGCCCTGTCCCATGCCGGTGTGTGCCCTGTCCCATGCCGGTGTGTGCCCTGTCCCATGCCGGTGTGTGCCCTGTCCCATGCCGGTGTGTGCCCTGTCCCATGCCGGTGTGTGCCCTGTCCCATGCCGGTGTGTGCCCTGTCCCATGCCGGTGTGTGCCCTGTCCCATGCCGGTGTGTGCCCTGTCCCATGCCGGTGTGTGCCCTGTCCCATGCCGGTGTGTGCCCTGTCCCATGCCGGTGTGTGCCCTGTCCCATGCCGGTGTGTGCCCTGTCCCATGCCGGTGTGTGCCCTGTCCCATGCCGGTGTGTGCCCTGTCCCATGCCGGTGTGTGCCCTGTCCCATGCCGGTGTGTGCCCTGTCCCATGCCGGTGTGTGCCCTGTCCCATGCCGGTGTGTGCCCTGTCCCATGCCGGTGTGTGCCCTGTCCCATGCCGGTGTGTGCCCTGTCCCATGCCGGTGTGTGCCCTGTCCCATGCCGGTGTGTGCCCTGTCCCATGCCGGTGTGTGCCCTGTCCCATGCCGGTGTGTGCCCTGTCCCATGCCGGTGTGTGCCCTGTCCCATGCCGGTGTGTGCCCTGTCCCATGCCGGTGTGTGCCCTGTCCCATGCCGGTGTGTGCCCTGTCCCATGCCGGTGTGTGCCCTGTCCCATGCCGGTGTGTGCCCTGTCCCATGCCGGTGTGTGCCCTGTCCCATGCCGGTGTGTGCCCTGTCCCATGCCGGTGTGTGCCCTGTCCCATGCCGGTGTGTGCCCTGTCCCATGCCGGTGTGTGCCCTGTGCTCCCTAAGCCTCAACCTCCTCAACCGCCAGCACAGCCCCAGCCCTTCCCACGCACCGCTATCCTCCTCCTCTCATACACCGCCCTCTCCCTTTCCTCCGCCCCCACATCTCCCGCCCCTGCAGACGAGTCTGAGGAGGGCCCCGAGGAGGACCTCACCCGCCCCCCTCGCGCCGAGCCCGCCTACCAGATGGAGGCTTTCTCGGACATGCTGCGAGCCACCGCCGCCTCCGCCCGGCGTAACCCCACTGCCGCCGCCACCAGCAGCAGCAGCAGCGGGAGCGGGGATGAGGGGTTCCTGGCTGGGGTGCAGCAGGTGAGTCCCTCTCTGGACGACAGCTGGGGTACCACCCGGGAGAGCCCCGCGGAGATCGCTCGACGCATCGTGGAGAGCAACAGCGCGATGGCGGCGGCTGCCGGGCGTGCGGGAGGGCTGGCCGAGGAGGAGGGCGAGGAGGAGGATGATGGGCCGGATGTGCCCATGACTTTGTCTCCCAGTGAGGAGAAGTACAAGAGCCTGGAGGCCATGAGTGCGGACATCAAGAAGCTGGATGAGGTGTTTGAGGTGCTGGCCTCCGTGCCCTGGCTGGACGAGGGTGAGATGGCGGCGGGGGGGGGGGCGTAACATAAGGAAACTGACGATGGAGGGGCAGGGGAAACATATAGATAAATGCATCAACGGAGTTCCAATCCCGAATCCCGACTCATGCAGTGAGCGCATGGTGGGGGCAGAAGGGCTTTCCAACAACCCCAACCCTGGAGCCTTTCGCATTGACCTGCCTGCGCCCCCAGTTCCTCCTGCCCCCATCCTTCACCATGCCGTACACCCCTCCTCCTGTCGTACACCCCTCCTGCCGTACACCCCAGACGTGCTGGCGGAGAAGGAGCTCAAGGGGGTGGCGCAGGTGGGGCTGCTGGGCACGTTGGAGGAGGTGGGCTTCAACATCCAGCCGCAGGTGAGAGAAAGGCGGGCAGCGGGGGAAGGCAGGGGATGTCGGCTGCTGACCTGGAGGGAAGGATGGCGTCGGTATGAGAGAGGGGAGAAGGAGAGGGAGAGGAGAAAGGAGGGAGTGCAGGGGGCCGGCAAGGCCACATGGAAGGGTAGCTAGGTCCGTTACCCCTGATCGAGCCTTTCCCTTGTCCCTCCCTTCCCATTACTATCCCTTCCCCGGGCTTCTAGTCCGGCAACGGACCTTCGCTCCTGTGCACCCCGCCCCGCCTTCTCCATCTTTTCCTGTTTCCTTCCCCACCCAACCCCTTTCACGGGTTGTCACCACCGGTATCAACATGGCACTAACCCGGTCACACCTCCTTCCCTCCCTTCCATCTCTTCCCCTTCCCCCCCGCCCCCGCAGCTGCACCGCATCTGGTCGGGCGAGCACGGCGCCGAGATGGCTGCCGAGGCGGGTCTGGAGTTCCGCGACCAGGCCGCCCTGATGGCCATCCTGTACCACACGCAGCAGATCCTCGACAAGTACGGCCCGCCGCCCCGGGGATACCTGCCCAAGCCGCGGCAGTAGACGGAAAGGGGTGCATGGGAGATGCGTTGGGGACGTTGGTTTGGGGTCGAGGTAGTGTTCGGTACCCGGCGCATGGGTGGTGGGGGGTGGGCGGGTTAGGTCTGTGGCCGTCGGGTTCAGTGATTTCGATAGGGGTGGCTACCTGTTACGCTGATGGGGAAGGCGGTAGTGGGTTGTAAGGGTCGAGACGAGTGGGTCGCAAGGATAGGAAAATGGGGCTGGTAGCGGCCTGTGTGCGGCGCTGTGGCAGCTGGTGTGGCAGGAGGACTACAGCCATGGCGGACTGCGAGGATTGCGGGCGGTAAGAGGTGTACCATTGTAGGGGGGTGCGGGTGCCCCTTATCAACTGCAGGGGCGGCACTGCACTGCTCGGGCACAGCTTCTACATTCACATCGTGGTAACCGACAAGGAACCGCCGCGAGGCATGTCATTTTACATATTACATTACAGGTCCACATGTGTCATGAAGTTGTCGTACTTCATAGGTCACGGTGATATTAATTATTATATAACTACTACTTCAGCGAGAACACAGCATGTATTTCTAAAGCATGCGGTGGCAGTAAATACTATGGCGCAGTACAAAAATGCGTTCCTGAAAAACCTACACTGCTGCCACATTGCAAACGCCCCAGCCAGCGTCATAGGAAACTCCGTAAAGCATCCTGAACAGCAACTGTGTTGTCGTCCGCTGTACGGCGCTTTGCGTTGTGTTTGCAACCAGCTGCACGCAACGCGGCAAGCACAACATACGGCGGTCGCCTTGCAACGAAAAAAACCTACAAGCATACTACTAATGGAACCCGGCACGCCTTCACAGGCTTTGCCAAGTCACAGGCCTACCGTCGAGTCTTGGCAAGACGAGTACAGCAATCAAGTTACCCGTAAATAGCGCTCCCCTCCAATCACCGCTGCCACTCTGTCTCCTCATACCCCACCCCTCCAACTACCAACAACCGCAAACCACCTCTCTCTGCAATCGGTGTCAATGGGAAAAGGTTGGAAGGAGGAAGCGCCGGCAATTTGGCGCCAGAATAGGTCAACACGAAAGAAGCATGCGGTAAAAAGCGGCCAACACTACCGCGCCGGCTAGCGCTCTCACATGTACCCCCCACAAAAATGGTCAACTAATCACAACCAGCGGCCGATCAAGCAAAGCGGAGCCAGGTGGCAAACAAGCCAAAGCACTCGAACAAGCAAACAACAAGGATTATGAAACAACCACAGCAAATGCCCAGAACCCGTGGAACCCATGCCCAGAACCCGAGCAAGCTGCGAACATGCCAAAAACAGCAGAATGTACAACCCAGAAGTCAGGACGCAATGGTATTATTGTTCCAACGACAGCTTATTATATCCTATTATTATATTCTGAATACATATTATTGTTACTATTACCCACAACGCATGTTGTACGCTATTTGCCGTACACATGACAAATATGTATGCCCCACCACCTCCGTCAGATGAGGCCACGTGGCAATTGCTGCAAGGCAGTCACATCCAAGCAGACTTCGCATGCGCGGAATACCCAGATAACGACCAAGAGATGCTTCGGGGCATTGTAATGCGCGCCAAGACGCCAAGCAGCCCATAAATTCCTCACCTAGGAACGGAAGAGGCTCTCAAACAAACCAAAACCAGAAGTAAGACCAGCGGTGACATCACAACCAATGAATGGCTAATGTCAATACCGGACTCCACACCCGCATACGCACACAAGTACACAACCACCAACAACGTACATATTATTAACTTATTATGAACTACACGCAAAACCAACATAATCACTCCAACACCACCTGCGGCTAGGCAATCGCCACGACCAGCAGCAGCAGCAGCAGCCTGGACGACACTACGGACCCTCGCCCTTGACCCTATCTCTCCTAACGGTAACAACGCGCTCATATGACGCCACTTCACTGCTCATGTAAAGCCAAGCCCCTCCAATCGCCAGCAGCTGCAAACGTGCATCACATGTCCATGCAGTGCCATCTTGGTAGCACCCCGGGAAGAGCCGACCGAGTGCAGCCCCACGTGGACCGCTCGAGCTGCATCAAGGCATCAACAACATGCATCAACCCAGTGGCGGCCTGGACACCTTTCCATGGTGGCTTCGTCACCCTGCCGTGCTCTACTTGCCTTCCACCTGTCTCTCACAAAGCGATAAGTAAAAGCGCAGCGGCACTCGCGTAATCCACAAAACACGTCTGCGTGGAAGTTCGTTTTTTCCCGTCTGTCACCGCGGCAATGCATGAGAGCCAGCAGGCAACGACGACAGCCCAGAATTCTGCAATAATGCAACTCGGAGACGGACGCAGATGGCGCCAGACAGCAAATGACCAAAGCAACTCAATGCTAACAAGAAACACTAAAGAGGTGGCCTCTGCTTCCTGCCCTGCTTCTTCTTCTCCGCTCCTTCCTTGCCCTCTTCCTGCAGTTCTTTCGCTCAACCGCGCACCCTCCCTCTTTCTCTCTTTCTCTCCCACTTTGTGAATCCTCCAGCTACTCTCTTTCACAAGACACAGCGGACCGTTATCCCGACGCATAAAGCCAGCCGTGAGGCGGATGACCCTCTATTAAGGAGCTACCGTACCTCCTGGCCACACGGCATTCAACGCTATCATAAAACATTTAAACCGTCTTCGAAGCGCCTGCAATGGACTACCAACAGCAGAACCCAGCAATCACAGCCATGGGCGGCCGGAGGGTTCGTGGACCAAATAATGTCAATCACTCGCAAGGAAACATAACTAAGAAACATCGTGGTCGCGTCTAAAATCGATGGAAGAGCCTAAGCCAAACTCAGCCAAATCCCGAAAGCATGCAACGACAACACTATGGAGGAATACCGCATTCCCTCGACAACTGGGGTTGTTTGGAAACATGGGGTCACGCTTGAGGCATTCTAGGCCCCAGCCCTGCCTATCACGCCAGAAACGAATGCATTAGAGAAGCAAGCATGCTCGTTAAGCACCATGAGGATATGCATGTAACGATGCCCTCTCATAGCGCACGGTGCATTGCGTGCCGGCAGCCAACCTGGCAAAATTTTGTGGTGTGAACTTGTGAAGCCAGCAGCAATGCATGTTCCATGTATTGCATAACCCGTCGATGGTATGATGTAGCGGCTGCATGGATGCACCAAGGCCCAACGCCTTCACGAAAGGACCAGGCTCATGTATAAATCCTGACGAAGCCATTCGTGCGGGCAAGCCGTTCGCAAAGACATTCTTTCGTTACGTTACGGGACGTTACGGGGCATCCTAACCTTCCATCCAGCCCAACTGACGTAGAGCATTGCCAGCAACCAAATGACTGTCTGGGGGCGGGTTACCCCCAGCAGCGGCCCCTAGGCAGGCTGCCTAGAAGTGCTGTCTTCAGGGCTGGCATCCAGCGGCAACGAGTCGAGCCAGCGAATGATGCCGTCAAAAGTCGGTCGTTTGCTGGCATCCTCATCACAGCACACGCCGTACAAGGGTTCCAAGGCGTCGCAGCGACCCGTGGGCCACTCCGGCCGCATCTTGCGACAGAGGACGCCAAACATGATTTGGGCTGCGCCAAAAAGTAGGGCGGGATAAAGATAATGAGAATGCGGATAGGCTGCACAGGAAAGCGAGGCAAGCTATGTTCTGACGCTGTATTACCGTAACTCCAGACAGCGTTCGAAACGCACCGTATGGCAGGTCCTCAAAGGGCCGCTCCCCGGACACAAGCTGCTGCAGGCAGATGCCGTAGCTGTACACGTCAGCCGGCTGCTCCGCATTGCCCTCCTGCGCCAGCCGCTCAGGCGCGCTGTAGGCGATGGTGCCGCAAGTGTCCGCGCCGCCGCTGGTGCCCATCTGACCTGACAGGCCTGACAAGCCGAAATCTGCGACCTGCACACAGCATGGGTGGTGGCGGGTGGCACAGCATTCCATGGTCGGTCGTGCGTAAAGTGGTGGAAGCGAGTGATGCATCAGGCGGAGTTGGGAAGAGTTGGAATATAAAAAGCACGGCGTGCGAGGGAAAGAGGATAGGGACCGGAAGGGCGCGGGGTACCCCGGGCTGCAGACATCTGGGACGATAAGCTTCCAGACAGCCTCTGGTAGGCTACCACATGTATCGCGCATGGTATCATCCCACATCTCGCATCGCCGTACACCGCACTCCCGCCTCCTCACCTTTGCCAGCAGGTTACCAGAGCCCGGCTCCTGCAGCAGCAGCACATTGGCCGGCTGCAGGGGAACAAGTGGGCGGGGAACAAGAGGTCAACCAGCGTCCTTTGCTACCGTACACAGCTGCGTCCTTTCAGATAACGTAAAAGCTGCAAAGTGTCATCATGTCATCTCGCCAATAGCAACCGCAACCCAGACCTCCAAGTCCGACTTGCCACGCCCCCACCCACCCACCTTGAGATCTCCATGCACCAATCCGTGCGCATGCAGGTACGACATGCCGCGAGCCACTTGGCGCAGCAGCCCCACAGCGGTCCGCAGGCAGCAGGGCTTGGCGGCGCGAGAGAAGGAATCCAGATTGCCCTGTACGACAAGCACAGCGAGGAAGAAAGAGAAAGGGTGAGCTGCTGATGGCGCTGTTTAGGGACGTGTAAAGCTGTATGGAAAAGGATGTGCGCTGGGCGAGGGGGAAGGGTGCGACATGACAGGGTAAGCGCTCCAGGAGTTACGTTCCTTTTAGAGATTGATTTCACACAATACCCGTGCATGCACGTACCTTTGCTACTACAGTGCTACCCTTTATAGACACAGCAACCCGGCCTTACCACATCTGCCAGCTCCATCACCACAGCTGTCACGTAGTGTTGCGGCGCGGTCACGTGACCCGTGGGTCCTAAGACCCCCAACGTGTGCAAGACCTCCAACATCCTTTCTGCGGCTACTCCGCGGGCCACACCCGGCCCCCTGATGAGCGAGGGGCCGGCTGCAACAGCCTCCGGGCCACCCGGCAACACCCGAACGGACTGCTGCTGCTGTTGCTGCTGTTGTTGCTGCTGCTGCTGCCAGGACGGGGACCTCACCGGCTGTGGTAATGGACCACTGTTGTTACCCCGCAAGGCGGGCGCCGCACGTTGGAGGGTGCCTGAATCTGATACACGCGGCTGCAGCTCGCAAATAGCGGGCAGGGGGCCGGACCCCGAAGCAGCAGCAGCAGCCGGTGCCGGTGGAGGCGGTAGCGTTGGTGGCGGCGCAGTGCCGGCGGCAGCAGGAGAGCCGCCTGCGGTGACTGGTACCACGCGACCCACGGGCGCCTCTCGGGCTGATGCAAACCGGCGCACGAACGCGAAGCGCGGCATGCCGATGGGCGGTGGTGCCATACCTCCCCAGCCAGCACCTTTCCGGGGGCTGGTGCTCGGTCCAGCATCAAGGTCTGACACGCTTGTGGCATCCAGGCCAGCGCTCCGCAGCGCGGCGCCACCCTCCCCTTCCTCCGCCTGGAAGACGGCGTTGCATGGTGCCGAATCCGCCATGAGCCGTGGTTGCAGCGGGGACAGCGGCAGCTGCGGTGCGGTGGCTGGGCTGGCGGGTGTTGCGGAGCTGCCCAAGCTGGCAGTGGCAGCAAGCAGGGAGCAAAGAGGGATGGCTGCGATCTGGGGACAGGAGGTGCGTGGGTGCATGGTGGTGGGAGAGGCGGAGGCGCTCTGCGCTGCGGAGGAAACCCCGGCGGCAGCAGCCGCTACTTGGGAACTGGAGGCGCGGCGAATCGTGGTGGAGGAGGACGTGGAGGCGCTTGGTGCTGCAGAGGAAGCCCCTGCGGCAGCAGCCCAAGGCCCGATGGCGCCCATCTTCCGCCGTCCAGAGGCCGCCGTGGACGCCATGTTGGTTGCACCAACTGACGACCGTTGGAGTCCGGATTTACTGGATCGTCTCAGAGCCACAGCTGCCGATGCAGCGGCGGCGGCGCTGGAGAGGGCTTTGAGGCTGGCAACCGCGCGGTCGTCGATTCGAGCGACACGGGTGGTGTAGGTGCGGATGATGTTGGGGTGCTCTAGGCCCGGGCCCAGCAGGGCTTCCTTGACAGCGGGCGCGTTGAGGTCCAGGGAGGTGCTGGCCAGGAACTTGATGCCCACGGGGACACCCTCCCAGGTGCCTGGCGGGCAGGAGAGGGATGCATGGGCGGCAGAGAAGTATTAGCGATCATTTGCTATAGTATACCGGTAAGGGCGGCTAGGCTTAGTGGCAATGGCAGGGCAGGTGATGACGCCTTGACAATGCGTATGACGGCCACATGGTATAAAAGGAAGTAGACAAGGCACAGCCTGTAGTGTCACTGTTACGCGCGGGCACCATGAATCGGGTTCAAACACCTTCAGATACGCAGCAACACCCAGCTCCGTCTGACACGTAGCCGGCCCCGAGTCGTTCACTCACCCTTGTACACGGCGGCATATGCTCCGCTGGTCACGTACGACAGCGGCCCCAGGCCGTCGATCAACATCAAGGGGTCGGACACCAGGCCATCCTCCAGCCGCAAGCCCCGCATCACCGGCACCGGTGAGGTGGGCACGGTCTCCAGCGCAGCAGGTGCGGTGTCCAAGCATCCCGCGCCGCCCACCCCAACCACGCCAACGCCCATGGAGAGAGAAGGCGGCATGTCCGGTGGGGATCTGGCGCGCGGCGACTGCGGAGGCACGGCGATGGGCGCCGTGGCTGGGACGGGCGCGGTGGCATGCGACGCCGGTGTTGCGGGCCAAGCGACCGAGCGCGAGGTTGCGGGTGACACCACCGCGGCCCCGTCCTCACCGCGCGCGTACGCTTCCCACCATGTGGGGCTGCCAGTGCCCCCGCCTTCCGAAGCGGTAGCCAGGGGCAGGTCGACCGAGAGACCCTTGGCACGAACCGTTGAAGCCACGACGGCGCCGCCCCCGCTCAGGGGTGGTTGCAGCCGGTTTGTTGCCTGCACGTTGTGCTGCTGCTGCTGCGGAGCAACGTCTACGTCCAGTTCAGCGGCTGCCGAGGCTGCTGACCGCAGCAGGGCTATCGCGGTAAGGCTGGTCTCGGACGCCAAAACGATGTCCGAGGCTGCAACGCCGCGGTATTGGGTGCTGCTGCTGCCGCCGCCGCCGCCGCCGCCAACATTGCTACATTGACGAGACGTGAGGGTTGTAGCGCTATCCGTCGTCGCCGCAACACTGGCCACACTGCCGCGTTGCAAGCAACCGGTAGAGCCGCGGCTGCCCAGATGGCCCCCGCGCAGCGAACTTGAAGCCATGACGCTGCAGAGTCGCGGACCTTGACCCGATACGCTGCCATTGGGTGGAATGGAGTTGAAGCCGCCCGCATGCGCCGTTGCTGACGAGGATGCAGCCGTCAAGAGTGAGGAAGGGACAGTGCTGGGGCCCTCGACACCCGAATTGCATTGGGGCATAGACGGCATTAGGAAAGGGCTTTGCATCGTGATTGAGGAGCGCTCAAAGCTGGAGGGCACACCTCCCGGCCAGGGTGTTACTCGCTTCGGTGAGGATGCGCTGCTGCCACCTGCGCCGCTCCGTGAGCCGGAAAGCAGCAAGTCCCATGGGCCCGGCGGAACATTCAAGCTCTGGCGCCGCGCCTTGGCGGCGGCAAAGCATGCAGCTACGCTTTCATGGCCGCCTGCAGACCGAGCGCTTGGAACCGCAGGAGCCTGGGTGGTGGTGGTTGGCGGGGCGCAGGTCGGTGAGGTTTGATGCTGGCAGGGAGCCTGCCGGTGCACTTCAGGCTTAGGGCCGCATGCAGCGGAAGGGGAGCCAGGGCCCCGAGGCGGCATTGCAGCAGTCGAGGCAGCTGCGACAGGAGGGCCTGATGGTGGGCAAGAAAGCGATGCCGCGTCAGAACGCTGTCTCTTTAGCAGCATGTAGTTGGTGGCTGACACCAGCTGCGGCCTCTCCTCATGTGCAATCGCTGGCGGAGCCGAGGCCGCGTTCGATTGCGCATGCAACGCACGTCCGTCCGGCTGCTGCCCCAGCCCAAACACCACAAGCGTGCCGCGAAGAGTCCGGTGTTCCTGCATGCCCATCCCATGCGCATCCGTCCACACAGATAGCCCCGCAGAGCCGCCACCTGCAGCAGCAGGTGGGACATTCAAGGCAGCATGCTCGCTGCCACCTTGCGCAAACCCTTCACGCTTTGCAGCCATTCCATTGCACCGTGCCGCCTGCTGCAGCTGCCTTCCTTGCTGCTGCTGCTGCTGGACCTCATGCTGTTCTCGTAGCTGCTGCAGCAGCATGGCACGCTGGTAGCTGCCGCTGGTCTCCAGGCCCCTCCGGCTGCCGCTCTCATTCCCGCCGCGCACGTGCGCCGGGCCGCATGCGGCAGACACAGCCCCCTGCACCTGTCGCGGTCCTAGCGGTGAGGGTGCCAGCTGCCCTGCCCGCAGCTCGCACGGGCGGCTACCAGGCACAGCTCCCCCGTCAGTGACACAGGACGCGGGTTGAGGTCCCATCCTAACGCCCGCCTGTAAAACTGTTCCACTGCTCGAGCCTAAAGTACTTAACGCAGATGGCCGGCGTTGCAGGCGACCTTGCGCCTGCGGCGCCTGCTGTTGCTGCTGCACCACCAGTGCTGGTCCCTGCTGCCGTGACTGCCGTTCCCCCGATGGCAGCTGCTCATCTGCGCTCTTACCCGGGACATCGCAATGCCTTGCAACCAGCACGCCACCAGGCCCCATGTCAGGGCTGCTGGAGCAGCGCGCAACCGACGCCATTTCCAGGGTTGGCAGGCAAGCAGGGCCGGGAACGTCGGCTGCATCACTGCCAGCAATGGCGGCCGAACGCACTCCAGCTGCTTCATCATCCCGGCAGGTGGCATCTGCGCCAGTTGCCGCAAAGGCGGATGCGCGTCGCCGACGATGTTGAATAGGGAGCGCGGATGCCTCGGCGCCAGCCTCACTGGGTGGCTGAGAGGTTGTCCATTTCGGCGCAGTTGGGTTCAGACCCGGCGCGAACAGGCGGGGAGGCGTGAGCGACGGGCACGATCCTAAAGGACTTGCTGCTGAGGAGCCTCCAGCCATGTCGCAGGCATTTGCGCCACTGTTGCTGTCACGGGTGCTGGCCTGGGGGTACGGTTGTGTCCGTGGGAAGTAGGGTGGCTTGGGAAACGAGTGGCGCGGCTTCCAATGGGTCGCTGCCAAACCCATGTATCCGCGGGTGTGCCTAGCGATGGTAGGCACCGCTAACACTAGGCACTTCATCTCTGTGCGTAGGATCATACGTACCAGCAGTCCTATGTGTGTAAAGGCAAGGCGATGCAAGACGTTGCCGCTCTGCAGCCGTGACACCTTAGTTAAAACACATAGTCGCGTCCGCACCTGTCGCAGAAGTGTCATAAAGTCATGCCGCATCGGAGACTTTGTGGCCGACACTGGTGATACGGAGCAGACATGCCTGGAGGACGACGCTTGGGAGGGCTGCCTGCAGTCATCCCAGAGGGTGCAGCAGCGAAGACGACCAGCAACGGAGGGCGCGTGACAGGCACCCCTTGGTATACAAGGCGCATAAGGTGTCTACGTCTTCGTTGTTCTCTAGCTAAAATTTAATCCTTATGACAACAGCCTTATGATAACAGGATATAGCATCGAAAGCCAGGAAAAGGGGTTCGCCACGGTTGGAGGGAAGCGAACGGCCTACCTCAATCCGGAAACCTGCCCGCCAAAACTGGCGGCCTGGTTAGTGCCAGGCATGCAGCTGCAAGGCACCATTGTTGGACAAGAGCTACGAGACGCTCCTTGCGCACTCCAAGAGATGTCGCCTACGCTCGTCACAATACAGGCACAGCATTCAGTTCGTCCTTCTGTTAAATTCTACAGATATCACTAAGCACGGCGACATCAGAAAACGCTTGTCCCCTGGCCATCAAGGGCAATGTGCGTTGAAAGCATAACCTGTCACATACGTGCGCAAGGCAAGTTGTGGCGCACCTCTAGTAAATAAAACCAATGCTTCATCTTCGACAAGGGGTGAAAGCTGCTCTTGTAGGTGGTCATCAACCTCCACGCTCTTTAGCCGTGTAGGTGCCGGCAAGTTAAGCGGTGGCGTAGCTGTGTCCGAAAAGCTGTCAGTGGACGGCTCAATGGTTGGTTTGCAGGCTGCCAGTAACAGGCTGGGCGCCGTTGCTCCATTCTCTGGTTTGGCTCCACCATTAGCCTCAGTACTGGTCCTGTCATCTCCTGGGTAAGGGCTTTCCCTTGGCAAGCCATTAGAATTACTAGGATGTATGCAGCCGCAGAACAACCGTAAAAGCTTCATTTAACCTTTGGTGTTACACATGAACGCGCCCTTCTGTGTTGCTCGTAAACATTGTATCGATATATTTAATGTGCTGTTGAATAACCTTCTAATATGGGAGGGTAGGAGGAACTATGCAAGCTCTGTTACGGCAGCGTCGTATTTGATGCCACAATAAGCACTAAAAAAAGTCTAGTCCTGTCAGGTTCTCCTACCCTGCCAAAGGGCCAAGTGATAGTAAAACAGAAGTATGCCTGGATATTGAATGAGCGCTGAGCTCTGGATCGTCTGAAAGTCTTAAAGCTATTATTACTGTATTACGAGGCCCCTGCACGCCCATGTTGGCTGTGCCATAATGTCCTCGAGCCCTCCAGCACTGCATAAAAACATATCAACACAATCAACCACTTGCAGCACGATTTAATAGTTGGGCCACAAGAGCGCCTGCAAAGCTAGGCTGTGGCTGGCTCCATGTCTTGCGGGGCATACCAGCTCAGCACGGGAAATTGGACCCCATACATCAATTGGCAACATTCTCTTACATGGGTAGACCTCGATACAAGCGCTTGGCTTTCGGTTGCCCACTGTGCCTTATTGTTTATCCTAATCGCTCCCTCGTTCTTTTGTTTCGTGCGTGCCGCTGTCCGAGATGCGGAGCGTGATTGGAGCTTGGCTATTGAAGTGAAGTACGGCAAGTAATGCCGTCAGACGGCGCGGAAAGACGCGTACCTGGCACGAATTTTGGGGGGGATTTGCAGGGAGGGCTGTCATGCCCGATTACACCAACAGGGCGAGACAGGGCGGCTTTTTGCACGCGGAGCATAAGCTCGGCTTGGTGCACCTGCGTTGGGCTGGCGGCCGCTTTTCCTGGTGCAGCTGGATACTCCGGATTACCCGCCGATTACGCTGCCGTATCCGCTGCTAGGCACCACCGTCGCCCCTGGCGTAGCGGAGCTGACACTCGAGTAGCGGGCTGCGGCCATGCCGTCGCACTGCTGTCTGGCGCTCTCCAGATCTCCACAATGGCCTCCAATAGCGAAGTCGGGGGTGCCTGGCAAGCAATGTGATGGGTCCGGATCCCTAACTGACTGCCGCCATGCCATTCTTGTGCCTGGGAAGGGCACGAACTGGATTCAACAGCCTAGAGTCACCATATTTGTTACCGGTACCTGCTACATTTATACCTCGCGTTGAAGTTACAACGATCTAGGTGAATGTGGGTAGCCCTTGCTAGGCTCACACCTTTCCCTACCACCGCCCCGGTGACAGCCGCTGTTCCCCGCGGCAGGTCTCTCCCTTTAGCAGCAACAACCACATGCCGGGCCGCGTGGGCACGGCCAGGACATGGGCGAGGTGCAAAATGCGGTGGATCACGGCGCGTTACAATACGGAAGCCCTCTGGCAAGGCGGGAGAGGCGCGCTGCTGAACTTCTTGGACGCCCAGGGTGGGGGGAGTGCCTGTACAGACATTGTTCGCTGTGCGCTCGCATTGCAGCTGCAATGATGTTTGCATGGGTGGCATTCGCCGTAAGCCTGGACGGTTGCCTTGGACGGTTACTGTAGCCGCTGCCGTACCAACTTTCAACCAGGTCATTGAAGCAACCATATGGCAGTCAACCCTTACCGGTAATCCCATAACGGGCACTTTCATGTCATACATTTAAGAGGCGACGAGACAGGACATATTAGCCGCCGCCAAGAACTGAAGGTCGAGAACCTTCCCGCACTTTTAAGCCCAGATCACACTATTGCTATTTTCTACACTAGTTACTGCTCGACCCCACAAATCAGGAGTTGCGAGCTGTAGGTGCCAGGTTATTCAATTGTAAGCAAGCATCTTATGATAAACAATGGACGCCTTTCGAAAGTTTAATTTTGAGAGCGACGAGCGATGGAAGGCATATCTCAAGACGGTGGAGCTTCCTTCTGGTGAAAGTGAAGGGCTAATGCTAAAACTAAAGGCGCGCTGGTACAAGAAGACAATCGACCCAGATTTTGACACGACAGCAGTTGTACCGCCTCCGAAAGCGGCGCAGGGTGAGTTGGCAATAGAGAAAGGTGTCGACATAGGAAAGGGCACTACGCGTGGCGACGGATCCCAGACGTCGTCGCTCGCTCCTCGCGCGGTTAAACCTCGAGTCTCCAGTTTGTTTAAATGGCAGTTTGTGAGCGTCATGTATGTTGCAAAAGGTTCCACAAGTGGCCCGGCGACCGGTCACACATGCATTACATGGTGTACCGGTATGCTTGCGTAGCTGACGGCGTCAATCATCCAGGGCACAAAGTGCGGATCATAGCACGCCTACAGCCAGCTTCAGCAGCATTTTTTGTTGCACGATGAGCTCTTGATGGCAGCTGCGTTGGACATTCGCAAGCTCAGCCGTGGTCATGCCTGCATGAGGGGTTGCTAAGAGACTTACTCTATGGTCATGACCGTTGAAAGGCGTGTGTGAGCGTTTAGAAGCTCTTGCTGGAGGAAGGGTCTGTGGTGTAGGCTTTCCTTAGTGTCTGCTGTGGTGGGCCAGCAGCCCTGTCTGCATGCAAATCCTCGGTGCGAGTAATTGGCTGGCATGATAGGCCCCCTGGCATGATAGGCCCCCACTCTACCCTCTTCCACTGTGTGTTTCCCGCGCAGGGAGTGGTACTGCTACCGGGACAACTCCCGACGGTTCGTCTTCTTCTCGGACCTACAACAGCAGCAGCAACAACAACGGCACCTCTAGCGGTTCCGGAAGTCAGTATGTTCGTCCGCCGCCGCCACCGCCGCCGCCGCGATACGGGCAGTACGGCAATGCTGGGAGCGGCACGTACGGCAGCAGCAGCGCACAAAAGCGGTTGTTCCTCATGCACGTGGGCATGCTGCTGCTGGGCGTCTTGGCTGTCGTACCGTTCTTGCCGTACAGTCGCAACGCCTACGTTTTCTTCATGCGCCTCACGATCGTTACCTTCGGCTACAAGATCTATCTACAGCACGGACTTCCTTCGTTCCGGCCCATGAGCATGGCAATGGTGGGTTGCATTGGGACTCGGGTGGCACTTTCCCTGTCGGGTGTCCCTGCCACTTCTTTGCCATCCTCTTATCAATGTTATCTGGGGGAGAGCTGGGAAATGTCGTGGGTGCAGGGGTTTTAAGTAGCCTCAATGTTCATACATGGGTAGCGGGGTGTGTCACACACGCAAGTGACCCGCGGGTCAGGGGCTTGGCATGCAGTAGAGCTGTTTGTAGCGCGCAGGCCGCTTCATCGAGCTCATCGCTCTTCTCCATGTGCCACTGCGCCCTTCCATTTCTTACCACCATGAAAGCCCTTCCCCTCAACGGTACGTCCCACCATTTCCTTCGGCCTCGTTCTTCACCCCACCATCTTCCTCTTCTCCATCCCCACTCCTGTAGCACCCCCACCATCCCACCCCTCTTCCTCCACTGCCGCGACGCATCCGCCCTACCCTTCACGCCCCGTCTCCCTCCAGGGCAAAGCCTCATCCTGCAGCTCGTGACAGTTTCCTCTTTTCACCCCCCCCCCTCACCACCGCACCCTCCGCCGCCTCATCCTTCCCCAGGCCTGGTTGCAGCGCGTGATGCCCACCGCGGACTTCCTGCACCTGCTGGTGGCGCTGTGCTTCTCCGCGCAGCCGCCCATGCTGCTGGTGGTGGCGCCCGCGCTGGTGCTGGCAGCCTACCACGCCGCAGCCTACGCAGCCGCGCACTTTGCGGGGCAGCCGCTGTGGGCGTCATACGGAAGCAGGCTGCATGCGCTCATGCTGCGGCGGCAGGTAGGAGGATGTGGGGGGTGGGGGGGTTGTGGGGTGTGGGGGGTGTGCGAGAGTGAGGTACCGGTACCATGTGCCATGCAACCATGGCACTGCTTCTTCGCCGCGGCCTGTGGACCACATTGCACTGCCGCCGCGGCGCAAACGCATTGCAGGGCCTACCTGTTCTAACCCGTCCTAACCCGTCCTAACCCGCCGCCTTCCTCCCTCTCCTTCCCGCACCTCCTCCCCTCCCTCCTCCCTTGTTCCTCGCCACACCACCACCATCTCCGCGACCCCGGCGCGCACCCACCCGGGTTCAGCACGACGCGCTGCTGCTGAACGCCTTTTGCGAGATTGCGACGGGGCTGCTGCTGCTGCTGCGGCTGCTGACGCCAGCTCGCAGCCCCATGGTTCTGCTGATGTTTGTGCAGATCCTCAAACTCAAGCTGCACATGCCCGACACTGCCGCGCACCACAGACAGGTGAGGGGGCGACCTCCTGCATGGGGGAGCGCTATGCGGTACATCTGTTCAGGGTGTTCACCGGTACTACAGACAGCATGCAACGGCTGGAGCCTGGACATGCGTTGCATGGGTGGCTGCCTTGCAGCTGCTGCTGCTGCCCTGGCAACTCGCATGTTTGACAGGGGAATGCCTGCATCGCATCGCCGCGGAGGGGGATGCTCACCCGCTTTGCTACCTACCCACTTGGTCCGCACAACTGGCTCGCTTGCTTACTGGGTACTGCTTACTTCCATGTTGCTCTGTACGGCAGGTGTGGCGCATCATCGATGAGAAGACGCTGTCGTATCGACGTGCCGTACCTGCGATCGAGCGGCTGATTCAGTGGGCCGCCAACTGGTTTATGAGCATACCTGGGCCCCGGTAGAAGAGCCATGCGTGCGCATGAGTGCGCGCGGGGTCAGATTATGGGTGCGCGGGTCGGCGGGTCGCTGGATAGGTGGGTGGTTAGACAGTAGCAGGAAAGCGCGCGACGCAGTTGAGCTGTGAGGAGCAATTATAGCATTCGGTGAGATGATGAGAAGGAAGGTGGGATGGGGGGGATAGGGTGATGGATGTCGCTGAGACACAACATATTAACAACAAAAGAGAGGTGTACCGTTCTAACTGTCATGGGCTGCTGCGTACAGAGATGTGGGGTGGTCCAAGGTGCTGTTATGACTATATGACTAAGCAAAGGCTTTCAGCCTAATACAAATGTACCACTTGAAGTTTGCTGTGGAGGCCAGAAGGAGGGTCTGTAACGCGAAGTGGTCGTGGGGCATCTTGGAGCGGCTCGATTACGCACACAGTACAGTAGGGTACTGCTTTGGCTTTTGCCCTGGCAAACTGTCTGCGTCCTAACGCAATCCCATGGTACAGGCTAACAAGAGCATACGTGGATGCACTGGGATGGCATAAGCCTACGCTCGCGGGTTGCACGTCCAACGCTTGCGACGAATGTACTTACAGAAAAACCTCGTCATAAAATTCAATAATCACTCGTCTAAGAAAATAGCTACACAGCAGGCTACTAAACTACATGGCTGATGATCCATACGCAGCAGCAGCGGGGCGTCAGCAACACCCGACCGCCCCATCGCCGTTCGTGAACGTCTCGCGCTTCAATTTTTCCTTTCCAGCCTCGCCCGGCTTTGTTGGGTCACGCCAGCAGCCAAGCTTCCCCCCGCACCATCAGCAGCACCAACACCTTGCACCGGCGCCGGGAATTAGCTTTGGAGGTTTTCACACCACATCGCAGAATCTTTATCACAGTCTTTGGCCACAGCAACCTCAGGGAGAAGCACCGCCTCCTCCTCCTCCTCAACCGCCACCGCCGCCCCCACTTCCGACTGCTCCTCCTCCTCCAACGCCACCTCCTCCATCGGACGCTCCTTCACCTCTGCCACCACTTCCGCCAGACAGCCCTGAGGATTCCCCTAAAGACGTGACAAAAGCTGAGACCGAGCAGGCCGAGCAGCGGGACACGAAGGGCGCGGAAGAGGATTCCATGGATGTGGATGAAGGAAATGCCGACACCAAATTGCAGGTAATAGCTATAGGATAAAGCTATCCTGATGTGCCGAAAGCTTAGCGGTTTTGCTGATGACGCGCGTTCGCGGTGCTTTGTCGCAATTCGTCACGTTTGGCCTAGTCTGGAAGCCCGCCATCGCTGCTGCACGGGATTATTCATGTAGGATTATTCATACGGTAGTGCGAGGGAAAGAGGCCAGTTGAGAGGGACCTGCTTAAGGAAACCCATAACCAGTACAGAACAAACCCTAACAAGTTACAGACGTTTTGCTATGGCTGTTACCAATATTTGAAAGTTTACGCTGTGCATCATGCGGTCTGAATGGCACTTCATTTACCAAAGGATTGAACCCTCCACGGCGACGCAGCAAACGCTCGACTGGACCCACGCGACCCATGGGTCACCCTGCTCCCGACGACCCCTGGGTCACCCATGCTAACCGCAGAGCCATGACCAGCAGCAGCTGGACCCCACGTCGGACCTACCGGCCGAGCGCCCTGGAGCCTCGAAGCTTGAGGCAGCTGGGACGGCCCCCGGCGCTGCACTTTCTGAAGCACCCAGCGGATCTGATCTTGGGTCTGGCTTTGGATCTGGCTCGCTTCCAAGTCTGGGCTCCGGCTCCGCTCGGCGCCGACTGGTGTTTGGCGGCGGCATTGCCGCCAGGGCTCAGCAGGCTGCGGCTGCGGCCGCTACGAGCCAGGAGCTGCCGCAGCAGCAGCCGCAGCAGCAGCAAGGGCAGCGCACCCCGCAAACCCCTCGGCAGCAACCCCAGCAAGGCCTTCAGCAGGATGAGGGGGTAAGGGTTGAGGAGGGTGAGGTTGTGGAACCGCAGGCCGCACGCGCCCCTGATGCCGGGGTCGCGCCCGGAGGAGGCGCCAACGCGACGGCCTCGCCGCCCACCGACGCCACCGCAGCCGCTGCTGATATGCCGGATGTCACTAACGCCCCCACCTGTGGCCCTGTGGCAGTTACGAGGTCACGGCAGCCCGCTGCTACAGCAGCACCTGCGGCTGTCCACCTGGCAGGACCGCAGCAGCAGCAAGAGGAGGAGGAGGAGGAGGAGGAGCGAGGGCAGCAGGAGGAGGAGAGTAGGCAGGAGGTGCAGCACGGGGCCCACCAAGAAGGGCGCGAAGAGACTCCTGGGCTGCGGGGAGGCTTGGACGAGCCTCAGCAGGAGCGGTGCCCGCAGCGCATGGAGCAACAGGGACAGCGGGAGCAATCCCAGGATCCGAGGGAGGAGGAGGTGGAGGAGGAGGAGCAGCAGCGGCAGCAACGGGAGGGAGACAAGGCGGGCGAGCAGGAGAGCAAGGCGCGGCGGCAGCACCCGCAGCCCAAGCAGCCGCCGCCACCGCAGCAGCCGAAGCAACAACCGAAGCAGCAGCAGCAGCAGCGGCAACAGCGGTTGCAGCAACCCGCGGGTTATGCCGTGGAGTGTAACAACCGACATGGCATGTTCTACCCGCAACTGTACATCATAGTGTGCAGGTAGGAGGGTGAGGGCTCGTGCGCCTTTCACAGCGATCCCAGATGGTCGTGGCGGATTACGGCTGTGCGGGGCTGTGCGGTTGGGTTCTGGGTTTGGGGTGGGCTGTGGCCATTCGAGGGCTACTTGCGGGGGGGTGCGGTGGTTGGTGAGTTATCTGTGCAGCCACTTGACTGCTGCCCTTATCATGCCCTTCACCTACAATTACGCATTTACGGTATCACTATACCATATTCAGCTCAGTGCGGAATATACAAACCCTATCAAAAGTGTAAATGCTACATTGCGGCATGCGCTACATGCCGCCACTTGCGGTCGCTGAGTCGGTACTTGCCGTACCTTGCCGTACCGCCACATGCCATACGACAGGTGCAACAGCTGCCTGTCAGATAACCCAGATCGCGGCCGCAGCTTCTTCCCTCCGGAGTTCGAGCGACATGCGGGCATGGGCGGCAACAAGCGCTGGAAGAGCAGCGTCCGCAAGACGGGGGTAAAGAGCGCCGGCGGGAGCGGCTTCATCAGCCTTGCGAGGTGGGTATACGGCATGAGCCGTACGGTGCAAGATCTCGAGGTGAGGTCTGGATAGCTTGTTCTTTTGGGAGGGGAAACGGCTTGGTTGTATGCTATTACCGGGCTTTGGGTAGGCGATCCTGCACAACTTCACAACATCGCTGCGACAACATCGCTGCGGAAGCTGCCCTGCCCTGCCCTGCCCTACGTATAAGCTAGCAAGCTAGCTATGTGCTACGCACTAAGCTTATATCTTCCCCCTTTACTCCTCCTTGCAGGTTTATGGAGGTCAACGGCATTCGGCCGGACCCCGAGGCGGTTGCCCGAGCCACCAGCCCTCACGCCGCACCGCCGCCGTCGCCGCCGCCCTTCGCACCGGAGGACACTAACTACAAGGGAGCTGCTGCCGCCGCCGCTGCTGCCGCCGCCGCCGCCGCCGCTAAAGCGGCGCCGCCAGCGACGGCAGCTGCCGCCGGTCAGGCCGCCGAGGCCTGCGGCGGCGGCCCTGCTGCAGATATTAGCGGTCGCGGCGCCGCTGCCGCTGCAGCTGCCGAAGTTCACGGTCCACATACAAGCCAGGCCAAGCCCGGCGGCTCGGGCACTCGGCACGGCGGCGGTGCCTTCGCCAGTGCGCCAGTGACGCCACTGACGATCCGTACACGGTCATCGACGGGCGGCAGTGGCGCCGGCGGCGCCGGCGGTGGCGGCGCACGGCAACTAGCATCACCCACCTCGCCCCGGGCTGGCGGAGCGAGTGGTAAAGGCCAACAGCAGCATCAGGAACGTCAAAAGCAACAACCGCAGGAAGAGCAACAGAGACAACAGCAACGGGAGCCACAACAGCAGCGGCAGCAATCACAGCAACCGCAACAGAGGCCTGGCGGTCCGGTAGCCAGCTACTGCCAACTGGGCCCTCGGCACCGTGCGGCAGTGTTCCCGGAGCTGCTGACGAGCGTCCCACGGGTCGTTCCGGCAGAGCTGCAAGGTGGGCTTCCGGGTGTGCAGGCTGACTAGGCGCCTGAAGGAGTTTGGAAGTAGCTGCAGGGTAGCTGTCTATTGGTTGTAGCGCCCCTCAAGTCATCTTACACCTTAGGAGTCATGAAGCGGAGTGCAGTGGTCCAACCCTTGACACCTTCGCCTTACAGCATGTACTTCATGTTCACATTTATATACCGGTATAGCAACGTAGAGACGATCCAACCGTCCGTGCTCTTCTTGTCACCCTGCCCATGAGATCATCACTATCGCCTGCTCATTGCTTTTGCTGCTGCACGATCGTAACAAACATGCTAACGAACACCCCCACGCCCCACCCCGACAGGCCAGGAAATGGTAGGCCACCGTATCCGCGTCTACTGGCCGCTCGACAAGGCCTTCTACTCCGGAACCGTTACATCGTACAATCCAGGATCCCGCGCGCCGTACGGTGTCGACTACGACGACGGCGACACCGAGCATGTGGATCTGAACAGGGAGCATTGGATCCTAGACGAACGCGATCGCAAACCGCTGCCGTCCGCGTTTCTGCAGCGCATGCTAGCGGCGCATGCAGCGGCGGCGGCGGCGGCGAATCCTGCCCTTCCGCTGCAGCTCCCGGAAGCTCTGCCCGCGACGGCAGCTACTGCTCCTCATGGCGGCCCTGGCGGCGGCAGACGTCGTGGCGGTGATGCTGCCGGCGGCGGCGCAGGTGGTACGGGTGCAGGCCAGCAGCAGCCTGGTCATCTAGCGGCGATGGCGGCGGCGGCGGCGCCGACGGCAGCGGCAGCGGCGTTCCAGGCTGCGCTGCTGCGTCCGGGTGGCGGGGGCTCCGCGCAACTCGCGGGGCTGAGCAATGCGGCGGCGATTGCTCAGAGCGCCGCCTTGATGGCCATGGCTATTGCCAGGCATCGGGAGCATGTGCAGCAGCAGCAGCAGCAACAACAACTACAGCAGCAGCGACAACAGCAGCAACAGCAAGGGCCGGCAGGAATTGAATTGGCGCTGCAACCGCCGCAAAGCAATCCACCGCCGCCACCGCCGCCGCAGCAGCAGCAGCCGCTTCCTGCTGCAGGCCCCAGTGCGGCCTCGGACCCACTGAATGGCACCTCGGCCGCAACCGCCGCGGCATCGTCACAGCCTCCGCAGCAGATAAACATCGTCCAGGCCGTCCGTACGGAAGAAGGGCGCCCCACTGCTCAGCACACTGCATTGGACCGTCCTGCCTCAGCCGTAGCCGCCGAAATGGCTGCTGCAGCCCCTCCGCCGCCGCATGGGGGCGGGAGCAGTCATGGCGACGCGTTGAAGGTTGCTGCACAGCAGCTGCCCCCCGGCTTGCAGGACTCCAGGCAGGAGGGGCCGGCGGCGGAGGCGCCGGCGGGGCATAACGCCCTGGAGGGCCTGCCGTGCGATGCTGGGGGTGGTAGCGAGGCGGGGGAAGGCACGAAGGCATCTCTGGGAACGGATGTGGCGGCGGCGCCGAGGGTGCAAATGGAGGAGGCCAGTGCAGGCATGGATGCTGCTCCCGCTACTGCTGCTGCTGGTCGTGAGGGTGCCGCGGATGATGCTGGCGATGCACATCCGGAGCTGCTGGCCTCATGCGGACCCATGCCGGCGGAGGCCGCCGCCGGGGCTGCGACACTTGTTCCCACGGCAACAGCAGCAGCAGCAACGACAGCAGCGACACCGTCGCCAGGAGCACCTGATGCCGCCGCCGGTGCCGATGCCGATGCCGATGCTTCCGACGTGGTAATTGACCAGTCCGCAGCATCGCGCGCCTTGTTGCTCTCCGTTGCCGCCGACGATGCCACCGGGCGTGCGACGGAGCCGTACGGGACCGGTACGGCCGCAGCAGAAGCAGCAACAGCAGACACGACTCGTCACCCGCCGCCACAGTCAACCTCGCCTGCGGAAAGCACTGGTGGCGGTGGCGGCGGCGGCGGTGCAGTTGCTATGGAGGTGGACGCCAATGCCGAAGCCGAAACACACGGCACGCAGCCGCATACGACAGATGTTACCGCAGCGCGGGGTGAGGTTGCGGGATCTGGTGCGGCAGTGGCGGGCACGGCGGTGACTCCTTTGGTTGCTGCAGGTGCTGGCGACGTCACGGATGGAGCGTCCGGAAGGGGCCATGAAGGGGCAGCGAAAGGTGAGAGAGGCAGCAGTGCTGCCGGCGGCGCTAGCAAGGAAAGAAACGACGGAGGCGGGGGCGGTGACGGCAATGGAAGCGGCGGTGAAGGGGCAGGCAAGGGTCCTGACACGGCTGCTGGCGCAAGGAGGAGCGCAAGCGAAGGCGATCGCCACCGCCGCGGCAGCAACAAGGCAAGCGAGGCGGCTATCAGCAGTAGCAGCAGTGAAAATGAAGAGGAGGACGAGGACAGTGGGAGTGACCACTCAGAGCCCGAACCGGAGACGGAGACGGAGACTGAAACAGAGACTGAAGTCGAGACGGAGCCGGAGCAACAGCAGCGGCAGCAGCAGCGGCATCGCCGTCGCACGAGACCTGGCAGCGGCACGCCGGCTGCTGCCTCACCAGCTGCGGCCACCGCGATTGTCACAAGCGGCGGGCCCGACGGTGCTGTTCCAGTAGTTTGCAATAGCACGAGCGGCGCCTTCCTCCTGAAACACCACCTTGTGGCGTGTCAGTGCCCCGGCTGCCGGAACCGGGGAGATGGAAAGTGGGGTTGCTTCACACCGATCGGCTTTGAGGAGCATGCGGGTGGGTTGGCTGTCTGTGTGGGGTCGTACTATGGGTGGTAGGAGAGGGAAAGGGAAAGGAAAAGGAAGGCGAGAGGTATGATGTGCACCATGGCCTCAGCTTGAATGCAGGGTGTGGGTCAATGGTCGTCTACCCCTGCCCACGCCCCCTTGCCTTCCTTGCCCAATTCCCTTCTTCATGCACGGCACATACGGTACCAGACAACATGCGTATACCTGCACATGCAGGCATGAAGAGCAGCAAGAAGTGGAAGAACAGCATTCGGCTGGGCGCCCTGACAGCGAGCTTCCCGGTCCTTGCACCCGCGGCGGCATCAGCCGGCGGCAGTGCCGGTGGCGCCGCAGCAGGTTTCGGAGCCGTTTCGGCAGCGTCGCTGGCGGCAGAGGAGGGGTGGCTGCCCGGTTCGGCGCTGGGCGAGTGGCTGGAGCGGCGCGGGGTGATCGTCGCGCCGAGCAAGGAGCGGCGGCGGGACCTGTCTCAGGTGGAGGTGGAGCGGTGCATGCGGGTGCGAGCCGGTGGCGGGCTGGGGGTTTGGGGTTTGGGAATGGATGGCTTGGGGGAACAGAACAGGTGACAGGAGTATCAGGGGTGCACGCATGCTTTGTGGTACAGACGCATGGGTGCAGCAGCGCACGGGCGCCGGGAGCGGCGTGGATGGGAGGACGGGAGTAAGCGTGCGGGAATACCGGTAAACATGGGGGGAAGGCAGGGCAGGGAAGTCATGCATGCAGGATGACAGCTTGGGACCTGCGTGTAGGGCACCCTGCCGCTGTTGTGCAAGTACGGTAGGCAGGGAGCGGTCGAGAAGGGTTACGGGGTGCTTCGAGCTAGCAAGCGCTGTCCGTTCCCCATTCGCTGACTTTCCAACTAGGCGCCGTTAACGGTCAAGTTCACGTCCAAACCGTTCAAGAGCTACCCCCTCGGCGGTGGCGTCGGTGGCGACGCCGCCGCCGGAGGTACGACAAGCCTGGCGGCGGCAGCAGCCGACGTCGACGCGGCCCTGGGTCCCGTCACCCCTGGACATCCTCGCAAGCGAGCGGCCACCGCCTCCGCAGCCGCCGGTGGCCCTCCGGCTGACGACAGTCGTGCTGTCGCGAAGCGTCTGAGGCTGTCAGCTCCACCGGCGCTTACCGACGGGGCCGCCGCCGCGGCGGAAGCGGAGGCCGCTGCTGCTGCCGCCGCTGGAAGTCCCCTGGACGAGGCTTACGCTGGGGCTGAGGACGGCGCTGCGGCGGCTGGGAACCGGGTCCTCCTTGCCGCGCCCGGGTACACGGTGAGGGATATGCTCAACTTAGTAGCAGTTTAGTAGTCGGTATACTGTTTGCTGTATATGCGGTGGTTGCACTACATGTCCTGAAGTTGAGTAGACCGGTACGTGGCGAGGCTGCCGCTTCCGCTGTTGACCTACCGCAGGTGCAGCGCTGCAGCGACCCCCCGGGCTTCGAGGTGTTCTGCCTGGTGCCCGGCTACGTGGTAAGCCCCGGCGGGGGCCTTCCCGCTTCGCACATCATCAGCTGCCTCAGCTGCACGTCAGAGTCCCTTTGACCATACTTCCTCAAGTCCCCAACTGCCTACGGAACGTCTGCGCAATGTTTGGGTCTGTTGATCCCTCCCGTCCCCATACCGCTGACACAGCAGCCCCCATTACCCCCTGCAGTAACCCCTGCACTAACCCATACCGGTAACCCTCCCACTACCGTACGTCATCTCGTACGCTGCCCCACCCTCGCGCAGCTTGATGAGGTGTCAGTTCGCGCCTTCGACAGCGGCCGACTGCTCATTCGCGCGGAGCCGCTCAACCCCAACCTCGCGGCGGTGTGGGGCGTGAAGCCCATCTGCCACAACATCCAATTGCAGCAGCCGGTGCGTGCGGAGACGGCCCAGGCGCTCATGACGCTGCATGGCTGCCTGTACGTACGCGTTAATGATGCGTAGTGGGCAGGGGGCTGTATAGAATGAATGAATGATCTGAAAGAATGTGGAGGACCCTATTCTGCTTGATTAGGGAGGGTCCTATGAAGGATGGTTAGGGGGCGTCTGTACGGTAGGGTAAAACCAAGGGTAGTTCGTGGCTGAGGCGGGGTTGCAGGGGATTGTGTGCATTGTTGTTATGGCGTTACAGGGATACCGTAAGATGTTTGGGCACGCAGGTTGGTATGGAAGTTGTTGGATGTATGTTTTGTGTACGAAAGGACGGCATTTGTGCGGAGTTGGTACCGGAGTTGGTTGCGGCGTGGGTTGTGGACCGTACCTGGGCGCTATGGTGGACGGGGGAAAATGCTGAAGAGGATATGGCATACCGGGTTATGGAGGAATGCAGTCGAATGGGGACTGTTGGACGTGCCCATGGGGGCGTTGCTGTGTTAGCATGTGTTAGCATGTGAGGGGGGTTTTCCAGGCCTGCTGCCATTGGCTATCCGGCCTTAGACCCTCCGCTCCTGCAAAACTGGCTTAGCTAGACATGCTTGCCGGTGGCTCTGGGTGCTATTGAAGGCATGAAAATGGAATGGACTGCTTAAGATCTGTGGCCATATAACCAGTCGACAATCGGTTTGGAGTGTCGGAACCTACCGGATCCTGGTTGTGCGGTTTGTACGGAGGTTACCATGCGAAGGGGACACGAAGTTTGGGCATACCGGGGAGCCATGCATGGGTCTGCAGGACAAGTCGCGTCCAAGCAAATGGGCGCCAACGATAGACTACATATTTTTGCGTTTCGTAGATGTGCGACAGAAATCCAGCTGCTATGGGATACTGACGTGCCATCTCAATCTGAAGGGTTAAGAAACCTAGAAGCGGCGGCTTGTCTCGGCTGAGAAGCACCAGCAAAGCCAAACACGGCATACCGCAAGCTTTAAGTTCTGTGCGCGTATCTATAATTCAGATGCCCTTTATCCTCGAACTTCACTAGTGGGGTTCGAAGGCGATCAGATAGCTCCAGTATGCTTATACTGCAGGCGTCGCCAGTTAGTCCGTTAGGAGTTACCCAGCAAGGGAGTTTAGCCTACCTCAGCCCTAATTTGCATCTAATTGCATAATCGTTGATACGGTTGGTATCGTAGGTATGGAGCCGCTATGCTCATTTCCTTTCTGGCTGTCCATAAAGGGCTTACGTGAAGTTGACCATTGCTTGCTGGGCCAGAGTTGCCTATGCACCTCTCAGGTTACACTCTTAACAGCTTAAGCCTAATGACTGGAACGTCAATGTCCATGTTCTCAGTAGATGGCTTATTACCTAAGTGTACAGCATAATGTAAAGGTTCACAGCACTTACGGGATCATTTACTGAATTTCCTAGTCAAGCAAAAATCGTATGTAAAAATATTGTTTGTGCTTTTCACACCCTTCTGCCATAGCATGAGCAACTCTCGCTTTGAATACTCTGATTGGTTGTAACGGCGCCATGAGTTCTTAGCAAGACGATAGGGAAATGGGCAGCTAGCATCTACTCCGAAGCTTTGTTTCTGGAGCGTTGGTGGAGGTGAGCTTGGGAGTCCGTCGGTCGGTCGAGGTGTCATATCCCCAGTTGACGTTGGGCCTTTATCTATATAGAATGTCCAATAGCATGTATACTCCTCGATATGGCACTGCGCACCAGTGGCCTTGTCCTTGTTGACTCCTTGCAAGCGAAACTTGCACGCTTCCTCGTAACCCTTCCGTCGGTGCATGCAGTCGGCTAGCTTTTGCGATATATGGCGAATATAGCCGGGGGCCACCTAGCGCTGCTATGCACGCTGGCCTGGTTCGCCTGGGTCTGCGCCGTGGTGAATGGCACAAATACTACGGGGTCTCAGTGCAGCAGCATTGACACAGTATTTGAATTCGCTGTGAAGACGAGTTCAGACGCGCCACCATCGGCCGTGTCTTTGGGAGCTGGTTGCAGCATGCTCCTGCGCGATGACTATGTTTGCACGCCCATCAATCGGCCTCTAACCGTGGAGGGTGAAGCCAACGGCTCTAGCACTTGGAATAACCAGTTCGACTTGTATCAGTTTTCAATCGATTCAGGTATGACCTTGAGCATTTAACACCCCGGCATCTCCCAGCAGGTTGGCTGTCATTGGGACCCTATACATGAGGCCCCCTCAGACACATATTGCTGGTAGTTCCATTATTCTTACACGACCGCCTACTTTACGCGCGTACCCACTTGTCCATGCTCCAACGTCTCTTCCCCTTCCCCCGACGTGTTGGGCTTCAGGTGTCTCCGTAACACTTCGCAACCTCGTGCTGTCGAACACGCTTGTCCTAACGGGTGGCTTTGTCAACCTCCAGCCCGCCTTGTTCCATATGCGGGATGGAAGTCGGCTCGTGCTGCAAAACGTGACCATGCAAACGCTCTGCAGCACCATTCAGTTCTACCTCAACGCCGCAACCTTTCCTCGGGGGCAGTTGACTGTGGTGAGTCCTACGTCTATTTTCCGACGCATCCTTGTCGTACTGTGTCGTACTACACCGGCGCCAATGGGCTCTTGAAGTGTACGAGCTGCAATAGCGTCCTTACAATAGCAGCACCGGCGTCTGATGACCTGGTTGCGTTCGCCTTCCCCCTCTTAGCATGCGCGAGGACTACGTTCCTGTTTGCGTGGGCTTGCCTTGTGTATTGCTGTGCCCGGTCCGATTCCCGCCTATGGGACCCTGTACCCCTCCAAAACGTAGCCTTACCCCTTCCAACACTGTGTATTGATTCAAACCGTTTCACGTGTCCTGCAGTTCACGGATGGGGATTCCTTGCAGCCATCCCTGTTCATCTCGAATCTTACGAGGCTGGGCGTTACCCTACAGAGCGTTACGCTCACATGCGACCCCTCCACCGCCCTGCCCGACACCGTCAACCTCCGGGTCCACACCGCACCCATCCTCACAGCCTTTGTCAGCGCAGCCAACGGACTGGGCCTTCCCTCCAACATCAGCCTTATGGACAACATAACGCTGCCGTACGTTGCATCTTACGATACCGACAGCCCTGACCCACGGGTCAGTGTCATCACCGTGGACACCGCTATTGACGGCTTCAACCTTAATTCCACGGACGGTACCACCAGCGTATCGTATGTGGATGCCAATTACACCGCGTCTTGGATGTATGTGCAGCCCCCTGCACGTCTCACGCTACGGCGCTTGGTCCTTACTCGACTGCGTCAATCCGCCTGGTCGCCTGGCGTCATGAATGGCGTGCTTGCGGGCGGCGTGTCCCTCTTCATGCTGGGCTACCCAACCAGCGTTTCAGGAAGCCTCCAGCAGCCAATACGCATCCTGCAGAACGTGACGCTCGTCCTACCGCAGTACGAGATCTCTCAGATGTCGTACTGGTGTGTCATGGTGAACATCATGACGCCTGCGTTCACGCACGTGGCGGGTTTCTTGCGCGCCATCCTCTACGTAAGCGACTGTGACGTACTCGATGGCAGCCGCTTGCTGTTCCGGAGGGTTCACACCACTACCAGCAGCTTCACTCGGACGTTGCTGACGAGCCAGGCGCCTCCCGGAGTGCCCCCAGACCCCACGACACAGCCGCCCAGTGGAACCGCGGGCTACCCGCATGTCACACCGCCGCTGCACCTGGTGTCTAGCGGCGCGGAGTGGGCGAACGCGGTAGCTCCGGTGTTGCCGGAGGACCTACAGGGCAACAGCAGCAGTCTTGGTAACAGCAGCAGCAGCAGCACGACTGCCTCTCAGCTGCCTGTATTGGTTCTGGTGAACGGCACGGTTGCCTTGACATCCGAGGACATGCGCGGCCCGGACGGGGGGCCGCGGGTGCTGCGACGAAGCGTGCTTGTGACCGCCACGCGACGCGGTTGCGGGGAGAGCCAGGACTGCCCGGTTCCTGTTTTGGATCTGGGGAGCTTGCTGGGTTCACTGCGGATTGAGGGGAGTAACACCACGCTGGCATTTGAGGGGATTACGCTGCGGAATGTAAGCCTTGTGTTACCGCCGGAGTCGGCAAACGTGGCGGACTTTTTCGTGTTTGACAGGTGCGGGCGTGGGCGGGTGTGTGATGCGGGCGGTGGAGATGCAGACTGTGTGGGTCATGTGGGGCAGGTGCACCGGAAGGGGCCTTGGATAGGGTAACTGAGCAGTTTGTTGTAGTAATTGTTCGGCACTTGCTGTGGCGTTTGGATGAGCTCGCTTCCGCCACAACGGGGGCACACAGGGCAACGGTCCATCAGCAGCAGCCTCATAACACCATCAGCGCACCCTCTGCCGTGACAAACTCCCGTAAGCGCTGGTTCCCGTGTTCTTGCTGGTCTGTTTGCGGCCGCAGGTCTTCCACGCGCGTGAGCTTTGGGTCCGTGAACATGCAGTTGACGGCCGCTAGGTTTGCCAGTCTGTATGACTCACTGGCCTCCTCCCCTTGGGGTACCTCACCAGGTAAGGGCTGGAGCCAGCTGCCGTCGGTTTTGGGCTTTGGAGAAACAAAACACAGCACGGGGGCGCTTTTTGCTTTTTGGCGTGAACATGACCTTGGGTTGCTCCGCTGCTTCACCCGCTTGCCCCTCCATTGCTTGTGCACTCGGCCGTCTCCATTACCAGCATCACATCGCAACGCGCTCTTTCCACCATCGTACTTTCGACTCTCTTCCTAATCCCATTTCGAGGTGTTTGATGTGGTTACGGCAATGCATGCAGGTGGCGTGGAGCTCTACTTTATGAACACATCGCTTATTCAGGTAGCCAGTTACCAAGGCTACGGCGTGCGTTGCAGCTGGGTGAACTTCACAATGCTTCCCGGCGAGTCGCTGCCCGCCTCAATAAGCGGGAGCCCCACCACCGCAGCACGAGGTGCCGGGCAACGTTCCACTGTGATTGGAGCCTGCGTGGGCTCCGTCGGCGGCGGACTCCTCCTCGCAGCGCTGCTGTTTGTGTTGCTGTCGCTGCGCCGGCGGCGGCAGCAGCGGCAACAACGCACCCTGCAGGAAAAGCACGAGTTAGGTAACGTATTGCCGCGGTCTGGATCCAGTCCAGGGTCGAGATCGGGGTCAGGGTGCAGCACCCAGGAGCTCAAGGCGCCCTCCGCGGGTATGGCGCTGGGCAACAGAAGGGGCGGCGGCTGCTGTGGCGTCGCTGCCGCCGCCGCCACAGCAGGTGCTGCCGCGCATGACGAGGACGGCAGTGGCAGTAGCAGCAGCAGCAGTCGGATTGTGAACGCCCTGGCCGGAACAGCTCCGATGGCGCATTCAGCCACCACAGAGGCAGCAGCAGCAGCTGTAGGGGCCAAAGCTGAGCAAGCAGTTGGCGAAGCACCCTGTGCTCCGGTTGCCGTTGCTGCGACTGTGGGTGCGGGTGCGGGTAGCGGCATGGAGGACGCAGCTGCGGGTGCGGGTCCGGGTGCGGGTGCTTCTGGGAACGGCGGTGGTTGCTGTATGGGCTCGCTTTCGAATGAGGTTGGCAGGCCGCCAATTACCGCTGCAGCAGCGGTGGCCGGCGCAGATGCGGAGGCGCCTACCGGGAATGGCTCCTCTGGGCCGGCAGCATTAGGAACGACTGCAGTGGCGGCAGCAGCAGCAGGCGGTGGGGCTGTCGGACGGAGTGGGGAAGGAACATTCGTTGGTTGCGGCTGCACGGGTTGCGCGCCCACGTCGCCGGCTTATGCTACCACGTATGCCGGATTCGGGGCAGTGGTGGCAGCCAGCAGTGACGTGGCTAGCCCTCACCCAGTCGTGTACATGAGCTGTCAGTGCCCATGCGCCCGTGCAGTTGCACCTCGCACCGCCCTTCCCGGCAGTTCTTACAGTGCTGGTGCTGGTGGCTGCAGCAACAACGCCGGTGGCTTTGGTGAGTTGAGCGGTCATGGCGCATCTCCTGGTCTGCCCGTTCTGGTTCCAACGGTGCAGGGCCTGGTGGCCTCCCTGCCACCCGTTCCACCCAGAGGACCGGACACAGTCATCGCAGCTAGGGCCGATGCGCCGGGCCTGGGGATTAGCAGCGGCAACAGCAACGACAGCAGCTGTCGTAGCGGCATCGCTGCGACAGCGGCTACCGCCCCGGTCACCGCAGCTGCCACAGCAGAAGCAGCCAGGTCCATCGCACGAACTATGTCTGCTGGTCGTCATGCTCTGTCCTCGACGGGCTTGGTGGATGGTGGTTTCGTGTCGGGGTCGGGGTCCGGGTCTTACCGTCTTGGTGGACACAGCCCCCGTCGGCTGTGTAAGCCCTGGCGCCGCATGTCGGCGATGACAACCCGGCAGGCGACCCTGCTGTCGGGTGCCATCGTCAGCACTGGCGGCGACAGCGCTCTTGGAACTGCTGCTGCGAAATCATCTGGACTAGGACTAGGAGGAGCAGGGGTGATGCCAGGAGCACATTTGCAGCAGGCTGGAATCCTGGCGGCGCCGGAGTTGGAGAGGTTGGCAGCACCCATGCAGGGTTCGGATCGGGGGGACTGGCAGGGGTCCCAGTCGTCTATGCATCGTACGGCGACGTTTGGGCGCAACTCAACCAACACGGATGTCAATAGCAGCAGCTGCTCTCCGGTCGTGTCTCACAGTCCCGTTCCCAAGGTTTCCGAGCCGGTCAGTGAGGTTCAAAGGCTAATTTCGGAGCTGTCGACCCATGGGTCAGACCAGCTGGTAATCCTGGAGCCCATTGGGCAGGGCGGCTATGGCACTGTGTACCGAGGTGCGAGGGGTGCTCAATGCGGATAGCTATCGGGCCCGACATTTCGCGCCTCCTGAATGCAGGCACATGCATTCCGTGTTATGCCTGCTGTTTCATAAGGAATATACTTCCATTTTCCTCCTGGGCACAGAAGCCCTTACCCGTTTCATGCCGCCGTACCGTTTTCCCTCCGCTGAGCTCCGCTCAGGTGTTTGGCGCAACCTAGACGTGGCGGTGAAGACGGTCCTGTTCCAGGATCGAGCCGCTGCTGCCGCCGCCGCCGCGGTGCCGACACATGCCTCGGCGCTGAGGTGTACACCCACACCCACTCCAGGCGCGGCGGCCCTGCCGCAATCGCAAGCGGCGGCTCGGAAGGCATCGTTTGTGGAATCTTACGAGGAATGCGCGGGGCAGCAGCTGGTGCGTGGGAGAGCGGTTGTTGGGATATTGGGTGCTTGATGAGGTGTATGCGCGGCAAGGGACCATGTGGCTGCAACCGTGCGCAAGTGAACCGGGTACGAGGTGGCCGCAAACGTTCCTGCGCATGATTGGTTTACAAGCTTCAGCTGTATCCTAAACGTTGCTCCTGAACGGTTGTCCGAAGCGCGCCCTTACGACGGCGGGACGACTCACCAACTTTCCTCTGTGTGCATGCCCCGGACGTTTTCCCTTCTGACCGGAAACCGCAGGGGCCCGGTCAACCTGCCTCCGCTACAGACGCAGCCCTCTGCAGCCCCACCCATTGCAGCCCGTCCCAGCAGCAGCAGGCGGCGACGCGCAGCAGTGGCCTGTTTAAGCTCTTCCTGGGCAACGGTGAGCAACTTGCCTGGGTGTCATGCGCTCATGCCTTAGGGTCCTCATGTGCAGGTTCTGTGCTTCCTTGGCTGTGGGTCGGTCACAACGGGCCTCCTGAACATCGTTGCTGGCTTCATTTTTAACGTTTCTTATGCGAGGGTTAACTCGTTAACAGTAGTCTGCGTCAATAGGGTGGCGGGATAACACATTCAACACATTGATTTGTTTATCGCTACGTTCTGGACCCCCTGACTCCCGCTGCTGGCTTTTCCAAACATCCCGTCAGGCACCAACAACGGATCCAACTGCGGAGGAGGAGCCGGCGCCCCTGCGGCGTCCCACCCCCCACCATCCCTCGTCGCCAGCCAGCAACGTGCGGTACTCGAAGCAGCCGTCAGCTGCTCGGTAACGCACCCTAACGTGGTGGCAACGTACCACTACGACATCACACCGATTCGCCCGGCTGCAGCGGTGTGCTCGGGTGGGCTGCAGGTTAGCGACTGGAACCAGTGCTGCAGCGTTGGCGTTGGCGGCGGTGGTGTTGGAGCAGCGGTGGCTGGCGGCGTTGTGAGTGATTGGAAGCTGTATCTGGTTCAGGAGTTTTGCGACGGCGGATCGCTGGCGGGTGCACTTGACCACCGGACGTTTCATGATGCGGCTGGCATGCCGAACTTGGTGAGCGCGTGCTGGGTTGGTTGTGGCTGTTGGGTTGGGTTGCGTTGAGGTGACCTTGAGGTCGGGTTGGGCTGGTGTGCGGAAGGGACGCGCCGTCTGCTGCTTTGCTGGAATTGAGTTTCATGGGCTGCGGCTTGTGGGACCCGGCATTGCTTGGCGCCGCCTGAACCACCCTGATGGAGCGGCTGGCAACCGCTGGGCTACGCCAGGGTCTCTGTGCCGTAATGCAGCGCCGCCCTGTCCCAATTGCCGTTGTTTCTGGCCTTAACCGCAGGCTCTGGTTCTCTGCGTCTTGGCGGACGTTGCCCGCGGAATGGCGCACATCCACTCCCGGAACATCGTGCATGGCGACCTGAACCCCACCAACATCCTCCTGCGCACCGCCTCTGGCAGCGCCGGAGGCATCCCGACTCTTCGCAGCCGCGGTCCCCAAGGAGCTAGCTCCACGGCGCCTGCCGTCTCCGCGGCCGCCGCCGCTAGCGGCGGCGGCAGCATTGGTACGGCAGTCGGAGCTGGCGGCGCCGCCAAGGGCGCCAGCCTACGCCATGAACTCGGCGTCAGCCTGGTTGCCAAGGTCGGGGACTTTGGGCTGTGTGGGATGTTGACTCCCGGCAAGCGGCACATCAGCAACGCCCAGCGAGGGACACCGTTCTACACAGCACCAGAAACGGTAGCAAACGGTACGGGGGTCCTGTCGATCTTCTCCTGTTTCTCTCACGCAGGGTGTGACGGGGTATGACCTTTCCGTTGCCAGCATGGCACCCGGTTTCCTTCCTCGTCGCTATGCCGCATGCAAGCCCATGTGCTGTCTATCCGCAGGCACGCTCACCAAGGCTTCAGACGTCTATTCTTTCGGTGTCATGACTTGGGAGATATACACGGGCCGCCCGCCCTTCCGCCATATTCCCGACGAGGGCTTTGTACGGGATGACTCATTTCCTCGCCTGCCGCCGCACGTACCGCCGACGCTGACCAACCTCACGGCTGCATGTCTCAGCACTAGCCCCGAGTCCAGGCCTACCTTTGATCAGGTACGTGAGCGGTGCTTTGTCACGACCCATGGGTCTAGCATCATCTTCCTTGGATTACCCAACTCAGCACCAAAAAGCTGCGGATGTGAATTTAGGCATAGAGACATATGACGTACCGGTATGCCGAGCCAATGAGCACCGACTGAGCAGTACTGCAAGGAAGCAGAGGTTACCGTTGCCTACTTAAGCCATTCACAAGGAGATTGTTATCGCCAACACGCACACCCGTTCACGCCGCAACCTATTCTGCCGCGCACTCGCAGATTCTGGACCGGCTTATCTCCCTCCAATCCAAGCTCGCAGTCAGCTTGCAGCAGCGCCTGTCTCGATTGGTAGCATCCCACCAGGGCGTCCTGAGCGCCGGCTTTCCACCCCAGCCCGTCTCGGTTCCAGCAGCAGGCACATGCTCGCCTTGCGCTGCAGGACCCGCGGTCTCGCATGCGGAAAGCGTTGACCCAGCAGTCTCCGCCGCTGTGGAGGCACCACCCGCGGCGGTTGCTGCGTCGGCCAGCACCTCCAATCCGGATGCTGCCGCTGTTGCCGCCAACGGCGGCGGCGCCGTCAACATCCTGGATACTTGCATGCAGGGGGGTCTGGGCGCAGCATGTGCAGTGCCGCCGCTTGCAGCGGTGGTGGTGGGTGCGGGGTCGCTTACGACAGGAGCAGCGGGAGCAGCAGGCAATGCGCTGATCAGCGGGAGTAGCAGCATGGCGAGCCTGTTTGGGATGCAACACTCGGGCGTGGGCTTTGTCAACGTCGGCCATCAGTCCGGGGTGCAACCTGCCATGCCGCTGTTCGGCGGGCCGGGCCGCTCACTGGGCGTTGAGTAAGGCGGTAAGGAACGGATGACTTGCAATATGTTCGTTGGCTGTATGAAGGCGTGTTGAGCGCGCGATAGCAGAGCGACGGATGGTGGGCCCGTGTGAAAGAGTCGCTTGCAAATGGCTGCTTATTGAAGGGAGGCTTTTAAGCGTTACATGCTTCTTGCTTTCGCATCTCCGCTCAGGGCCCGATGTTAGGTACAGTGTACTGCCAAGTACTGTTGCGCTTTGAGTATTGTGGGTCAAAGTGTTTCTGGTATGAAAAGGGATAGAGTGCAAGGCATGGCGTGGGCGGAGACGCTGATGTTACAAGTAATGGCACGGCTGGGGCAGGCTAGGGAGTTACGTTTTGCTTGTAGGGTTTTTCTGTCGTGTTAGACGCTAAAAGTAATGCTATTCTACGGCGCGCTGGGTATAACTTTACAAGACCAAATGGCCCAGCCAGAAAATTGGGGGCAATGGCAGAAAGCAAAATGGTACAAAAAGAAACGAAAAAGGGTGGTTTTGGTTTCAGGGCCGCAAATGGATGTACGCTTCCGGACCAACGCTTTGAGGGCAATGGAAGGAATTTCAGGGTTAGTACCGGACACTTAGCCACGTCGAGTCACAGCTTGCTCAAGGAAGAGCGGAATACGATTGACACGCTGAGCGGTGGGAGCGGGGGTGTGGCGCTGCACCGTTCCTGTGAGCTTCTGCGACGGACTAGGACTGTTCATGGGCATGTAGACGCGTTCTGGCCCCTCGGGGCTGTAGGCAGACGTTGTAGAACGGGTATTGGGAGTTAATGTTGCACGCTTTCGTGAGCGCAGGACGCAAGGTCCACGCCGTATTTGATTATTGCTAGTGTTGTTTCTGTACGTGCTCCTCTTAAGCTACCTGTGGGAGTGTACTTCGAGGGCAACTGCAGGCATTTAAGGGGTGGCTTCAAACCCGGGAATAATGGTCTCCCCCGTGTGAAGTCTCCACGTATTGTGCGCCATGGCAAGGAGCGAAGGAGGACGGTAGACAATACCGGTATGCGTCTGACGTCTGCGACGCATTGCCGAACACATGCGGATGCGTGGGATGGTGTACTACTACAGCCGTCAATAGACGAATTTTTGCCATCCATGTTACGTTGGCAGCATGTGTGCTTGTGGTTTCTTATGATGGGTATTGAGCAAGGTCATCACCGGTTGGCTTGTCTCCGGACCGTAAATTTCATGTTGGCCTGTGCGACCTCGTTACAGCAGGTCTTTTGGGGACGTAGCAAGCCATAAAGGGGGGGTGCCTGGCGCCTTCTGCGCATGTTCGCCTGCGCCACTTGCGCTTATTGCACCTAAGGCCTGGCAACTTCATGATTGGCCGTGGCCTGTGGGCGGGGTCATGATATGCACTCACAAAGCGTCTTAGATGTCTGGATTGGCTCTGTGTGTGATTCCTCCAAACGGAGGCCCTTGGCAGGTTGGTTGGCGACTGCATGCATCAACCATTCAACATATTTCACCGTATGGTGCTGCTGCATCAGAGTTGCTGCCGTTAATTGCATGTTGCACGGTTATGCGTGACACACTTTACACAACACTGGTCGTTTTCCCTTGCGGCTTGCTTGCGGCTTAGCAGTTATCTTCGGTAGTAAGAAGTTGGTCGGATCGGTTTGCGTGTCTCTTATGCTGTGAAAGAACCCAAACAAACGCCTTGCCAAGTGCGCACCCATTGTGGCGAACGGCATGCTTACGGCGCTTCCAACAGACACCTGAGCCTCCCTTTCGATCATGGCCTTGGTTCCTAAATGCTGAGACATCCTTTAACCGGTAGTGCCCCAGTCCATCGGGCCATGCCCGCCTCCTGGGGCCATCTTCGTGGCTGCAAAGCATAGCCTGGAAGCGGGTGCATCGGATTGCGAGTAGGCCTTTCCATACCGTACCGGTAGCTGTCAAGGTAGTTTCTCATGAGCGCATTTTAATAAGTTGCTCTCCGAGCATGCATTCCAAGGCAATACGAGCAGGCTGCGGTCTCATCTATGCCTGTCATCGGTACCAGGTCATTGCTAAGCACAACAAACGCAACATGTACAGCTTAACGTCGCGAGGAAAGCATGCTTATTGGGTGCATGTTCCCTTTATGTTTTATATGCATACCGTTTTGCATTTTAAATGCCAGTAAATACCAGTAAATAAATTAAATACCAGTAGGTACCGGTAAGGTCCCCAAGACTTTTAACAGGCAACCGGTTTGCCACACGCCGCTAGATACCATATATATAATTACAACATGCGGTACCAGTTAAACGCTATAAAAGAGCGGCAATCGATATGGCCACGGAGGTCCTCCTTCGACGACTGGGCAAGCATAATGTTTGTTCCTGGATCCAGCAGAGATAGCCATTGCCTTTCATATGTAAGATTCAGGTTGGTTTAATATGTTTGTTTTGTCTTCAGGCGGATTTGTCAGGTCGTCACGCGGACGTCGGAAAGTGAATAAGGCATCACGATCTCGGAGCCGCGTCGCAGCGGGTTCTCCGCTTTTGATTTTGTTATGGCTGTATTTTTTATTGCCTAAGAATACCCCGCAATGTAAGTATCAGAGCACGCTTTTCCACAGCTCCGAATCCATGCCCCACCTGGCAACCGATGTACCTAACGCGTAGATAATACCCGAGCTAGACGCTTTTTGCGTTTGCACAGAACCACTGTGGTGGCCAGCTTTGCGGGAGCAGTGGCTTCGTTTTTACTGTCGCCTTAGATGCTCACCTAGCTCTAGGCGGACTTCCTAATAGTTGACATGTATGTCCGACACTTAATTATCTTTAAGTAGCTGCTATTAAAGTATGGACGTGCGTCGCTGGCGGAAGGGCTTCTTCCTGGCCCTAATTTCCTTGCTTCTTTCAAATTCACCTTCCGCAAACTCTAGCACTTGCTCTATTCAGCTGGTTGGTAACTCTACCACTGGTGCTTTGCTCGGAAGTGCGCAAGGTGTCGCTGATTGCCAATGCTGGGAGGAATACGGTTACGGGCGAGGAGCCATTATCGAGTATCCATATTTAAACTCTGAATTATCAGACCTTTGCGACATGGCGGGCTTTCCTGGTGGCCTATTTGGTAAGGCACCACACTATAACGACTGGAAGCTTGTTGACGCAAGGTCAACGCTGTCAAAGCCTGTCCGGCTGTCCACTGACAGTTAACCTTTCCACCGGCAGGGTATAGCGACAACAGCAACGACGCTGTCGCGGTTAGACCCTGGTGGCGCTCAGCCCAGCCAAACGCCACTACGCTTAAGTTCTCCGGCTCTCTAATCACCCTCGATGGTGAAGGTTCCCAGGTGCCCACAGCAGCCAATCTGGACCTAACTGCCAACGGTCCATTCATGCCGTTGCTGTACTTCAGTCGCGTCACCAACCTCACCCTGCGCAACCTTGTGTTTCGCAACCTAACCGCCTCGGGACCCCTCATCCTGCTGGAGGGCTGCAGCAACGTCACGCTGCAGAACGTGACCTTTGAGGACGTGCGGTTTGTGGCCGGCTCTTCCACGGCAGGGCTGATCCGGGCTGTGCGCTTGTCGTACAGCGACGCTAGCTCAGCCGCTGCAGCAACAACTGCAGCAGGTGCCGGACCTGACGCTCCACTCTCAGATGTAGTCATGCGCGGAATCACCGCACGAAGGATCTCCGTTGCCTCTTCTGGGCGTTCCACAACTACAACCACCACCTCCAACTCCGCTCATGTCACCTTGTCCGGGTGCAGCAATGGCTGCGCTTTGGAACACATGGCGTTTGAGGATATGGAGCTTGATGCCTCGTGGGCTGCTGCACTCGCAGTTAGTGACCTCTCTTCGGCCTCCCTCTCCAATGTACGCCTATCAAAGATAACATCTGCTGGCTCCTCCTGCGGCATCTCGATCTCCAATACCAGCAACGTACGGGCTGCGAACACAACCGCCAAAGGCTTTTCCTCTGGATCCAATAACCTGCAAGCCTCCGCATTATGTGCGCGACAAAGCGTGGATCTGGTTCTTAACGGCTACAGCTGCAGCGGCTGCAGCTCACGCCAGGGTCCCTGCCTCAACACTGCCTTGTCCTCCATCTCACTGTCCGGCGGCAACTTCACGGGTAACACAGCCACTGTAGGTGGTTCCGGAGGCGCGCTTTGCCTCCTGGGTAATGTGGCAGGCAGCAGCGCTGCTTTGCAGTTGTCAAACTGCACTTTCGCGGTCAACACGGCGGGGTCAGGAGGAGGTAAGTTGCTGATGGCAGTCAGGAGGTGTTGTGTTGCGCTCGTGAGTCCCGAAGGCGACTGCGATGATGACCTTTTCACACTGTTCGATACTGACTGGCACAAGCGCACGTGTGCAGCTGCTTCCGCTACCCACTGTCTAGCGCCTTGCTGACAGCCTGCATGCTGTTTTCCACCCCTGGTATCGTGTGTCATTAACATTACTGTCCCTGCCTTGACGCCCTACACTTCATAGCCATCGCCGTGGTGCCATCCAACGGCGCGTCGTTGTCTCTCGACATCTCAAGCAGCACCTTTGTCAAGAACACCGCGTACATGTACGGCACTGAGCCCGCGTTTGGCGGCGACATCTACTCTGTGGATGATAGCAGCCTGGTCGTTAGTTCCTCATCCTTTGTGGGCAGCACCGCCGCAGACGGGGGCAGCAACGGCGGCTCCATCTACGCCCGAAGGTCGCGTGCTGCCGTTAGCGGTTCCAATTTTACTGGTTGTACTTCTCTCAACAGGGGCGGTGCAATTTATCATGAGGTAAGGGGCCGGTGACAGAGGTGCGGGTGAGCATGATTGCTTCTCTGTTTAGCCGCCGTAGCCAGCATACCTGCATACGTACTAGGCATCATCGCCACTGTCCGTTACAGTGTCTCCAAATTCCTGTCTGCCCAGGGTCAAATCAACCCCTCATCCCGCGTATCATTTCGCGTCCCCATTGCGTTTCGGCCCTTCTCCCTACCACAGCCGGTTGCCAAGTACTGCCCTTCGCCAGATTCCTGCTCCCTTTCATTGGATGCCTGCCGCTTCGAAAACAACTCCGCTGATGAAGGCGGAGCGGTGGTGTTCCTCCTGCTCGAAAACACCATCAGCGGCTTCAACGTCAGCTCCAGCACCTTCCTATCCAACAGTGCTGGCAATGTGGGAGGCGCAATCTCCATGCCTGGTAACTGCGAGCCCTACGTAAATGACGCGTGCAAGGTGCAAGCAGATCCGAAACGCCAGGCGCTGTCAAGGCTCCGGAGCTGTCGCTTCGAGGGCAATTCAGCTCTGACAGGAGGTGCTGTGTACTATGCGTACAACAACGCGCAGGGGTTGAGCATTACGTCAACAGAGTTCGTTGGCAACAGTGCAAAGGAGCATGGAGGTACGGGAAGTTGATGTATTGATGCACCTGGCTTATGAGATCTGGAGCACATGTAAGGAGACTGCACTGTTTATCTTAACCTGCCTGTCTTGCTTGGTTTCTGACGTTAAGAGCTAATGCCAAGCTGCAATGAGTATACGTACGGGCCCACCACGACCGTACATACATGCCTCAATCACCCGATGCGGCCCCAGGTCTTCATATCCGTGCCGTACCAGCCGTGGAGATATCGGACACGCTTTTTGCCAACAACACTGCCACGCTCATCGGCGCTGCGAGCTTGTACTCCCTGCACTCCCACGCGCTGATCAACAACGCCACCTTCCGCAATAACAGCTGCAACCAGGGTGAATCGGGCACGGGGTCGGCTCTGTATGTTGCGGAGTACGATGGAGTTACTTCAAACGGTACTCAAGATGGTGAAGTGTTTACTTTGACCCTCTCCAACAGCACCTTTGAGGTAAGATAGGGGTACCAGTAGTAGAGGGAATGAAGACCCATACGCGCGTAGAAGGATGAGCCTGGATAGAGATGGCTACGTTCATGTGTGTGGAATGGAGCCCATAGGATCATGGCATAGGACCCGCCCGCCACTCGACGTATTGAAGTCAGCCCAAGGACCAGCTTCGCAACATCTACTCACGCCTAACGCACGCCTCATCTTATAGCCCGCACATATGCACTCGTTCCTCATAGCTACCGGAGTGCCGGTACCTGCCTGCGGGTCCTACCTGCTCCACCTACCATGTACATCGCTGCCCCCACCCTCTGCAGGATAACTTTTCCAGCTCCGAGTCTGGAGGCGCCTCCATCACCCGTTGTAACGCCCTCCTGGAGGTAAGGCAAGGGCAAAGCCTGTAAAGTTCCCGATGACATGTTGCATGTTTGTTGGCGTATTGCACCAAGTAAGCAAAGGGCGAGAGAAAGGGCATGGGTACCAGGTTAGGATGGGGACTGCAACTGAGCCACGCAACTTCCTCTGTGTGCCGGAAGGCAGAGTTTAGGCTTGCCGCATAGTAAGGTTTGCGGCATAGGTTTAGCTGACAGTGGCAGTATCCGTTAATTCCTGGCTCGCGAACAGGCAGACTTCTTGTTCTGCCCTTTGCTTTGATGGCCCTTGTCCACGCTGTGCCTATCCCTGGCCTACTGTTCGGCGCTGCGTCACCACACTCCCCAGGACGTATCATTCCGCAACAATGCAGCTGCCCGGAAAGGTGGAGCCCTGTACCTCGAACCAGATGTGGGCGGCGTACTGGTGGCAGCAATGGACAGCGTCAAGAGGCGGGTGGGTGGACTCCGGCAGTGCCATGCAACCCTTGAAGCTGCGACACAACAGCCCCCTTGTCTACATAGTGCACCCCTCCCGAACGCACGCATTCCACGACGTTAGTTCACTGCCTGCCTCATCGATGACTCTATTTGCTGGTAACTGTCATTCGCTCCAGGTCACCGATGCCACGCTGCGACGTGTTCGTTTCCGTGACAACCGCGCCACCACCAACGCGGGAGCGCTGCTGGTGTCGGGCTGGCGGCTGCAGATGGAGGACGTTTCGTTCGTCAACAACAGCGCCAACACCTTTGCAGCGGGGGGTTCAGACAATGCGGGCGGAGCCATGATGGCGACCAATTGCCCAGCCACGCTGGAGCTACGCAATGCGAGTAGGCCTTAAATGATATGCGGCTTAGTGCACGACTGACCCATGGGTCACATTCTACGACATCCTGCTAGATGGCTTCCGACCCCTTGACAAACCAGTGGCCACATCTCCTGGGCTGTTGCTTTCGACAAGGTGTCTGCCTGGTAGCGTGCGTTGTCTTCGCGGAGCTCTACGTCATGTACTCACGTTGTAACTCACGTCGCTGTTTGTGCATGCAGGTGTCATTTTCGCAAAACCGGGCCTACCAGGGCGGGGCGTTGATTGCCGAGGTGTGCAACATGACGCTACGCAACGCCAATTTCAGCAGCAATACGGCTCGCGGTGATGCGGTGAGGTTTGCGCCAGGGATGCAGCGTGCACGTTTGGTACATTACCTGTGGGTATGCGGTACAGTAGTTCATAGTTTACGAGTTCAGGCCCCTTATAAGCTGCTGCAGACACATTGTGCAACGTGCCATGGGTAACCGGGAGCGTTACCCGCCAAGTACCGGTATTAACCCACCTTTCCCTTATTCTTTTTCCCAACGGTCGGCCTCCAGGGTGCGGTGCTGGTTACAGGCTTTACTTCAAAGGATTTCACAGCGGATAGCTCGCCGTACGCCCTCAATTTGGTTGACACCGCCTTTGAGAAGAACATCGCAAGCGGTGTCGGAGGGGCGCTTAAGGTGCGTGGTTGATATACATCTTTGTGTTTTTAAGGGTTGAAGGTTGTAATGGCTGTCCATATCGCACAGAGCGTCTGTTGGGATGGACTCACGGATGTCGGAAGTGCGGTTACTAAACTCAACTCTACGTGCTGACCTTGTACAGCACGCCTGTAGATAGCCCGTTGCTCTAGGTGCATGCCGTTTAGTTAATCTTAGACACGGTTTGTCGTGTTGTCGCATTAGGCCCATACCATGACACCAGCCACCTTGCAACTCGCCCATGTGCAGGCGTACTGGGCTGTTGTGTCAGCAGCTGGCACGGTGTTCAACAACAACAAGGCTAGTATCCAGGTACGCATGGCGGGTTATATACTGGACGCATGCTAGCAACGGATGCCAGCAACATGCTAGCAGGGTTGCACCTGGCTGCATGAAAGGAATTAAGCACTACGAGAATTTACGACGTGCAAGACAGCGCAGCCTCAATTTTGAGTGCTGTAGGTTGCCTTGAATACGCTGAACCTGCTCTATCTGATACCCTACTCGCCTTACACACATGATACTAACAGCCTGCTGCGAACCCCGCCTGCTGCCTCTTGAGCTCGCTTACCGTCCCTTACCGGTAACCCTCACTTTGCATTGTGGCACCCTGCCGCCGCCTATGTCCATGCTTTGCCCTAACTTGTGGTTTCCTATGGTTTGGTATGGTCTTTGACCCCCGCCCTTCCTTCCTGCAATGTTCCCATTTATAGGGAGGAGCGGTCTACCTGCAGGTGAGGTTGGACCGGGCTTAGGGCAGCTTAAGGCGGGCAAGCCCACCGTGTGTTCTTGCCTGGCTTGGACGCATGTGCAGGGGTTCTGGACGACATTAGCGTTTCCTTGCTGCTAGGTTAGGCTTGTGTTTAGAAAGCTGGAAGCGAGTCGGAACGTACTGTGATTTCCTAGGGTAGGCATGTGTCCATTGCACAATAGCAGGGAGCTGTAGCTTGTAGGTGCATGGCAGTACAGGTGACCATAGCTGTTGTCCATTCACATGTGAACATGTGAATCCCGCTGTCACGCCCTGTCCTCTTCTGAGAACCCCAAACCTATTAGAAACGTTGGGCCGCACCTGTGCCATGTTCTACAGATTGTACCTCCCATGCCGCATACGGATAATGGAGCAGCCGTTGACACGGGTGTAAGGGTAAGTGCAATGGGAGGCGCGGGGACAGGACACCCTCCCGGAAACCACAGCCCGTTCTCCAATATCCTCAACACACTCCCCGTCATTGCCAAGCGATGTCGGGGAAAAAGATACGCCTTGACTTACCCCTTAGCTGCCTGTGCTGGTACTCATCACGCACGGAGTATTTAACTAGGGATAGGTCAGATTAACATGCGCTCTATGACAACATGATTTCCCTTTCCACTGTACCCAACCGCAGGCTGTGTTTGACCGTTGCGAGTTCCTGTCAAACGCCGTCAACAATTCCGGCGGTGCACTATTCCACGCTGCTTCGGCCGTGCACTTGAGCGACTGTAAGCTGTACGACAATAGTGCTGGGAATGGCTTTATCTCCGACAGCTGGTCTAACGCCGGCGGCGCCATCTTCGGCATGAGTTGCACCGCGCCCATGCGCCTGGCTGGCGGCGAGCTTAGCGGCAACCGGGCGGATGGCCGCGGAGGTGCGGTGGCGCTGCTGTCGTGCGCCGCTTCCCTGGAGGGGAGCGACATGTACGGAAACATCGCCAAGCTGTCGGGCGGCGGCGTGTCAGCCGGACACCAGGTCACCAGCGCGCAACCCGAGGTAGGGTCAAATCTATTGGCATTGGGCCCGGAGAACGGGTAGGTGTTAACAGCAAGCCAGCTCCTGATTATACAGTCAGGGACTTTGACCGCCGTGCACGAGCCTCCTGAATCCCTTGGATGGTGCCATGCCATTTTCGCAGGGCCCCGAGCTCTCCATAACCAACTGCACCCTCCGATCTAACACTGCGGCGGATGAGCACGGAGGCTCCGTGCACACCACCAGCGTGCCGCTCAGCCTGCGGGGCTCCCGACTGGCAGCCAGCACAGCTAAGCAGATGGGCGGAGCGGTCTTTAGCAGCGCGGCAGCCTCCGTCACCATGTCGAACTGCACGTTGGAGGGCAACCGTGCAGGGTTGTCTGGAGGAGGCTTGAGAGCTGAGGGCTGCGGACTTGTCATGGTAAGTACCGGGTTGAGGGCAGACAAGGAACCCAAGCTGCGTCACCATGTTGAAAAACGAAAAATTATTGGGCTTGTCCTTAGTCCTCACTCGTCACAGAGCTACACCTTGCGGGCTGCTAGCCTGCCTACGGGTGCCTAGCAACGCTGATGTATAGATGGGGTCCTTACGTGGAGCATGCAACACCTCGCAGCCCCAATACATTGCTTCTTAGGAGTGCAGCTGCCTAAAAGCCGGTATTGTTCCATTGCATGCTCAGGTCGACGGCTTAATCGTCAAGGACAATGGTGCCGATAACTCTGGCGGCGGATTGGGGCTGCTGAATGCAAACTGTACGAGACTGCATGGCCTGCGGCTTCTAAACAACAGCGCCGACTATGGGGCAGGCATGCATGTGACCATGCCTGCGCTCACACAGCACATACCAACCGCTGCTGGGCTGCCCTGTGTTACCGCCTTCAGCAAGCAGCTTGGGAAAGGATGGAATGGACAACTAACCCGTGGCTCACAGGACATCCTGGCAGTGCAGGTGGGACATCGCTATCATGTACTCGGTGTGCTATTAATTGGCCATATATGTCGATGTTGGAGGTACTTTCCCTGCAGCTGAGCGTTGGCTTACACTTTGAGGCTTCCTGTCCCCCCTTACCAGGCTTTCAGCTTTGCCCCCTTTCTCTTTCCCACAACAAACGCAGGGGACTTCCTTTGGCCTGGTGGCCTCTGATGTCAGCGCTCACGGTAACAGCGCTCACGGTGCCGAGGGCGGTGCCCTGTTGCTAGAAGCAACCCGTGGGTCTGTCCTCATTGACACCTTGAACGCCAGTGGCAATTTTGCCGGCACCGACGGGGCCGCCTTGGCGCTGTACAGCACGCGCGCTGATGACAATATGTTTTACTTGTCGTCAAGTCAGTTGTACGACAATGAGGCGGTTGGGATTGGCGGCGCGATTGCAATGGACGGCAGCTGGGCACATCAGCAGGTGCTTCAAGATTGCTCGTTGCTGCGATTATTTGGATGTCGTGCTACACCACTGCTTCTTTTACCACTCTTTTTGTCGGGACGGGTCTCAGATAGCATGGCGCAGGAGAGCATCGCCGTTTCCTCCAAGTATTGCCCCCCAATCCTTGCACCTAGAACCGAAGGGTGCAACTACTGAACGCTTGCCTCATCTCTCATGCACTCTACGTGTCGCAGATGTTCATTTCCAACACCACCTTCCAGCGCAACCGCGCCGCCTCGGGTGGTGCCGTGAGCCTCACTCGCAACGCCTCCCTAGCGCTGCAAGACTGCACCCTGGAGGACAACACAGCGGCGGGCAGCAGCGCGGGCGACAGCGGCGACGGCAGCGGGGGATCACTGTACGGCGAGTCGTGCAACTGGATGATGGTGGGTGTGCGGGGCTTGGCAAGGGGTGTTCATGTGCGTGTTTCCATGGGCTGCAAGTTGATGGATGTAATCCTGCATATTTTAAATTGAATACCGTATGGTAGCATCCGGCACACTTTGGAAGCGGCGTGTCGCTCCCTAGCCGTTTCGCCCAGCTTTCGTTTGAGTTGTAAACTGACAGGGTTCCTCGCCCTTCACGCCCGCATGCATGCAGCTGAAAGACACCACCATCCGCACCTCTTCCGCTGTCCGGGGCCACGGTGGCGGACTGTACTGCTCCGGCTGCGGCGGCGTGGTGCTGCACAACGCCTCCCTCGTCCTCAACGACGCAGCGGGGTCGGGAGGGGCGGCCTATGTTGACGCCTCCACCGCCACAGGGCCCTCCCTCGTGGCAGTGCTGGGGGGCAACATGAGCTTCAACGCAGCGGGCAGCAACGGCAGCAGCACAGCTGTTGCCTCGGATGGCAACCTCTTGTCTGGTTCAGGAGGTGCGTGTCCCTTACATGAGTTCACTTCAAAATAGAATTTCCCTGTGTTGTTTGCCCTCTTGCACGCCTGCCTGCTCTCCTCACCCTGTGCACTTCATTAGTTACCATGTCCGCCCTACCTCCTCTGCATACCGGTATACGACTAACAGGGCTCCCCCCATCCTTTCCCGCCTCATGCACTCCATCCCCTCTGCAGGCGCGCTCTACCTGGGCGGCCGGCTGGCTGCGGTGCTCAACGGCAGCCGTCTGGTGGGCAACACGGCGGCCAGGGCGGCGGGCGCACTGGCGCTGGACCTACGCTGCGAGCAGGTGAGACGGGACGACAAGAAAGCGGGAAGGGTAGGGAGTGCTGTAGCGAGTGAACAACTGAAGACTAAACCAATCGCTTGCTGCACGTATCGCAGGATACCTCCGGCGGCAGTGGCTTGGTTCCCTCCTCGCCACGCCTTTTCCCGCTCCTGGGTCGCAGCAGCATTGCTACCTCCTCCTCGAGCTCCCCTGCGACCTCTCTGGCCGTCTCCATGTCCTCCCTGCGCCCGGGGCTTGCGGAGATCGCTGCAGAGAGCGCCCTCACTCTGCAAGCACTGGCGGGAGCCGTGGGCCGCAGTGCAGCTTCAGATTGCTGGCCGGCGGTTGCAAACCGGCCGGGACTTTGGAACAACACGGCAGGGGTGAGAGACGTACACATTTCTTGGCATATCCACGGGGTGCTTCCTGCTGTCTGCGTGTCATTTGACTGTAGCAGGCATAGATACCGGTGGTAAGAGCTTTGTTTACCGGCGCCCTTATTGCTGCCGTGCCTGCACCGCGTACTGCTTCAATAACGCCGGCATGACACCTCTCCTTCTAAACCTCCTTCACAGGAGAGCGGTGGCGGCATCTTCTCAAGCTCCCCGTACACCCTCACCCTGCTGTGCGATGACGGAGACAGCTCCACAGCCTGCTTTTTAGACACAGAGCTGGCAGACATGCTCAATGCCATCTTGCAGAGCAGCACCGGTAACAGCACCGGCGCCGCTAGCAGCATGACGCCGCCCTCGTTTTCTCCAGTTACCGCAGCTCAGCTTTTCGTACCATCACCGCCTTCTAGTTCCAGCGCTTTTGGTAGCAGCAACAGCAGTAGCAGTGGCAGCAGTGGTTCGGTGCTGTATTTGGGAATGCTGCCATCCCTGGAGAGAGTCCAGGGGCAGTGTCTTACTCAACAGGAGAGCTATGCTGCCGTGTCCCCTAACACGGCAGTAGCTGGATACGGTAACCAGGTTGCCACGACACCGAAGCAAATGATTCTTTCCGCGCTTTCAGAATACGAGCAGGGCGCTTTAACGTCGTACACCAGTAACATCGTTGGGACTGGAAGCAGCAGCAATAGCAGCAACACCCCTGACAAAGCTTCAGGGGTAAATCGGAGGTTGTTGACCGTGCAAACCGTCATTCCTAGCAGTGGCACCGGGCCCACTGTTGATAGCTCGAGTGGGAACGCGGTGGCAATGCCTTCAGGGACACTCGACATCGCCGAGCTCACATCCGGCAGCAATAGCAGCAGCATGGCTGGGTGGTTGCGTCGCGCGGTGTTGCAGGTGGACGGGCACCTGGCTGAGGAGTGCCGGCCGGGTCAGCGCTGCGCAGTGGTGCTGCCGACCAATGTGGCGGTGGCTCTCGACATCTCGGTGTACGATGCGCTGACGCAGCTGGTCAACGGTGAGTGGGATGGCCAGGAGATCAGCATTTAACAGGATGGAGTTAATTGTCGGGCTATGTCACATCTCCATGCACCACTCATCGAGCTGTCCCCTCCTGCACAACCCACTCGGCCCTATGCAGACTCCAGCACGGTTCAACCTGTAGTCCGTCTTTCTGTCAATTCAACCAGCTCTGGTCACCCGATCGACCTACTGGGCAATCCCACAGCCCAGGTACGGCCATGGCAGCCGTTGGCCTTGGGGAAGTATGGCTTGGGGTTGTAGACTATCCTTTGCCTACGTCCCGCCCATCACGTCAAGCATTACCATTTAACCCCAGCCCTGTGGTCAATGATGCCTGCTTATGTCTTGAGCTCTTGACTGGCAAGCTGGCACTGCTGCACTTCCGTTCGATTCTCGGATGCATGAGGTGGCTGGTACAAAATAATTAAGGTTGGTACCTGTCCCTGGCAATCTTACCATGACATGCAGGCGGGCCAAGGGATTGCATCCATTTCTGGCATCCGCGTGCGCGCCCTGAAGGGAAACTACACGATGCAACTGGACCTCAGCAGCACTGTCGGGCTGCAGGTACGCGCGCCTGCCGTGAAGATGCCCTGGAGGATGTTGAAGGAGGCAAGGAGGCCCGGTCTAGTTAGACTTGTCTGAAATACGCATGTCTTGGAATGGCTAGGGGTCCTTCATGCGTGCATGGAAGGTGGCCCACCTGCACTACAATGCTGCTATTGTACTGCCAAGGCCCGGTTTTAGGCGCGTCTGTTTGACCGGATGTACGTCGCGCAATGCCGCCTTGGGCAATGGGCATGTATGCACGATGCGCTAAAGCGCAGACCTAGCCGGCTCACAGCGGCTGCCTGCCTGCTGACTGCTTACCACCTTATTTCACCGCTTATGGGCAGGTGGATCCTCTGGTTCTTGACGTCACCGTGCCGCCTTGTTCCCTGGGGGAGGCGGTGATGGATAAGGGATACTTCTGCTCCAGGTGCGGCGCTGGGGTTGTAGTCAGAGGCAATGCAAGTTGTGGGCCTGATGACCTAGGCACGTCTAGATTCTGCCTTTCCTTTATTAAATGTTTTGAATAGTCAGGACATGCCTTCACGGCTTTGCTAGGCGTTTCCTGGTGCCCCTCCGCTCTAGCCCTTGCACCTTTGGGGAAGGGTGTCTTCCAGGGCATTCCTCCCCCCTTTCCTTTGAAACGACGTGTCCTGTTAAGACGGTTCTGGCTCGTCGTCCCTGGTGTTCTGCCTGGGCGAATGGTTGCTCTACTGGGAATTTGGTCAGCCAGTCCAGCTACGCACGTCAGTGCTTCTTAAGTGTATTGAACTGTGTGCGGACTGTGTGCAACGGAAACTGACAGGTGTGCAACGAACTTCTTTAGCCTGGACGTTGACAACCTCACGAATACCGGCACCACAGCCGTCAGGGAGGGCTCCTGTTACGCCTGCCCGGACAACGCCAACTGCACGGGCGGTGCGGTGTTGGCACCGCTGCCTGGCTACTGGCACAGCGCCGCCAACTCAACCACCATGCAGGCTTGCCTCAACCCGGCCGCGTGCAGGTATGCAACCGGTCCGTAGCCTGCGTTAATGTGACGCATGGTTGGACCCATGGACCAGCGCTTGGTGAACCCCTCGTGTGTGTTTTCCTGTCCATAAAACACCATGTGGTTGCACTGTATGTGCAGGGATGGAGATGATGCCGCCAATGACGCCCTGGTTCGTTGTCAGGAGCGTTGGTACGCCTACTTTGGCAACCCATGGCGATTCCAAGCTCTTCAGAAAGACCCCTCCGGCGGCGCTGGTGTCGTTGGCTCCTACCTGGATATTCTAAGGTATGCTAAAGGCATTTCCTCTTCAAGTCTTTACGCATTTCCTTTCCAAGTGTCTGCCGTTCAGTAACCCTGAGCACAGCATCGCGTAGACCTAAGGGGGTTCTTGGGCTCCAGAACACGCCCACCTCACACGTTCATTATATCTTCCGTTCCCCCATTTCACAAATAAATATTTTGCATGCTTTGCTTTTCCATTGCTCCTGACAGGCGGATCACGGCGAACGCTACTTCCGTACAGCCGTACACTCCCTTAATATCCAACAGCAGCAGCGACTTTGACGGCTTCCTGCTGGACTGTGCGCTGTGGGGCCTGCCCGACAACGACAGCGCCAGCTACATGCAGATGCAGTGCGCTCCGGTATGTACGATTTGGGGTCCACCAAACGCCACATACGGATTCCCGGTTTCACATACGTTTCCCCGGTTTCATCTGTTCCCTATCTACCTGCTAACAGTATAAATGATCCCCCACCGTACCTTAATCTCCACTATAACCAGCTATAACCCTTATAAATGTGTATAATTTAGCCCATGGATAACTGGACTAAATTATGCCTTAACTCCGTTCTGGCGGGCTTGCTTTGCTGGGCTCCGCAGGGATACAGTGGGCTGCTGTGCGGTACGTGTACGAAGTACGATGGTGTGCCGTACGCCCTCGACTCGGACCTGAACTGCGGCCTTTGCTACAGCACGGGGGGTACCGTCGCTATCGGGATCGTCATGTTTCTGTTTAACACCCTTTCAATTGGTAAGGGGTGCATTTTGTGCTAGCACTGATGGTGGGGGAGCTTCTGCCTCGGTCCGTCTACCACCCTACTTCTCCTCACATACAGCTCAGCTTGGTTATCGGCTTGCAGCGTCTCTGTCTGCTGCCATCATGCCTGTATACTTTGATGCCTACTTATCGGTGCGAAACTGTGGTGCGGATGCGCCTGACTGCTCTATGCCTTTCTGCCACAGGTTTCGCTTTTGTAACGACCGCCATGGAAGATTTCCAGCAAGACAAGCAGCAAGACGCATCCAGCAGCTATAAACCCGGGACCAAGGAGGACATCGCTGGTGGGCACACGGATAACGGCGGACATGCCAGAACACCAGAAGAAACTGCTGGAGACGCAAACAAAGCTGGCGAGGCAGGCAAGGCAGCTGGCGAGGCAGGCAAGGTGGCAGTAAAAGCAGATGAGGCTCAAGAAACACAGGGACCTGGAGAACCAGAGGAAGCTGGAAAAGCAGAGGAGGCTGGAGAAGCAAAGGAGGCTGGAGAAGCAGAGCGGGCTGCAGAAGCAGGGGAGGTTGGAGAAGCAGCAGAAGATTGTAAAGCAGGGGAGGTTGAGGAAGCAGTGGAGGCTGGAGAAGCTGAGGGGGCTGGAGAACCAATGAAGGCTGGGGAAGCAGCGGAGGCTGGAGAAGCAGAGGAGGCTGGAGGAGCAGCAGAGGGGGCCGGTGAAGCACAGGGGGATGGGAAAGGAACGGAATCCCACCAGAAGGCAAAGCGGGGTTTTGACGTCCCCGCGGCGGATGTGTTAAAGGTATGATATAATTTGGGGGTAGGAACTTCAGCAGAAGCTTAGTGGATCACGTTTGCGGCACTGTACGGCTCGGCTGCATGCATGTTATAGCCAAAGTGGCTAATGGTTGTCACCGCTCCCTGCTTTACTGCACGAACTCTTGTCCCTCTCCAGCACGTTGGGCTTCTTACCGCTTTTGCTGCTGATAATCGTCAGCTTGTGAGCACATGCTCACCTCCATCCTCTGCCCTTTCCTCCCTTCCCTTTTTGCCTTTTTCCCTCCACCACACAGCTGCTGATTGTCCATTTCCAGGTATGCTCACTGTGCCAATGCGCGCGTATATATGTTGACTTTAGCACATAGTCACGCTTTGTTGTACGACACTCACGCGCTGTGAGTACGAAAAAAGGGAATGAGTGTGGCCTGTGGTTAGGGCGCTCAAACAGGGATTGCACTTGTTAACTGTGCTTGCTCGTTGGCGTTCAGGGTGGAAAGGGTGAGACGCGTGCGTCAGTTCCGTCCTGCATGTTTGTAGCACGTATCCGCACGTCTTGAAAGCCTCATCCCTTGCCTGCTGACTGGGAATGTGTCTTTCGTTGCTTGTGCACTCATTGCGTGCCTAGTCTGCGCATGCTTGCACCTGAGGCCTACGAACAGTGCAACGACACCCCTAACAATGCAACCATTTCCCATCTGTGCCTTCCCTCTGACAGCTCTACCTGATCGTCACTCGCATTGGCCTGAACTGGCCAGCATCCGTGATGGGCCTCCAGAAAGTTCTAGGTACCATCACGGGTATCGTGAAGCAGGTCTACTCTCCCAGCTGCCTGCGTCCCAACGCTGACTCAGCCGAGCAAGCCCGGGTGCAGCTGCTGTCGGGGCTGCTGCTGCCCTTCTTCTCAGTGCTGCTTGTGCTGGTACTGTGGTTCCTACTAAGGTGGGGAAAGGGTGTTCACGTTTTGGAGGTGGACATGCAGAACGTTGTTGGAGATTGCGCATGCTGAAAGCATGGCGCTTCAAGAAGGCGTCAAGCTCACCTGTATATTTTGCATTTCTCCGCTTTCTTCAGGCGGTATTTCAATAGCTCTAAAAGGGCAACGGCTGCGGCAGGAGCAGAGCCATTGGGCTTGGCAAACACCAACACAGGCAGCACTGGTTCGCCTGCTGGGCAGCAGGGGGAGAAGCCACCTGTGGGCACTGTCGAGGGCAATGAATGCATTAACGACGCTGATGAAGACGCTGCTATTAGTTCCCCTCGGACCCGTCGCAGCAAAGGAGGTGCGTTGCTGGTTAACAAACAGCAATCCTTCCCTGCTGATAGGTTTGTAGGCGGCCGGCGGACGACCCTCCGATCCCTGACGTCTGTACCGACATCAACGGCACACATCGTCGTGCATTTTCAACAAGCGCAGCAACCTGAAATGGTTGACAATCCCCTGGCTAATCACCCGCCATCTGGTTCAAGTGCTGGCGCCGATGGCAAGAATGAGCAGAGCGGTCTTGAGGAAGTGAAGGGCAGTCTACGGAGAGGGCAGGAAGACGAGCCAGATTGCATCGAGTTGTGCGAGTGCCTGTCTCCGAGGCGGATTAAGTCGGAGCTATTTGACAATCCCAAGCTGCCACTGGAGAAGCAGATGTTTTTGGCGCTAATGGTGGGTCAATGTGGTGATGGATGTGAGGGAGCATGCAACGGGGAAGCCAACATACGTGCATGTTGGACGTTACCAGTAGTAGTAGCATTGCAAGCATGCATGCATAACTGAGGATGTGCCATGTGCCAGTGATAATCATGCGCTATTTGGTGACTTTAACGTATCCCGGCGCCGACCACTAACATTTCAGGTTGGATGCTTCATGCTAATGCCCGACTGGGCCACCGAGGCGCTCTCCATTTTCGCATGCTACCGGCTGGACGACGGGCAGGTTGACGACAACGTGTCGTCGAACTATGCACAATTCCAGCTGGTAAGCTAACGGAGAGCTCCCAGTACTGTACGGCATGCATGCAGTGTGCAGGCCTTATGCATGGTACAAGGATAAATGAGCCCCAGGTATTTGTGGCGTGCATGGTATTAATCAGCACCCAACCCCCTAAAAGAGAATGCGGTTTTTATTCCCTCCTCTTGCCAGTAATGCTTATTGTTTGCAACCCCGAATCCCAGGCGACCTGGAAGTACGGCTACTGGATTCGGGACATGAACCAGCAGTGCTACACCGGCCGGCACCTTACTCTGTAAGTAGCACTTTGCTAGTGTCCGTGCGTGTGTATTTGACTGCGCAGCTTGTGACATACTATGGGAAAGCCTGCATGCTGACACACATTCTATACATTGATTTCCCCTCCCCACGGTATTTTGTAGGTGGGTCCCCATCGGCGTGGTAGCAGTGGTGGTGATGTGCCTGGCAATGCCGCTGACCACTGCAATGCTGCTGTACATGCACCGTGGTCGCTGGGACGAACCTCAAGTCGCCCAACTATACGGTTTCCTTTTTAACTCATACCGGTAAGGCTTAACCAGCTGTTATCTGACAGGGCCAGTCCGACACACATCCCGCTCCTTTTTAAGGCCGTGCCGCCTCTAGCTTGAAGCAATAAAATTAGGAAAAATCCCAGGAAAACGCGTCCTGAAGGGCCTGAAGGACTGCAGGGTGACTGTACCTACCTTGGCATACCAACGCGTTGTTGTCCTGAAGCTCTTCTTCTGGATGTGCAGCTCTGGATGTCTGTTTTTCACGCCTTTGTTCCCTAATTTTTAGCTTAGCACGAACTATCCCGTCACGAACCTCACTCCTCACATGTGTACGGGCTGCACACAGGAAGGAGTTCTACTTCTGGGAGGCCGTGTCGCAGTTGCAGACCCTGTCACTGGTGGTCGCGGAAGTCTTTGGCCGTGTACTGCCTGTGCTGCAGCAGGCACTGTTGCTAGAGGTGGGCACATGTATGCAGGAGTATGCTAACTTGTGAGATGCACTGCCTCTGCTTCCGCGCCTTCATTTAACATGTTTGGGGTGGAGTGTTATCACAGCGCAGCATCATTACCCCCCTGCCGTGTGAGCATTGCTGCACTGAAGGGCAAAGCATGAGTGAACCACGTTTGCCACTTCCGGGAGAAATTGCCTGCAACAAAAAGGACCTATGGCTCTCAGGGTCCGTTTTATTTACATAACCCCCGATTTCCCAACAAACAGGTGATGCTGCTGGTATTCCTCATAGTCAACACCTACTTAAGCCCGCTTGAGGAGGAGGCACTCAACTCTCTGCAACTGGTTTCCACCGGGGTTATCTGCTTGACGGTGTTGCTTGGCATGTTTACCAGCAGCTCTGGCATTGAGATTTCCAAGGTATGTACGACATGTGCTGGTTGGCAGCACAGCAGGGAGACAAGAATTAACGTACGCGGTCACTGTTCTACTCAATTCTCATGTGGCTTCCATGCCCTTCATTAGACGTTCTGCACAACAAACAGTTTGCGTGGTAAAAAGTACAGGATGGCCTGCTGATGATAGGCCAGCAAGTAGTGGAACAGAAGCAAGTCTGCCATGCATCGCAGCATCAGTGATGCCACTCACCACAGGCCAAGCCAGCTAGGCAGCTTGGCCATCCTCGCTCTGCTATACCTGTCTAAATGCTGACTACAGAAAACCTCATTTGTCCTCACCTGGCTTGTGTCCCTCTCCCCCACCACCCGCCCCTTGCATAATACCTCATCTCGTTTACAGGCCACGCAGACCGGCTTAGCATTTCTCGTCCTGTTCATCAACTGCGTCGTCATTGCTGCCTTCGTAGCACTCTTCGTGTACAATTTCATACCCATTGCCAAGAAGTTGGCAAGACGGTGCAAGGAGTGGCTGGAGAAGCACGGCTGGGTGTCGAAATGCCTGCTACCCGCCGATTCCAATGGTGGCTTGGATGCCCGTGGGCAACGACGGCTCTTCCCTCTGTGCTGCGTGAACCGTACCGGCAGTACCGTTACTGCGGACCAAGGATCCGACGAACTTGGTAGTGCAAAGAACAGGAATGGCAGTGCAGACGGTGAGAACAGGAACGGCAGCGGGCCTCAAGGTGATAAGGGCCGTGACGGCGGTTGCTTTGGTTCTGGACAGCGTAGTAAGCGTTACGTGGCTGGTGTAGGACAGAACGGGCCTGACGCGGTGTAGACTGTTAAGGAGCAGGTACGGCTGCCGCATGCAGTACACCGTAGCGGCATCAACAGCAGAAGCTGCTGCACAACGAGGTGCATGTGCATACTCGAGGCAATCGCTTACTGAGGCATGTCAATTCTACGTCATAATAGATACCGATAAATGTGTCCTGCTTAACGTGTCATGTATGTAGGAGCATGTGCTGTTGCAATGCGTGGTCATGGGGCCAATACCACTGGGGGAGTTTCAGCACTGTACTTGCTGACGGAAACTGCAGTTGATAGGGATGCATGCACCCTAGGCCTGGCTACCTAAGTTCCTAGCTTCATTTCGTATTAGCATCGTGATGCCATGGCACACGTGTGATGGCATGTCAGCCAATGTTCAAATCATATTCCACTAAATAGCGCGCCCCGATATCTCTGCCATGCTGTTGACAGGCAACTGTTGCACTCAACAGTGTTCCTCAACTATTAAAGCATAGCGTCAATATGGCTTTAGTTACTATATATTGGATGGGCGTGTCTCCCTGCGTTTGAAACGCGGTCAGGGTTTAAATGCTACCCATGAACGTTTTTCGCTGATGAAGTCCTTTTCATAATGGGTGGGTATCCGTATGGTAAGGTTTCGATCTTCATCTCGTGGTGTTTTTAAGTTGATTGTTTTGCCGCATTTGCCAGCTAATGACGGGCGCAGCGAATTTGCATTTTAGGATTGCTTAGGATGTTTGCCTCCAACAGCATTGTCATTTGTGATGACTCCATAGCAATCTCGTGCCATACAGTTCATCCGTGAGGAGCTGTACGACTGTCCCCTGCCGTATAGTCCTAATGTGTACGGTATACACCTCGTCAGATGGTTGGTTTAGTTACATGACCTGAACGACACGAATGCCGCACCGTGGCGTGTAGCAAAAATGTGGCAGAAGTACACATTACAGCGTGTGACCCATGGGCCCGCGCTAGCATGTAATGCCCCTGTAAGAGACCCTGCACAGCGTGCTTCTGCACGTACAGGATGTTAGCCGGAGCCGTTTCCTATGTACCGTATAACTCTATCTGACAGTGCAGGCCCGCCGCTTTGTCTGTCCTAAGTTTCTTGCACAATCTTGATCTGTACATTTGCACCCGACGTCCAGGACACTTGCTTGACACCAATTCCCTCCTTACAAGTTACAACCTAGCATCCATCTAGGGACCCATGGGTGGCCTAGAGCGCTCGGCGGCAGGATTGTCACGTTCCAATAGATGTCAATTACAGAAGCTGCCGTTCGTTCGCAGTGTGGGATTATTTAGAGCTATCGACGGCAGTGTAATGTTTATGCCGTAGCTGTACCGGTATGTGCTTGGCGGCCGGCATAGCCAACCTCTCCTAAATTGCACACGCTCGGAAAAGGAAACACACCAAGGATGGAAGACAGAGCATGAAGGAAAAAAACACTCCTAAAACTGAAGTAGGACAAAAAGAAGTACCTACTCGGTCAAGGGGCAAATAATTGACAATGCTTGCTACATGCGGTCTGCCTGGTAAAGACTAGATCATACTGCGGCATGCAGGGACATGGAACAGGCAGCCGTCGATCAAGTCCCACGAATTCGTCAGAGTCTAGACGGTTTTATGCGCGCTGAGCACCTGCCAAATGTCAATGCTCCGTAGTAAACTTCGTAACTGCTGTTTCAGCAGTCACTCTTACGTTCCTTTACACACCTCGTCCACTCCTAAGCCTACCTGCGTCAACTCCTCCTGCTTTCATTATCGACACAACGGCATCACATACCAAACAAACAAACCTGGAACACCAGAAGTACCAAGAGCCTACACTGCATTTGAGCCATGGCCGCCCACTCCACCATTCCGCCCATTGTCGACAGCTTCTCCAGTGTCACCTCCTCCTCCGATACCATCATCTTCGAATTGCACCGGGAGCCCTATATCCCGTCCTCGGCTCCTGGTGTGCGATAGCGACGTCCAGGCACGTGGCATGGAAAGCGACGACCAGGCGCGGGAAGGTGAGAGGTTCGTCAAGGCACGGGACAGCGATTGCTCCAGGTGCGCCGGATCGTACCCCAGTCGAGTAATTAGCCTTGTGGCTTTCCGTTTCACGGTGGGCAGGGCGTGGTAGATGAATAGCGCTAGGAAGGCGAGGATGATGAGGCAGTTGATAAGCAGGATGACCACGCCGAGGATGATATCGCTCGCCTGTGCAAACAAACAAGCGCATGTGTGTAGCAGGGCGGGGTTGCATGTTGACAAACAGTGCATGGATTGAACATCACGGGGCTGCAGGAGGAGGCACGCTGTATACTGATAGGCAAGCAAGCCCACGCCATTATTAGTATCACCGTACCAAGCTCTACTTTGCAAAAAGCCATGTGCGTTTCTAGCGTCTATCCCACGCACTTAATTAGGGCATACCTCAGAGACGTTGTCGACCGGGCTGCTCGTGAACATGCCCAGCGTGACCGTCATGCAGATGACCGCCAGGGACAGCAGCTGCATCAGGTTGAGCTCAGCCGCCCTGAGCGGGCTGAAGTAGGTGTTCAGCAGCAGGATCGCCAGCAGAATGATCTGGATTAAGCAGGGAGGGAGAACGGAAATTGCTACACGCGCAGCCAAGAGGGCTGAATGAATGATCTGTTTCAATGGCTCCCTAAAAGGGATGATTCAACGACGGATGCATGAGATGACAGGCCTAGCGTTTACCACGGACGGGTGTCAGTCGTATGCAGGTAGCCCCCATCTCCCCCTAGCCTACCTCCAACAGAAGGGCTTGCTGGTATACAGGGAGGGTACGGCCGAACACCTCTACCACCACCAGCACCAGCGTTTGCGCCTGTGACAGGCTCTCCCAGTAGTAGAACTTGTCACTACAAGGGCAGGATACATGGTACAGTAGGGAGGGATACATAAGAGGGGCTGGTTGGACGCCTTGCGGTTACGAACGCGCATGCAGGCCAAACACCGGTACGGCCTTTGTCGCGGTGGCAGGAGAGGGGAAGTGGAATCCACAGGTCGTCAGTATGCGGCACCTGATAGAGAAACCGCGGACTTACTGGTACGAGCTGAAGAGGAAGCCATAGAGCTGCCTAACTTGTGGCTGGGTCATCAGCTGCTTGCGGTTAGCGAAGAGCAACCCCGCGGTCAGGAGCGGCATCGTCAGGCACAGCAGGACTACCGACACTACGCCAATGGGGACCCACCTGCAGGCAACACGGATGTGGGTGAAACCGGGTTCTTCAAGACCGTTTGCTTGCAAGTGAGCTTTCCCATGTTTAGGCCCAGCACGACCGGCAATCATCTGATTATTCAGGGGGCACTAGTACTGACATGGTGTGGCACTTCAGGTGAAGTAGACACGAACCAGCAAGCCATTACTTACAACGTTAGATGCTGGCCGGCATAGCACTGTTGGTTCATGTCCCGAATCCAGTAGCCGTACTTCCAGGTCGCCTGGGATAGTTTGGGAGCATACGGGTACGTGGCAAGCAGTGATGATAGGGAAAGGAGGCCCGCCTAAACATAGGGCTACCATAAGGCTTGCTGAGAGGGTTGCAATATGAATTACATCGTTCAATCTCTACCTGTGGAAGTGCTGGAGTGAGTGAATGAATGACCATTAACATGTGAGTGAGTGAGTGAGTGAGTGAGTGACCGTTACCACGGTTCCCTGGAGTATTGGAGTGCGGAAGTGTTTGTAAACCGCATTGCCTATCTATTGAGTAATGCGTCACAAAGCATCTCAGTAAGCTTACCCGTTGGAACTGAACGTAGGACTCCGACATGCCGCTGCCGACCTGCCCATCGTCCAGCCGGTAGCACGCAAAGATGGAAAGCGCCTCAGTTGCCCAATTAGGCATCATGATGAAACATGTCACCTGGGGTCGGTTTGGTCAGCCAGGTGGGCTCCATAGCATTGCAAGGGAATTTGCTTGGCGCGGGGCACCCTAGTCTGCATCCTAGCAGTGATATCCCCGTAGCATCAAGCATATGCGAATATAAAAGAAACCGATCTTTCCCCAGCAGCCCCTCGCCAGAACACTCGGACCCTCGTTAGACTCGGCCTCACCATCAGTACCAAGAACAGTTGCTTCCCAAGCGGTAGCTTGCCCTCATCAGGTCCTCCCACTGACACCGGCTGCACAGCAGTCGGCTTCTTGCGGCGAAAACTTGCTTTGCCTCCAGCTGCGCCCACCAGCGCCTTGCTGCTGGCTCCAACTGCAATCAGTCGTTGCGATCTCCGTCTAGCACCCTTTTCGGGACCAGAACCAATGCCCTTGGCAGCGCTGGTGTCCTGCTGCACCGCAGCGCCATTGCTTCTCGCTGCATCAACCGACTGTCCAATGGCATGCCCCTTTCCGGCCCCAGGCTTTTCCGTTGATCCTACCGAGCTGCTGTAAATGTTGGAGGTGATGCTGCTGCGACATCCTGCCAATGACCCTCCCCTGGACAGTCGCCGCGGCTGCCACCACCGCGCAGCTGGTATGACAGCAGCTTCGTTGTCGTACGGCTCTTGCTTGCCATCACCAGTGTTGTATTCCAGTATGTCCACTATTTCAGGGCAAATGCTGCATGCTGCGGACAGAGTCCCTTCCAATGCGGGCGTCGTCCTTTCATTATATAAAGGATTGGGGTGGCGGTTGCTGGTGGCGGGCTGCAGCGGCGGTGAAGTGCCTTCCGCTACCGGCCCTGGCGCTGTGGAGATGGACCCAGAGGTAGCAGGAGCAAGCGGCCGCCATAGCTCCCTAGTGCGGTTGCGTGCAACAGAGGACAGGCGCCGCATTGCTGCGGCCGCGACTACGGCGAGGGAGGCCCGTGGCGATGACGTCACCACGGACGCCCTACTGCCGAATAGAGGGTTGACAGGCTGGTCCATTAGCACCTCCACGTGCGCTAGCGCTTCTGCAGTGGTTGCTGTCAGAGATGTTGTGCCTGCTAGCAGACTCCGGACGTCCCTTGGGCCCGCTCCTAATCCATATGGCTTTGATGAAAGTGCTCTACGTGTTCCTCGAGCACCGCGATTTGCCACTGTGGCTGCAGTTTGAACTATGGCCATGCCGTCTCCTTCAATGACCGGAAATTCATCCGCCGCTGCTGCCGCTGCCCCTGCTGTTGCCTTCCCACTGGAGCCCTCCGGCCCCTGCCGTATCCTTTCTCGTTCGTTGGCAAAATAGATCTTGCGCGTGTTGGCGGCAACAGCTGATCCGGCGTCCTTAAGGCCTTTGCGTCCATGATGACCCGTGGGTCGTTCCACTGCTGGAGCACCACCCTCGCTGCCTTCGGTTTCTCGAGGGCCACGTACGGCAGCGTCGTCCTTCAAAGAAGGTTGCGACTCAATGCTGCGCTTCAGAGACAATGTGCCCCAGATGCGTGGCTCACCATCGACAGATGACGGCGCGTGCTTTCCGCTCATCCAAAAGCGTGCCCTAAGCCAGGAAACGGCGGACAAGTGAGAGTAACATACCGGTAACACAAAGATGTAGCCGCGCGTGGTTCCGTGCAGTACACTCGTGCCTATACTGCCAGCCAACTCAGGTACTCATGAACGGTTCCTGACCTGCCCTCCTTTATTTATTGGGTCCGGCGCACACACCCCTTACCTCAAAAACCACAGGACTAGCACCAGCAGCACGGAACAGGCTGGCAGCAGCAGCCCCGGAAGCACCTGCATGCGAGCCTGTTCGGCTGAGTCGGAGCCGGGGCGCAGCAGGCAGCTGGGAGAGTACACCTGCTTCACGGTACCCGTGATGCTGCCAACAACGGATTGAAGTCCCGTGACGGAATCAGGCCAGTTCAGGTTGATACGTGTAACGATGAGGAAGAACTGTTAGGGAGTCGCGAAATGAATCGAGGATTACGTCAGGAACGGTTGGATAGGACGGCTACTCCTGTGCCCTTGTGGTGTGGACCTCTCTGAAACTGCGAGTTGTCGGCCTAGCCCCTGCCGTGCATTTCCGTACAGAGGCCCTTCAGCAGCGTAAACACAACTATTACGCTTGGATTCCGGCCTCGTATGAAAACATAATGCTTAACAAGGACTGCCCCTCTTGTTCGTACGACTTATCCCTGTCCTCCTGTTCACTCCCGCGCTCGCACCTGGAAATGGACGATGAGCACCTGCGGTGAAGGAGCGGGAGGAGCACAGAGCACACAGTCGTAAGCAGGAGGGACATATGTACACTTGTACAGGCTGATGCCTGTCTGCATATTAGAATGAGCGCAGCAGCACGGCACTCAGCCCCCTACAGCAGCACAGGGTGGAAAACTCCCGGAAGGGTCCTTCACGCCCTTTCCGGGCGGAAGCTTTCAACCTGCAAGATTAATTTGCCTTGCCGAGCACACTAAACTGCATATCCTACCTTTAGGATATCCGCCGCTGCAAGGCCTTTCTTCCCGCGCCTCTCCTCTTCACCCGGATAGTAGATAGTTCCGTTGCTGATCCGCCCCGTGATAAGGTCCTTAACACTTCGTCTGACGCTTCGTTGCGCGCCTTGCTTCTGCATCTGCTTAGAGTAGTCCGTCATGTGTGTCATGATGGCAGAGAAGCCTGGAAGGGCACGGTGGGTTTGATGGGGGGTATGTATGTGTCACACCATACACAGGGCATTTTGTAACAAGCACTTGAGGACTGAAACAATAATGGTAACACTCCGATCCACTGTTGAATTGCAGCTGGACTTACTCAGCCACAGTGTGTTGGCAATGAACACTGCTACGCCCACGAGGATGGTCAACCACTTGCTGTAACAAGGGTTGCACCTGAAGTCTGAGTCCAGAGCGTAACGTGATTCGTCGTAATCCGTACAAGTGGCACAAAGGATACCCGTATAGCCCTGCACATGCATATTTGGCAGTAACGCCAGGCAAGGGGCCTTGAAAAGTAGATACCATGTTAGGGTGTTTATGCAAAATAGCCGCAAAACACCATGCAAAAGTAGCCAGTCACGACGGAGTGAGGTAAAGTGTTTGGCACAAAACATGAAGCGGGTACTTTAGTATGACCTAAAGAAATTCAACTTCGAGCAGCAAGCGCCGCGTTCGCGAAAAAGTAGCATTGAGCGCAAGTTCTCCATACAAAACGTACATACCGGAGCGCACTGCATCTGCATGTAGCTGGCGCTGTCGTTGTCGGGCAGCCCCCACAGCGCACAGTCCAGCAGGAAGCCGTCAAAGTCGCTGCTGCTGTTGGATATCAAGGGTGTGTACGGCTGTACGGAAGTAGCGTTGGAAGCCGCTTGCCTGTATGCAGGTAAAGCGGTGTGGGCGTGCTGCCAGACGACACGGACGGGTGTTGAATAGTCTTTGCCATAAACATCCGTGTGAGGTTTGGATTGCAAGAATGAGACGAAAAGCTAACTGGAAGCCATGCTTCAACGGTTGTCTTACCTGAAGACGTTTATGTAGGCCCCTACAACATCCGCACCACCATTACCGTCTGACATGAGGGCGTAAAGGCGCCACGGATTGCCAAAATAGGCATACCAACGCTCCTGACAGCGAACCAGGGCGGCGTTAGCCGTAATATCACCATACCTGCAGCATCATATTGCATGCAAGTACATGTCTGCCTCGAATCTATGTTGCCTAACGTCGTGGGATTTGTGTACCTATCAATCACTCCGAGGTTGGGCATCTTGACATGCTCTACAGGAAGACGTAGTACAGTACCGTGCTACAACAACATCATAGGGCTAACAGATACCTGCACGCGGCTGGGTTGAGGCATGCATGCATGGCGGTTGAGTTGGCGGCGCTGTGCCAGTAGCCAGGCACCGGTGCCACCACCGCACCACCCGTACAGTTGGCGTTGTCGGGACATGCAAAGCAGCGTCCATCAGTGCTGGTGCCCGTGTCGCTTGTGTTCGCTGCCTCTCCGAATAGGCCAATAGCTGCACCGCCACCGCTTGCATTGGTGAAATAGTCGACGTCCAGGCTCAGCAAGTTTGCCGGACACCTGGGCATGAACCAATGCAAACAAGAAGATACGCTTCATGGTGGCTGTCATACCCCTTCACAATAAGCACAAGCGTGAAGGCGTTTAAGAAGGTAAGGTTGCTCGTGAAGGGCGTCCAGGAAGGGCCGACAAGGGCAGCCCACCTGGAGCAAAAGAAGCCTGAATCCATGGCGACCTCCCCCAGGGAGCAGGGCGGCACGGTGACATTAAGGACCAGCGGATCCACCTGTAGAACCATTGCATAGGAGTGGGTCAGGCGGTCAGCGCGATTCTTGCGCCATCTCTTCCACTCTGTTTCCGTGGCATGCAAGCACATACGGCTACATCTGCTTCTTGCGTGGTTGTGTGTCCTGCTTACACGGACAGACCGTTCCATTTTAGTGGCATACGAACGCACCTCAGTTTCCATGTTGCTGAGCCCCAGTTGCAAGGAGTACTCCCCCTTGAGCGCCCGTAAACGAATTCCGGTTAGGGTTGCAATGCCGCCGTCGACCTGCAGGACACCGTGATGTCGCATGAATGCCCGTTTAGAGGTACATGTGCAGCCGGCAGCAGCGCCGTCACGCATGTCGTAAATGCCTCTGTGCCAGTTACGAGCAGGCATGCTGTGGAGGACCCACCCAATTATAACCCACAAACCTGCGCAGTGGGGTTGCCCAGGAGGTCAACTGGGCGGCCAGCGTCCGATGAGCTTACAGAGACCCGGACCACGGGTTGGACTGTGCTGGAATCTGTGTCAGGCAGGGTAAAGCAGAGACTGTATCAAGAGAGCATTCGATGCGCGTTTGTGACCCCTACTTGTCGTTGCCAAGTGTCTCTAGTAGTCCATCCCGGTCCCCTGGCCAGCCCACTCACCGTTGACAAGCTGCGTCAGCGCATCGTACACCGAGATGTCGAGAGCCACCGCCACATTGGTCGGCAGCACCACCGCGCAGCGCTGACCCGGCCTGCACTCCTCGGCCAGGTGCCCGTCCACCTGCAACACCGCACGACGCAACCAGACGAAGTCCTCACTGCTGACTGCTACGGCTGTACTCCCGGTGCTGGTGCTAGAGGCAACGCTGCTGCTTGAGGCTGATGCCGCCGGTGGCAACGACGGGGGAGGATTGAACACTGCTGTCGTTGCGGTTGCACTCGTGTTGGCATAGCCACCCTCTCTATCCTGGGTAGTTGCCTGAAGAAGCAATCTGCTGTAAACCACTATTCGTGTGGGATCGCTGCTGTCCACGACTTTAATCTTATTGGCGCTGTAGGAAGTCAGCGCAGTTCTCTCGTACTCAGCTAATGCTGACAGAATCAGCATTTTGGGTGTTGTAGCCATTTCATTGCCGTAGCCGCCACGTGCCTGATTAGGCGGCACGCGCTCTGCGTAAAACTCCTGGTCTTGTTGTGGCACAAAGCACTTCGTACGGGCTTCCTGGGATGTGGGTAGCATGCCCAGGTACAAGTCGGAGGTGGTGTTGCTGCCTGCGTTGTTACTGGTGTCACTGTCACCGGTGCTGCTGCTAATGCTTCCCGTTGCAGTTGTTGCCAGCTGAACCGCTCCGGCAGGTACTGTGCCGGGACTGCTGTTGCTAGTGATGGCGTTAACCATCCATGCAAGGTCGCTGTCGCTGCCGGATGTTTGCACTCCGTCGCACAACAAGGCAAGTGTATATGCTGAACTCGAGTACAGAGCACCACCGCTGCCCTGTGGGTTCCGCAAATGGAGAAAGAGTCTGCAAATTGCGCCTTGACAGCTACATGCAACACAGTCAAGGATAAAGGCAGGGCATGAGCGCTAGTCGCCACGTGATTTGGGCTGCTACACGCCCCACGTGGTACATGCAACAAATAACGTACCCCTGCCGTGTTGTTCCAGAGGGCGGGCCGGTTTATGACTATCGGCCAGCAGTCGGACGCGACACTGCGGCCCACGGCTCCTGCCAGTGCTTGCAGTGTGAGGGCGCTCGCTGCAGCGATCTCCGCAAGCCCCGGGCGCAGGGAGGACATGGAGACGGCTAGAGAGGCTGCAGGGGAGGTCAACGAGGAGCTAGCGATGCTACTACTACCCAGGAGCGGGAAAAGGCGTGGAGAGGAGGAAACCACGTCACTGCTGCCGGAGGTATCCTGCGATGCGTGCGGCAAGCGGCGAGGTGAAAAAAAGCTGAGCACGGCAAACATCTAGACAACAACACAGCTTTATGCCACGTGCTACCACTCTACAATGGCAAGGCTGTGGCTTCCTGTTGCTTGTCCCTCCTTTCCCTTGTCCATCCTAAAGTGTCTTTGGCAGGGTTGATGTTCTTACGGCGCCCTCCATTCCCTACCACCTTCTCCTAGCCGCCTTCCGTTACCTGTCGAAAGCGCAGGTCCAGCGCCAGTGCGCCCGCCGCCCTGGCCGCCGTGTTGCCCACCAGACGGCTGCCGTTGAGCACCGCAGCCAGCCGGCCGCCCAGGTAGAGCGCGCCTGCACAGGGGATGGAGTGCAGGGGCGGGAAAGGATGGGGGGGAGCCCTGTTAGTCGTATACCGGTATGCAGAGGAGGTAGGGCGGACATGGGTACAGTGGTAACTAATGAAGTGCACAGGGTGAGGTGAGCAGGCAGACATGCAAGAGGGCAAACAACACAGGGAAATTATACTTTGAAGTGAATCCATGCAAGGGACACGCACCTCCTGAACCAGACAAGAGGTTGCCATCCGAGGCAACAGCGGTGCTGCTGCCGTTGCTGCCCGCTGTGTTCAATCTCATGGTGCCCCCCAGCACTTCCACGAGGGAGGGCCCAGTGGCGGTGGAGGCGTCAACATAGGCCGCCCCGCCCGACCCCGCTGCGTCGTTGAGGACGAGGGAGGCGTTGTGCAGCACCACGCCGCCGCAGCCGGAGCAGTACAGTCCGCCACCGTGGCCCCGGACAGCGGAAGAGGTGCGGATGGTGGTGTCTTTCAGCTGCACGCGGGCGTGAAGGGCGAGGAACCCTGTCAGTTTACAACTTAGCTGGGCGAAGCTAGGGAGCGACACGCCGCCTCCATAGTGTGCAGGATGCTACCATACGTATTCAAATAATATATAATGCAGAACACCCATCAACCTGCAGCCGATGGGAAAGCGCACATGAACACCCCTCGCCACGCCCCGCACACCCACCATCATCCAGTTGCACGACTCGCCGTACAGTGATCCCCCGCTGCCGTCGCCGCTGTCGCCCGCGCTGCTGCCCGCAGCTGTGTTGTCCTCCAGGGTGCAGTCTTGCAGCGCTAGGGAGGCGTTGCGAGTGAGGCTCACGGCACCACCCGAGGCGGCGCGGTTGCGCTGGAAGGTGGTGTTGGAAATGAACATCTGCGACAAGTGCGTGGGGAAGGGAGCTAAGATTCTGCGCGGGTGATAAATCTGGGCATTCCAAGAGGCCGATCTTTGTATGACGGAATAAATAGTTTAAGCAGTTTTTAGCAGTTTGTCGTACAGATGCAGTTTCCTGCACCTGCAAGCAGGTGCAATTGTGGTTAAGCGCTGGAATAGGATGGTGCCTAAGGAAGCGCTGTACCTGCTGTTGTGACCAACTGCCATCCATCGAGATTGCTCCCCCAATACCAGCTGCCTTGTTGTCGTACAGCCAGCTCGACATCACGTACAGAGCCGCATCTTCTGCAACTGTATTGATGAAGGCGACGGCGGCACCAGTGGAAGCAGCTATGTTGCCGCCGGCCCTCAAGGCATCCAGGATGATGGACCCACGGGTCGTTTCCAGCAGCAGAGTGCCGCCTACACCTCTCAGAGCTTGGTTGTTGGTGGCAACAAGGTTAGCGGCCACAAGTACGACAGCCTCACCCTGCGGCCGGATTTCACGGTTACGTTATCTGAATGATAGTCAGCAAGGAAGCCGGATGTGTATCCGTCAAGACCAGTAACACACATACTGTAGACGCCATGCCCAACTTGCACAGTTCTCTTTGGCAAGCATTCACAAGTTACATGCCTGCATTGTGTCCATAAGGCGCCCCTCCTACCTGCTGCTCTACAATGCGTTCTGACACGCGGGACAGCCGAGCCGCCCATTCCTCTCCCACTTGCTGGCTGAACGCAGCTTGGCAGCTTAATCCAGTGGCGGCCAAAGATTGTCCGGTCAAGGCTGGCATGGCCATTCGTGCACCACCGCCACTGGCCGCTGTATTATCCTCCAATACAACTCCAGAAATGTACGAACAGGCTGTGTTAAGGAGGTCCAGACCACCTCCCGTTTCAAAGGCACTGTTCCCTTTAGCGGTTGAACCGTTCACCTAAACGTTTGGGGATGAAGATGTATTCGCAGAGGGGCGATATAAGGCGGAAAGGGCACGCAGGAGCGGCAAGCGGCTAGAAAACCGGAGCAACACACTCTAGGGTGCAGCAATCTACCTTGGTTCACCACTCGGCAGCAAAATGCGTGCATGTTGGGGCACAGACTCTCTCTACACACCTATTACGACTGTGCTCATGTATGACACCACAACAGCTGCTGCCGGCACTTCATGCAAGCCGGCCAGCTACTTACCATCACAAGGCTGGCGCCTTCTACTCGCAGGCCGCCTCCCGACCCGCCTGCATGGTTGTCCTCTAATATACAATCCGAAACAGTTATGTACTCTGCCGCGCTGCTGAACACCGCCCCGCCCATCTGCTTGGCCGTGCTGGCTGCCAGTCGGGAGCCCCGCAGGCTGAGCGGCACGCTGGTGGTGTGCACGGAGCCTCCGTGTTCATCCGCCGCAGTGTTAGATCGGAGGGTGCAGTTGGTTATGGAGAGCTCGGGGCCCTGCGAAAATGGCATGGCACCATCCACGAGGTTCAGGAGGTCCGTTCACGCGGTCAAAGTCCTTGATTGGTGTAATCAGTGCCCAAACCAGAAGCCAAGGCGGCGGCGCCGGGAGCAGAAGGAGCAGGAGGGCGAGATGTTGGCGCGCGGGGAGGGGCTGCAACGGCTCAGCAACAGCGGTTGGACCATTCTCCGGATCCATTGCCACCTGCTACTGCCCTCACCTCGGGTTGCGCGCTGGTGACCTGGTGTCCGGCTGACACGCCGCCGCCCGATAGCTTGGCGATGTTTCCGTACATGTCGCTCCCCTCCAGGGAAGCGGCGCACGACAGCAGCGCCACCGCACCTCCGCGGCCATCCGCCCGGTTGCCGCTCAGCTCGCCGCCAGCCAGGCGCATGGGCGCGGTGCAACTCATGCCGAAGATGGCGCCGCCGGCGTTGGACCAGCTGTCGGAGATAAAGCCGTCACTGCTAGCTGTGTTATTGTACAGCTTGCAGTCTCTTAGGTGTACAGCAGAGCCGGAGTGGAACAGCGCGCCACCGGAATTGTTTACCGCATTAGACAGAAAACCACAGCGGTTAAAGACAGCCTACATGCATGGTAGGCCAGATTCAGGGAGTACATGATGAGGAGATCACTCCAATGGTATGATCATCCAGGCGTATGGTTCCAGTGAGTAACTCCGCTTGCTCAGGGTGTGTTTGTCCTAACCGCCAAATAGAGTTGCCGCCACCGCACCAGACACAAGTAGTATGCCGTCCCAGCTCAAGCTCAAGAGGTCTATTCGTGTCCGGAGTCGTCAGTCATACCACGCCTACGTTTCCAAAGCACGATATCCAGTATACGGTACTCACCCTGACGCCCGTGTCGATTGATACACCGTTGTCTCGGTGAGGCATGGGGGGTACCATCTGCATACGGAGAAGGGCAACAGGTCTTATATGTCATGCAGTTCCGCCCTGCCAGGCAGTCAGGCTCCGCACGGACCCATGGGTCACTGTCGTCTGGCTGCGACAGAAACCGTTTTCCCCACAACTACATGCATAGGACAGTACGTAGCAAGTCCGTAGCAGACTGCTTTACTTGCAAAACATTGCCCTAGAGCCCTACCTGAAGGTAAACTGCTCCCCCCTTTTTTATGTCGGAAGGGACGGAAGGAAAGAAGCGGAAGATTGGAGGGGCGCGATGTTAGCAGTTGAGGTGCATTAGGGGTTACCGTGCCTCACACATCTACAGGCCGGACGGATAGCAACGGACATCTGCAGCCTTCACCCACCTGAACGCTGGCGCTGTTGTTCCTGAATACCGTGTCTGCAGCAGATACGATAGCCCAGTATGCCTGCACCAGACAAACAGAACGCGTGGAGCAGCCCGCATATCGCCACGTAGATGAGGTTGCACTGCTGTCATGCTGTGATGCTTTGGTGCCCACAGTCACGGCCAAAGGCCCAGCGCCCGAGCATGCATGCATGGGGTTCTGAAAAGTGATATCACCTCGCTCTGGATTGCGGGTCAAGCACCCCTACCTTTATAGCGCCCCCCAGGCCGTCCGCCGTGTTTCCTTCAAACGTGGTGTTCAGGACTTCAAAAGAGTAAGGTGAACCACTCCGGGTGAAGCCGGAGACCAAGGCCGCACCCTGAGGTTGTTGGGAAGCCATGCTCAGAGGCGTTCATAAAGGCATCATGCGAACAACTCCACAAGCTTGGGACCCGTGAATATTGCACATTCCCTGCCCTCCCAGACAAACATACAGGCGCCCTTTGTATTTTTGCAGGAAGGACCTTGCTCCGGCCAGAGCCTCACCGCATCGCCTTTAGCCGTGTTGTTGGTAAACGTTGCATTACACAGTGTCATGTTACACATCTCGGCCGAAAGCGCGCCTCCTTGGTAGGCGCTGTTGAATGAGAAGGAGACCTGCATGCAAGCAAGTCGTAATTCAGAAACGCCAGGTCCAAAGGCAGTGTTGAGTTGAATGTACAGCACAAGGAAGCTCGGGGTACAGGGCAGGCGCCTCTTGTGCCAACAGCAGGTCTCTTGCCATGTGCATACGGGCCAAAACATTTGACGCAAGAGCCAGGCGTATGCACGGCTTTGCCAGAGAAAGAGTAGGCTAAGTGAATTAAATCGGTCTAGCCATTTCTCTACCCACATTGCGCAGCCCAAGCGTGGCTAGGCAATTGGTCGTCATCATGGCTCCACCCGAGTTGCCTGAACCACCCGCCGCAAACGTGTTGGCGCTGTTGTTGACGAACGAAACGTCCTCCATCTGCAGCCGCCAGCCTGATACCAGCAGCGCTCCCGCGTTGGTGGTGGCGCGGTTGTCATTGAAACGAACACGCCGCAGCGTGGCATCGGTGACCTGTGAGAAGGAAGTAGACACGCTATGAACCTACAGGCAGATGTTATCCTTTTGCTAATCCGCGCATGGGTCTTACCCTCCTAAGGATGCCGCTCATTGTTGCCACCAGCATGCCGCTCGTGTCGGGTTCCAGGTACAGTGCTCCACCTTTTCCTGCTGCGGAATTGTTGCGAAAGACCAGGCCCTGCGGATGGAGTAGCCGTGTCAAGTCATGCAGTACAGAAGGTGCCCTAGCAGTGATATTTCTTAAATAAGCCTTACGGGGCGAGAAGAGCGGACTACACGGCTAATAATAACCAGCCATACGTCCCTGGCTAACGCCATTTATCTAAAAGTCCCATGCAACGGAATGCTGCGGAGCCATGTCCTCTTGCACTGGCGTGCCCTTCAATTTGTTAAAACGAAAGCGCCCAGCAGGCCCAGGGCCAATGGCATCCGGACATGCGGCCCGGGACTCCTTTCATGCTCACCTCTAGCAGCGCATTACATCGTGCAATGGTAGCAGCGCCACCCTCATTGCTAGAATAGTTGTCCTGAGGGAAAATAGGGCGAATAAAGTGGTTCTGGTAAGCGGTGTCTGCCATGTGGAACTGCTGGTAGCATGCATGAGGCCGCGGGCACGCACAGTGCTTGCTGCATGCGCTTAATGGTATCGTTATTAGGGTTATGCGGTACGGAATTCAACTGCGTAAACCCGCCCCGTAGGGTGGCTTCATTTGCGCTTTGGAACCTTTGTTACGTGGCTACACATCACCAAAGGGCTTAAAACTGTGAAGACTGTAAAATGACCCATGGGCCACACTGTGTTTATAGCCGTTGTTTGCCACATACGCGGCATCAGGAAACGTCGGGGAGTGTAAGGAGCAAGGAATCACGCACATGCCCTCCTACGTAGACGGAAATGATACATCTGGTTTTGGTGTTCCAAAAGTCAGATGCCGTACAACTAGTACAATGGTCAATCCCTTTCATACAAGCACCTACCGTGAATGTGGAGTTCACCAAAGTCAAGTTAAATAAATCGCCGCCTGTTGTACCGTTGGCAGTAACGCCATCGTATTCAGCGATGTACAGGGCTGACCCCGTGTTCTTGTTCCCAAGGTTGCATGTATTGTTTTGAAAGGTGCTGTTGCGAATCAGCGCACGGGAATGCAGAGAATACAAAGTTGCCGCGCTGACGACGCTTGCAGTGTTGTTGGAAAAGAGGGAGTCCACAATCTCCACGGCTGGCACAGCACGAAGGTAGAGCCCTGCGCGAGCGGTTATAAAGCTATGACCAGCAGGGCATAATGTGTTGACTGAAGGCACACTGGGACGTCATACGCTTGCACAAGTCGCTTAATTGCGCCCATGCTACGTGTCCTACGCTCCTACCGTCGCTCTCCCCGTCGCCTTACCCCCACTCTCTGTGGCGTTGTTGCCAACGAACTCTGTTGACGTAATGCTCAACCCCTGCGCGTTGTTGTACGCATAGTACACAGCACCTCCCGTCAGCCCCAAGTTGCCCTCAAAACGACAGCCGTAGAACCTCGACAGAGCCTGGCTTGCCGGGTCCGCCGGGGCCTTGCATGCAGGAACCAAATAGGGCTCGCAGTTGCCGGGCATGGAGATGGCACCTCCCATGTTGGCAGCAGAGTTGGCGGTAAAGTTTGTTCCGGTGATGTTGAAGCCGGTGATGGCATTGTCCGTCAGAAGTAGCAGTATTGCGCCGCCCTCATTGGCGGAGTTGTAATTAAACTGGCACGCGTTCAAGATAAGCGAACATGAGTCTGTAGGAATGCAGTCCTTTGCTGGCTGCGGGGCGGCACACACACGGGACAGTCCAGCGGCATGAGGGAAATAAGATGCACGCATGACTCTCCTAATTAGGCTACTTTCCTTACTTAGTTCATGTGCCGGGGGTATCACTATGACTGTCCCTTTGGCCTCACAGTACGGCACACAGACCTCGCCAGTCGTGCGCCTGGCAAACCGAGCAGGGGCAGGCAAGAAACCATGCTGTGTCCGTTTTGGCCTTGAAAATAGGTACTGATTCCGAAGCCCAGCTTACCTCATGATAAAGGGCGCCACCTCTGTTGCTAGCGACGTTCCGCGTGAAGGTGGATCCTGTAATCACGACTCGTGCTTTGCGGGCATAAATGGAGCCACCATTCGCGCCGCCTCCAGCGGCCGAAGCGCCAGAGAAGGTTGACGAGGTAATTGCCAGGCTGCCTCCGTTTGCCATATATATGTCGCCGCCTAATGCTGTTTGCGTGCCTTGTGGTATTGCAAGGTTGCTCGCAAACGTGCTGCTGCTGATGGTCAGCGAAACAGCGACACTGCTCTTCGCTGGCATCATGCCTATGGCTGGGGGCAAAATTGGCATGAAATGAGGACATCTGGGTTATCGGCTAGGCAGTGTACGGATACGGGAGTACGAGGAGACAAGGGGGGAAGACCAGAGAAGGCATGTGGTTACCGCGAGCCCAGTATTACCCCTGCAGTGTTTGTGTTCACACCCTGCCTTCGGAATGACGCCATCCCGCAAGACGGAAACTCACCACCACCACGAGTTGCCTTGTTGGCGAGAAATGCGCTGCCCAGAATGTCCATCCTTGTAACGCTGCCTTCGCCTTCTACCAGGTATACAGCGCCACCAAGCGTCGCGCCATTACCCAAAAACCTTCCGTTATTAACCGTTACGGCTGATGCGGCGGCAGTAAGGCAGGGCCCATTAGCGGAGGTGGAATATCGACAGAGGTAGCTTACTACATTCACAGCCTTGCTACCTTTTATATATAAGGATGAGGCATCTGGATAATCCACGGCGTTAAACAAGAAACTGGACATGGCGATTGCGGTAACGGTGCTGCAGTTTGTGAGGGATACCCCATAAAGGGGCCCATTCACAGTGAAATGGTAAAGGCTAATATTGCGAAGCAAGGTAGACGTTAGGTTGAGAAACCTGACGGCCCCGCTTGCTGGCAAGCTGTCCAGACGGGTGCTTTGGAGAAACCGCAGAGACACGTCCGAAACCTGCGCTGGCATGGGCCCAAGAGCCGGGTGTAAAATGCTACGGCAGCAAGAGAGGAGCACATTCAGCGTATACTTGGGGTGTAGGCAATCATAACTGACCAGCGGCGTATAGCAACGTGCATGGCCGCATTCTATTGACAAAGCGTGGGCAAGGCTTCTTCTCAATGTACCTGCATCCCTGTGCTGTGTACGACCGATATGGCTCTGGCATCCGCTCCCTCCAGGGTCAGATTTTTCAGGTCGACATCACGAATGGAGCAGCCGGGCATGCATCTTGAGATGTCTATTGCTGCCCGGTCCGACGTAAAATTGTACACCACCGCGTTGTGAACGCTGTTTATTGATACCTGCGAGCTGTCCCGTACGGAGACCCAGGTGCAGGGACCCATGGGTTCCTCAATAGGCCACACCTCGACACCATTGATGGTAATGAGTTGGCTGTTGCCTGACACGCGGAGCAGGTATGCGTCACCGCTGGCAGAAGCAGGAGAACCCACACCCCACGCAACGACGTCCTGTGTAGGCAGGCAGGGCATACAATGAGCAGCGTACCCGCGCTTGGGGTATGCCTTGCCGTATGAGCGGCAGTACATACGCACATACATGTTGCGTGCTTGTTGCATCATGCATGCAGTCGTACGCGGTCACAGGAGCCGTGAGCGCGACCGCTTGGCTCGCACTTCGCTGGCACCCGGAACTATACGCTGTATTTAACGTGTTTTTACGCCAGTCGCGGGTTTCCACCCATTGCCCACCGCTGCAGACTAAAGCGTTGCACTTGTTAGTTACGTCGGGCACTCAAGGTCCCGGACAAGGCCCCCCAGCCCAGGTGCACACAATTCGATAGGGCCCATTTACGGCGGTGGTCCACCCAAAATCCAAAGAGCTGACCTGGACGTCTACAGCTGTGCTTCCAGCCAAGAGCAGAGCCCCTCCCGCACCGCCAGTCAGCGTCAGGTTGCTGAAGCGCAGACCTTGTAGGAGAGCTCGATAGCCCGCCGAAGCGGTCACTTGGGACAGCAGCACAGCCGCTTGCGTCCCTGATGACAGCACTGAGTCCTGTTAGGCAACGTCGTGGAAGGCGGCAGTCATGAAGCAGCCCCTGATATGAATTCACTGGTTGGAAAGTGGCAATGTGCAAGCGAACAAAGCAAGCCAATACCTCGCTCTACCTGCATTGTTAGGTTGCGCAGAGACAATCCTCCTGAGAGGCCGCTCAGCATGAAAGCTCTGCAACCGTCATGGAGTTCAAGCTCACGCAGCGTCACTGTTGCTGCTGTCATATTTTCCCCATCCGTTACGTGTACGACCGCCCCATAAGCACCAATACTGGAGCCACTGTCATCCCCGCAGGTTGCTCCCGTCACTGTTACGCGCTCTAAAGTCAATCCAGGGCTGGCCTGAATGCTAAGGGCGGTTCCGGATGCACCTAGGTCCAGATCCATGAAAGCAACGTTTTGGACAGTGCAACGGCTGCTACACTGCATCAAGGAGACCAAAGAGTTGGTGCTGGCGGCTGTCGTTGCTGAGGTGGAAGCGTTGGTGATGGAGGACATGGCACCTTTAGCAACGAGTTGGGGGGTGGTGGTAGTGCTGCTGCTGTTGTTGGTGAGCTCGCCGGCTGCTGTGTTGGTGCTTGCAATTGAAACCCTCCGGACGATGACGTCCCTCAAAATTAGGTCCGACAGCACAGCAGTGTCATTGCCGTCAGCCACACCAGAAGCTACTGAGTCGAGGCTGCTGTTCAACAGTCTTACGGCTTGTATCAGCCCTCCGGCGGCTGCTAGGGACAGAAACCGCACGTCCTCAAAGGTCACGTTCTGCAGCGTGACGCTGCTGCAGCCCTCCAGCAGGATAAGGGGTCCCGAGGCGGTTAGGTTGCGAAACACAAGGTTGCGCAGGGTGAGCTTGGTGACACGACTCAAGTACAGCAACGGCATGAATGGACCGTTGGCAGTTAGGTCCAGATTGGCTGCTGTTGCCCCGGTACCAAGAGAGCCGTCTAAAATGAGGTCTGAGCCGGTTAGCTTCAAGGAGGTGGCATTGGCGACAATGGCACCCTTCCAAGGACCTACTGAGATGGGGCGCCCGCCATTGTCTTCACTGGCTGCGCGCGGGAAACACCACGGCAAAGGGTCAAGAGACGAGGGTCGGCAGCAGCGGGTAAGGTAGGCTGGGATGTATGGTGGGGACGCATCCCGCTACAATGTGCGACAGCAGGGCTAAGCGGGGGGGTTCTAAGAGATGATTTGCAATCCAGATGAAGTATGTCGCTTTAATGTTGTCCTCGGCGTCAGCATCTGGGATGCGGTTGTGCGCAAGTGATACTAAAACGAACTTGGACACGTGCCGGCCAAATGGTAACCAGGATTAACTTCAAGCTGTTAGCACTAGATACGCACTTCTTTGTCGCAATGACCACAACTGTGCATATTCGCTTACCAAGAAGGCCACCAGCGAACCTTGACGCCCCGCATAGATCTGAAAGCGCACGGTTTTCATAAGGATACTCCAATGAGTTTCCGCGGTAGAAGGTACTCTCCTCCCAGCAGCTGCAATTAGCGACGGTTCGTATCTCCTGCAATGTGCCTGTTCCCGAAATGCCAGAAAGCTGGATATTGCAAATGCTGGCATATGAGTGGCACAAGGACCACCCAAGTAAAGCGAGCAGGACCGAAGGATACCTCAACAGCCAGCGATAGTATGTCATTTCCACATGTATTCAGAAATTTCATGCATACAAGGTCGCCATATCAGTTGCCACCTAGGATTTACTCAGCTTATATACTGCATCCAGAGCATACGAAGTGTCATCCTTTTTAGGAAGCGAGGATCGTCGTGCACCGTTCAGTAACGGAGTCAGTTTTTCTGTACTAGCTCAGGGCTGCTATTCCTCACCTATCGGTCAAACCCTTCTAAAAGCTGCAATTGAAAGCCGCATTTCGTACGTTCGTAGCTTAACTCGGCAGGGCAATGTACCTGTATGAATAGACTCTCTCGAAAGAACCTATTTGCATTGGTATAGAACCATTTTGGTGTAAGTTACAGAACAATGCTTACATAATTTGTGCGAGGGCTCAGCCTGCGTGACCCATGCACACGAGCCACTAGCAACATATTGTAGGCATTTATCACACGCTATTATAGAATAGGCACATGGGTTGGGGATCACCACGAACAGGAAAGCGCATGCAAGTAGTTCTGTGAAACTTGGCAGTTCTGTACGGTACAACATACGCCCATGACTTGCGCACAAGCCTAAATGCGCTTCTCCCGCTTGTAGCCGTCTGAGGGCAGCACTAATAGCTGTTGCACCAAGGCACATATGGAAGCAGCACGCGTGCAGCGAAACACGTTGACCATACGAATGCAACAGTAACGGTACAGCGAAAACCATAGCCGTAAACCATGCGAAATTATCAAGACCGCGGCCTATAGGCTGACTTGTCACCTAACAGTGCAAGACATATCATTGCAGGGCCGGCTGAGAACCCAATAGCTGGGAAGCCGTTCCAGCTCGTACAAGCAGCATTGTCAAAAATAGAATCTTCCATATCCCAACGGCCATCGCAGTCAGATGGCCTTGAAGTGTTATGTAGCCTTCAACTGGTATGTTGCGTAGCCATGCTCAGCCACTTAGTCTGAAGGAATAAGCAAGCCTGTGTAACGTGCCCTTCTTACGGCCATTTCCCATCCAAAATTAGACCCCTAACCTCCGCAATCGTATCCCCATAAATCGCTGCGTAATCCTCATGGGTCAAAAAGAGATCGAAGTTATGAAGCATCCAAGCCACCCACTCCGCTCTATCATTTGTCCATCCGTAATGGCAACCGTACACCTCGCAAACGCTTCCCGGCCCAAAGACAGGCGTCTCAGGAGGAGGGCTGAGCGTGTGAAGGCGCACCCACTCATTAAGCTGAGCACCCAAGTCCCATGGGTCGACTTTTTCAGCGTCGCAGGTGTCAAATGTCAACTGCATGCCGCCGGATCCTGCGAAAGCATAGTCATAGTCCAGCTCGCGCGTGTGTGAAGGGGTGATCAGGCCGACGTTGTTGCCAAAGATATCAAGTACAATGGATCTGCATTCCGTCGTGACTTCAGAGATCATGCTTGCAAACGCGACGGCCTTGTCCACGGAACCGCAGACCTTAATACTGCTGCTGCCGCCCCCGCCCATGCTGTTGTTGACTGCCGTACAGCTGAAGTCGCGCGTCATGACTGCACTCGGTTCCACGCCGCACATGCCGTACCTCATAAAGGCATTTACTTCATCCGCAAAGCGTGAGCATGCGTCATGTGAGAACGTGGGTTGGCCTTCGCCAAGATTGGCATCAAGGGTAATGGTCCAGCAAGTACGACACTCGTTATCCGGTATGGCGGGTGCGGCCACTGGCGGCGGTGCCTTGACAGGCAACTCATGCTGCGGCTCCCAGAAGCACATGGCAGCTGCCATGTCTGCAAAGAAGCAGCTGCCGGTCTTCTCGTGCGGGCAGTGGAGTAGGGAGCCGTTAGTTCCCGGCGCACATTGTACGTTGAACATGTTGAAATCTCGCCAACGGTACTGCACGTCAGCAACTGGGAAGTTGTTGGTGACGGCGATGCCTTGAGCAAAACCCATCCGTCGACATGCCACGTCAGCATCCGCGTCGTCCCAGCCGACGCTGCAAACGGCACCCCAACGGCCACCGGAGAACACCTGGTGGAGGGTGGCGGGTGTTGCACACTAAGTACCGTAGGATTGTACGACATGGATAGGTACTTTACGTCACGTTGTTGTAGCGATGTACATTTCACGACATGTTGTGGAGACACAGATGGGCTGGGCATTAGGTATGGTGCGCCAACATAATGGGCCAAGCTCAGGTCTTGGCTCGGGCGCGGGGAGCCAGGCTGGAGCAGGCGGGCCTCCTGCGCTATTGACCTATAAGCTGGCCTATTGGCAGGCTGACAAGCACATGTAGCGGTGCATGGCGCAAGACATATGTGCAGTACGCTTTATTCACGGAAGCACGTCCTGGCATTCCATGCATGTCGCCAGTGTGCGGGACCAACACTATAATGCCCAGCCTTCTGGTTTACCAGTCCCTGACCACAGCAGTGCTTCACCCACATAATGGGCCTTCACTAACTGGTAACAAGGTAATCAACCCAACATAATCCTGTCATCATCACTCTGTCCGCCGTACTGTCTGCTTGCAACCACTCTCACCTGCACAAAGCCCCGTGCACCCCAGGAGTTGTTGGTCGGTGGCGACCAGTTTTGAGACTCGTACGACACAAGTCGAAGAAAGCCGGGAAGATCACCTGTACCGGTGTGTAGGGTTCACATGCTACACCTTACAACCATTGCGAGCAGAAGGACGTAGTAGCAATGAAGCATATACACAGGGGGAAGAGGTGAATGCCTAGTGCAAGGTCCAGTCGCATGGCGACGCACAAAAGGCGGGTGCTTCAGGGCATGACACGCCATGAGTCGTTGAAAGGTGGAGTAATACCAGAGAAGTGCGAAAAGGATTGGCCTACTACCGCGTCACACGTATACCTCATGTCAAGCAGGGTAAAAGTGGTCGTTGAACAGATGTACTCGCACCTGTCTTGTAGACATACTCGGGTACGATGAGCTCGGCCGGGTCGTTGAAGCACTCAACCGACATGTCTACCGTGTGATCCTTGGCCGTTGACAGTTGTACGTCAACGTCCCGGCAGGCTCCCGGAAATACATGCCCCAGGCCCTCAAGGACCTCCCTGTCCTGCTGCATCCATTTGGCAGTGATGTTGCTGGTGCCGCGGTTGCAAACGGGCGCCAAATCGAACACAAGGCCCTGACCGTAGCCGTAACGCTTGGTGCCCTTCTTGTACCTGTGTGGAAATGGCATAGTGGGGGAGGTAAAAACAATGGACGGACGACTGCAAAATCCTGCCGTTGAAACTGCTGTGAAAGGTTAAACAGTAGGCGTTGTTATCATCAAGTAATGCATGATGCAACATGGAGCACGCACTTGCGCTAGCTTGGCTAGTAGGCACTTGCTGTATTACTCTGGCGGCCGCATCTCCCATGTGACGTCAGGTCCGTCCCCTGACCCATGGGTCACCACCGTGAAACTACAAACAGGTAGGGTTCAATCACCTCACCCGCGAGACGGACCTACCTGCCGTACATATAACCCAGGCGTGTGCAGATAGCCGCGGCCCGAAGCGTGTTGGCAACCGCCGTGGCGGTAACGTTGGAGTTTTGCTGCTCAAGTATCTCGCTGATTGCTGTACCCCTCTTAAGCGAGGTATCCGTTGCCGTTGTCTCTAGGTATTGCAAGCCATCCATGGAAACGGTTCCCATGTAACCGCAGTAACTGAGCTGTACGACACCGCTTTGACCGGCGATCGGGCCATTGGCCAATGTAATGGTGCCGTGTGGGATATCTACATGCAGGGGAACGGGGCCCAGGGCGTGGTGGGTGAGGGACGGTGCAAGACGGTTAGAAAGCGTTTGGCAGGGGAGGTGTTCCTTTTTATATATGAGGTTTTTGTCAGCGGAGATGTGGATACAGGTTTAGGAGCTTTCAACGGTGTATCTGGAGGTTCAATAAGCAAGGGAGTGCACAATCAGCAGTGGACAGGAGGAGGGACTAAGAATCCTAAGCAAAAACAAGTAGTCTGGGTCTTCTGTAAATAAACAGCGCTGCTGCATGAGGGCAACAAAGAACGGCAACAGCAACGGGGCTTGGGAAGACGCACCGGTTCGCGCCAATCCGTACTTCGCAAGCCAGTAAGGCGCCCAGGAGGCCTCGTCATCGCTGGGAGAAGGCGGCGGCGATGATGAGGTTGATGGCGGGGGCGGCGAGGGGCTAGCAACTTTCAGCGGCGGCGGAGGCGTGGGAGGGGGAGGCTGCTTGGCAGGGGGGCTAGGGCTTTTGGCAAGGGTGGGAGGTGGTGAACGGCGAATGGATAGCGGTGGTGGTGAAGTTGGGGTGTTGGAGGAGTCGGGCGGGTGGGCGTCCTCTGACGGAGGCGGATTTTCGGAAGTGCTGCTGCTGCTGCTGCCGCTTTGCTGTTGCTGCAGCGTGCGCCTGCTGTTCTTCGCTGCTTCGAGAAGGTCAGCGAGAGTGGTGGCTGTCATAACTGATGGCGATGTCTCCGCTTGCAAACTGCCAATCAACGACCTGCGATTGCGCACGGCACTTGGCTGCAGTTGACCGAAGATGTCTTGTAGCTTCAGAAGTCGCTGTTCGAATCCCGCGCATTCACTCGGCAATGTGGGAGGTGGTGGAGGAGTCGACGGTGGCCGCGGTGGCGGCGACGAAGGGGGCTGAGGGTGCTTGCACTTTACACCCGCAACAGCATTGTTTCCGTCACATGTCGCCAAGCCCATGCCGTATGATTTGCAGTTGGCGAGGGTGGCCTCTGTGTCGTACTGGGAGCAATCAACGCCGTCCAGCCACACCGGCATGCCAGCGGGAGCGGTCCCAAAGGTTGCAGGCGTGGCGCCGGCGGCGCCAAAACCCAACTGCGCGCACACCACCTCGGCCTCTGTAACCGTCCACCTGCGGGAAATATTGTTAAACAGATATGGGCATTTATGACTAGGCTTGTAAAGTTGGATGTGCTAAAAGTAACCTAACGGATACACGGTAAGGCTAGATTAGGAGGTAAGGACGGGGCATGGAGGGAGTTTAGTGACTGTGAAGCAAGAAGGGGCAGGAGGTGGCACCGGCAAGGAGCCAGCACCCGCCTTCACCTGTTTTTGTTGCCATTACCAAACATATTTCCCTATCTCCTTCTTCTTTGACCCACCTGTTGTTACACACCGCGCCCCATTTGCCCTGGTAGTACACCTCCACACGTCCCTGCCACGCGGCTGCACCGCCCGACAGCCGGAGAGCACCAACTGGGGTGCGCGGGGAATGAAGAGAGGGGAGTGAGGGGGTGCTCAGTGAAGTAAGGTACGACAAAGGGAAGGATTCGTGGTAGGAGATGGGCTCATGGTTAGGTACGATAATCGATGCATGCCGTACTAGGGAGCTGGGGCTGCACCCTGCTGTACACATAGAAACTGCAACAGGGGGTCGGCAACGCGGGGGCGGTGAGAAGGTATGTATCGGTAAGCAGAGCGATGCCGAGCGACTGGGAGCTGAAGGTTTCGGAGTAACGTATGGGTTGGATGGGATACAGGGTGCACGTTGCATGCAGTACAGGACTGGGAAGGATAGGCGACGAAATGCGATGCGCGCGGTTGTGCCCAACAAGACGAAAGCACCAGAAGTCGTATGGCCACGCAGCAACTCCCCAGCCACTATCCTCACCTGCTGGCGGCGGCGAAGGAGGCTTGGGTGACGGTGGCGATGGCGGCGGCGGCACAAGGGGAGGCTGGGGGGCTGCATTGCATATGGGTGAGAGGCAGCGAGGCAGGGGCTTCGTAAGAAACATGCGGCTGACCTCTGGGTCCACTTGGTGTGCTCTTTCCCTACTCATCAGGTACCCAAACACACACACACACACACACACACATCTTTCGGCAATCAAAGTACGTTTCGCCTCGCGGCCAGTTATTTTAACACACACCGCGAAGCACTAGCTTGTCAGTCACAACGCTAAAGAAGCCGACGTACGGAATAGGGTACGACATAAAATGGAAGTCCGGTTAGAGGTTCGTACATGGCGGGGAACGAGGCGGTGGTGGGCGGGGTGGCCGCGGTGGCGGCGGTGGGGGCTTGGGAGAAGGCGGCTGCGGCGGGGGCGAGCGCTGCACGGGAGGCGGAGATGGAGACGGAGAGGGTGGAGAAGGTGGCGGCGGCGAAGGATGCAGCGGTGGTGGGGGCGGGGAATCTGCACACATGGAAGGAGACACGGATCGGGACTCGGGAATACTTAAGGCTAGGTTGTGATAGGAATTAATCGCATTGAGAAGGTGCAGAGAGAGCAAACAGCAGCAAGACAGCAATTACTGCATGTGTAAGATACCATGGTTACGCACGCCATTGACGCAAGGGGCGCGATGTACCTGCATTTCACAACCAAGCTACCTCACGGTGCGCTGAGATCGGCAGCACACCCACCTTCCATAGCAGTTTTAGCATCCATCCCCTCACCCAACCACCACCCATGCAAGCCTCCATACAATCATAGAACCCACCAGTCAGCTGCCACCCACCGTTCTTGCACAGCACCGCCGCCATCTTCTTGCACTTCCCGGCTGCATTCACAACGTACGCCGCAGTGCAGTTTCGGAGCACCGTGGCCCCAGCTGGGCAATTCACGCCGTTCAGAATCTTGACGCTCTGAGTACGGCTGACCGCAGGGTAAATCGTGGCCGTTGTGGTCGTTATGGCGGTTTCGGTTGTAGCGCTGGTTGCCACAACGGAACCCGTTTGAAAACCGACTTGGCGACAAGCGGCAGCAGCCGCGATTGAGGCTGTGGCGGCGGTCCAGCCGGGTTGGCAGACTGGCAGGCCAGCAGTTGTAGACGTCAGCGGAAGGGAATCCGCGATGATGTAGCCATGGGCGGTTGGAGTGGCGGTGGTTGAGGCGGTTAACAGTTTGAAGGACGAGTCAGCCGTGTTATAAACGTACGGCCGTAGGACGAAGCGGATGTTGCCGATGAGCAGGGTATCTGTGAGCAGCGAGTACGGCAGCAGTGGAGGGCTAGTTGGCAAGGGTTGGTCGGATTCCGATAAGGTGATGCAACGTTGAAGGTCACGATGGGTGCTGCGGACTGCTTGTACGAGCCAGAATTTGGGGCATTGAAGTACAGGGGATGGCGTGGGTAGGGCACGAGAGGCTCGCATAAGTACGTCCCACTGAGAACGAGTAGCCTCAACTTCAACACACAAACTCTCAAGCCTACAAATATATTGCTCCTGGCCATGATGCTTGCGACGCACGAATCGCGGCCCGAAAGCCGCGCAGGGCAAGGCATGTCAGGGGAACCATTAGAAGCTACAATTCCCCCTAAGCCACTGCCGGACCTGCTTGTAAGATTGCTGCCTGAACGCCTACAGGACGGGACGAAAGTCTCTGTGAGTATTTTGCGCTGCAAAAAACGATGCCGCGAGAATCGCACCTTGAAGCGCCAGCATGGGCAACATGCATGCGAGTAGGACACATACACAGGGAATGCCTGGCAAACCCTTGTTAGCATGGAGGCGTCTTGCAGCCATAATGTTGCTCGTATAGACCCTCTTCGGGACTGCTTGATGGCTCGACGTTGCCTTCACCAGGCCGTCATAACAGACGCAAGCGAAGCCCAGCGTTTGCCGCTTCCACTCAGCTGCTTACCCAGATAATCAAAGCCACAATTGACCTAAGCTACAAGCAAGTGTCCAATGACAGACTACAAGACACGTGAAAGTTACCTCATAGCCAGTCCCAACGATCACGGCCCTAGCCCAGCCAACAACGCCCGCAAAAGGCTAAGCTGTAAGGTATACAGCGTAAGGGGCACACATCGATTCGCCGAACCCATGATCCATCGTAGGGAAATTAAGGGACGCGACTTTCTGAATCCTGGCATCGGAGCCACAATACCGGTAGTACCTGCTCCATACAACTGTGCCCTTCCGACTTCTAACAAACATGCAATGAAGATCCATAATGTGTATGTAGTGATCACTCATGAGTGGTGTTTCTAATGCACAAGCTGGGATATGCCTAAATACAAATCTGTGAATCTCCCTTCCCGTGGCTTGTTGCCGCTAAGCCTATATTGAAATACACTAAGTACTTATGGGCTAGATTTCTCGCCTTAGTCGTCTGTGAGGCAACGTTCGACATGTGCGCATGACCATCAACGGTGCCTAATACTGCCTCAGAAGGGTTTCACAATTTGTGATGGATCATAGCAGCAATTGTTTTATGGATTCTCGAATCCTTCACTGCCGAAGTAACATAGAAGCCGAAGATGGCGCTGCTCCATATTTCCACTTGCAGTCCTCGTCCAGCGCATACCGTGCACTTGTCGCTATCAACGATGACATGGACCACACTAAGTAATCCTTGTACTTTGGCCGGAGCCCATTCCTTAGCGTATAGTTCATGACTCCCATATATCCCTGCGCTCACTACCCCATGCAAACCCGCTGCTGACGTCACCGTTTCGGTTCTGCATCCAGTCCAGGCTTCTCACGATAACTGTGACAAATTCAATTCCTTCTCATCCCCATCACTTCCAGTACTGTTTATCCCTCGGCATGCACAGTAATGCGCATTACGCCTCGTAGTTTTGCGGCCATCTGGTGCCAACGGCCCATGAGCAGCCTATGGCGAAGCCGCGTTTAGCGACCCTGGCATGTGCCCGGCACCCAGCGTGCCGCCCAATGGCCATCCCATTGTGCACGCTGCTCACATCTGCTCTACATTGCCACCTGGTATCTGGCCTATGCGCAAGGCGGGGTTGTAACGCACGATGGTGGTTGGGCAGATGGACAAATGAAGGATAAGCTCACAACACGTCAGAAACCTCCTGTCGCATCCTGCGATCCCTTGCACTCACAGTGACACAGCCATGGGTGGGGCTACATGGCGCTGCGGGCTAGGTACGCAAACTGCATCAGCATGCGCAGATGCACATACACCCAGGTGCACCTGTCCACTTCTTCATTCTAAGCACCATTATCACACAACTCTCTACCACTTCATCACTTCAGATGGCCTCCTCTCTTTACGAGTATGTACATCAGCGCTGAGTGCCCTACGCCCATCCGGCCGCCAGTGCGATGCTGTAAAGCGGGCCACACCGTGCCTGTACGGCAGCGCTTTTTGGGTATTGGCACCTCCCGTTGGCATGCCATTGCCCGGGCCCTACGGCGTATCCCGCTTGAAAGGCTACACACCAACCTTATTTGCTGACAGTTGACGGCTAACGGCTACTGAACATGCCGTAGATGTACGCGCCTATGGCCAGCAGTACGGTGACTAGGATGATGTCGACACACAGGTTGCGTGAGGAGCGCAGGTTGCTTAGCATGCCCTTCAGCTTGGCGTTGTTGGTTTGCAGCTGCCGGGTCACCGTGTCCATTTGCCGCTCGATATCGTCCAGCACGGGCGCCTGCCGGCCGAACTCATCGCCTGCCATGCATGGGGTATGTACGGTAATGGGAGGTAATGGGACCCCAGTGGCGTTAGGTGTGCAAGCCGGCGCGTAGGCGCGCATGCACCGGTAGCGGTCTGTACGGTGCATGGGAATGCATGGAAGGGGCACATGGGTGCACACAAGGGTGGTGGTAGCAACCTGTTTTATTCATTACACGCATAGCCATTAACTGGATCAATTGCACTCAGCATGACTAGGGCCTGGCAATGATAAAGACAGCAGCTTCCTCTCGCTTGTCCACGGTACCCGTCATACCGCCATCTCCACCATCAGGGGAATACGGGCATCGGAATTACAAGCAGGGGCAGGTGCTACTTACCAATGGCTTGAGCCATTTCGTTCAGCTCCTGAACACCTTGCCGGATCACCTCGAGCTTCCTATCTTGAGCCCTCTTCGCCTCGTCCCACTCCTACATTCAATGGTATGCCCACTTGCCGCATGCATTCCTCTTGAAACCAGAGCGCCTTCCTCGCTGCTCGTTTCCATATAGCGACGTCATTTGTTGACCCACGGGCCCCGGAATGCGATTAAGTAAGGTCTCCGCGCCAAGGAACATTGTTGTCTTTTCCTCTGCATACCTTTTCCAATTGCTGCGTGGCCTCGGTGTGAGCGAAATAGCCCTCCTGGCTGGCCGGGTTGGAATCCGACTGGCTGGTGATGAAGACGCCCTGGCCCTTCTTGCCTTTAGCGTACGTCTGTACGGTAGACCCAGGGGGCGGCGCATACACGAAGGCGTTGAATGCGTATGTTGTCAAACCCCAAAACTGAAACCGGCAAAACATGACATTGGGGCACGGCACGACGCTACATTGTCATGCTTGCTTATGTGCTCCTGAAGGCCTGGACACATAAGCCTTGCGTTCTCCAAGCGCAGCTTCAGCTTAAGTAGGGATTGTCAGGATGACCGGCTTGTATGCATCTGCTCAAGCCTGCTTGCTTACCCGGCCCGGTCGTCTGTTAGCAGCCATGCTTAAGCCATCTGGAACATTGTAGATGCGCTCAACAATGTCCTTGATCTGCAGACATTGCACAGTCACTTTATTAACCGTCATCTGGCGGCAGCATGTTTTGGCTTGTGCTGCAGAAGCATACCTTCTCCCGCCGTACGGCCAAGATGTCCTTGGTAACGCCTTTGCCTTTCTTGGCTGACTTCTCTAACGCCTGCACGGCCTCCGTCAGCAGGACGTTCTTTGCTCGTCTAATTTCTGCGTTCCTTGCGGCAATAATGGCGCGATTCTGCTCGAGAGCTACTTCAGCGGCGGCCTGCGCGTGCGACCCACAGCAGCTAGCACATCGGCGCTCAACAACTCGACAAGCAATCCGATTGCGCGCACCCGTCAGATTTTACCTCCATGAGCTTCTCAAGTTCCGCTTCCACATTATAATATTCTTTAGCGAAGCGGTCGTTGGCTGTCGGACCAGCGCCCGATTCCTTAGCGGGGACATCATATTTTTCGTACCTGCTTGGAAGCAAGGCACTTAGCAAGATTCGCTATGGCTGGCTTTAATAAACGGATGGGAATATGTGCAAGTAATACTTTTTCAAGATGACGTTCGTCCGCTGAATAAGGTCGTAGAGGGACATTCGTCCTCAAGCAGCTGCCGACAGAGGGCTCCACTGGCCCGTTTAGCGAAAAAGTTCAACCATGTGCAGTTTTGTAGAGGTTGTGTAAGCCATGCTACAGTAAGTAAAGAAGCCTTTTGTGTCTTATGGACGAACATCCTGCGAGGCAACAGCAGCACTTCTCCGTGCAAGCGTCTTGGTGTCATTTTTTAAGCAAATACATCCAGTCCTCTTGGAGGGGCTCTGTATTGGATTGGCTTATAGCTGTGTTCACGAGCGACCGGACAACTTCTGTGGATCCAACCGTACGGCTCTATCCAAGAAAGCTGAAGATTGCAATTGCCAGCAAAGTGTACAAACCATCGAAGTACTTTTAAAGCTAGATGATTTTGCTACACTTCCTTTAAATTTACATCACGCAAAATATCATCTGGGCACACAGCAGACACAGTTCCCAGGGTAATGCTAAGTTATGCATCACAAATCGCTCATTAAAAGGCGCCACACAGCTTAAATATTCGCAAAGAAAGATTCGGGCGGTCAACAACTGCGTTTGGGCTTCCACAGCGGGCGGCCTGTGCTGATACAGGCCGCCCGCAGGCTCTAGTAATGCATACACTGGAGCCCAGGAAACGGACCCTTTTCTTTGGTATCAGGTCATGGCCTCGACGGACCGCGGCCGCTCAGATGGCTATAGCTACCAAACCTCGCAGCTAGGACCAGCAAGGCCAAGCACATCCATCACATACTCGCCACCGCCCGGCGCCTTTGGCTATAAAAGCAAAGGCACGCGTTTCGCGCCACCGCCGTCTCCGGCTACTGCCGCTCGCGCGCGTAGCCCACTTCCTGCCTCCAGCTACGGTGCCGGAGCGGGAAAAGGCAGCACGTCGCCGCCCCCTTTCCGGCCGGGAGGCTACGCACAGTTGGCCCAGAACAGACCTGGAAGCGGCCTTAGCGTAGCCATGGCCACCCGCGCCAAGACACCTGCAGCATCCCGGCCCTCTCCCTCCACCCAGTTCGCTAGGCCAGCGGAGAGGCGAGCCATGACCCCACCCTCACGCCTCGCCACCATCACCAGCGCCCCCTACACGGCTCCTGCCTTCCCTACCGGCACCCGCCGTTCGCCCCTTACAACCCCACGCTCACAGCCTACCAGGACTGCTACCGCCGCTAGCAGCCCGCCTTCTCGGACCCAAGCCTGGGCTGCCTCTGCTACTGCCACAGCAGCGGCTGGTTTGCCGTACTCCCACACCATCAGCCCCGCCCTCAGCACACCGCCGTACACGCCAGCCCCCGCAAAGGGCGCTTCTCCGGCCCTGCCGGGATCTCCCTTGCCGTACAATGTGACCCCAACCCGCAACACCGGCGGCAGCGGCATCATCAGCGATAGCAGCGCCACTCGAGGAGGTGCAGGGGGGCATGCAGCGTTGCCGACAGCCGCGCTGCGTGCAGCTGCCGCAACCGCTGCTGCCGTCAGCCCAGCACCAGCGGCAGCAGTCAACCAGGCTGCCTCAAATGCACCTGATTCAAGCCTTCCCTACAGCAACCGGCGCGCAGGGCAGGGGCCAGCGTTGGGGATGCCGGACGGTGCCTCCCATGGTGACCAGGGCGATTTCGGCTCCAGCCTGTCTCGCAAACAGCCCAGAAGCGGCTCGGTACGGAGTCCAGGGTCTGCGTTCCGGGAGCCGGCAGAGGACTGGCTGGCCTCCTTCGAGCGCTCCTCCGCACCCATCATGCAACAACTGGAGGGGCTGCTGGGTCACATACCCGTGCCCATGGCCTCGCCATCGTCCCCCCCTGAAGTCGGGGCACCACCGCTGCAGCTGCCCCTGCCGCCCACACCGGGACTCCCGGCCGGGCTCCTAAGAGCAGTGCCCGGTGCTGCGGCAATTGGGTTGGCGGCCCAGCCTGCAAGCGCAACAGCTAACCGGCAAGCAGCTGGAGCGATGATAGCAGCATTGGGTTCTGCTGCTGCTGCTGTGGCTCCGGATTGGGCAACAACGGCTGGGGCTTCGTCCGTTCCGGGGCGCTTGCACGGCGCATCGGGGGCCGTCAGGACGCTGGACCCGGTGCTGCAGGGCGCAGCGGTCTTGCCGTTGCAGCAGCAGCAAGGACAGCCCCTGCAGCAACAACAGGGGCAGCAACAACAGCAGCCCTTGCTGGGCCCTCAGCTCCCAGTAGGATTAGCACGCGGGGCAATCGACGCCATTCTTTCACGGCTGCTGCTCCCAGGGGGCCGGGACACGGCGCCCACGTCCTCCCTTGGCGCCGGTACCTTGGCTGCAAAAGGCGGCGATGCACCGTCTAATGGCAGCGCTGCTGCCAGTGCTGGCCTCAGCACCGAAGGCCGAGTCGCAAGCGGGTCTATCGGTTGTGCAGCAGGCTCGACAGCAGCGGACAATGTGGTGGCGGCGCTGGGCACGGCAGCACCGGGTACGGCAGTGGAGGCGCTTGCTGCGGGGGTGCTGCCCGTGGGAAGGGCGGGGGAGCTGCTGAGCGTGCTGCAGGCGAGCAGCCAGAAGGCCGCTAGTCTGATGTCGGAGCTGGAAGCGGCACGGCGGGAGGCGCAGGCAGCGAACGAGAGGTACGGGCAGCGACGAAGAACTGTTCTTAGGCAATGGGGGTATGCTAAGAATGCGAAGCACGGCGCAAATAGTAATAGTGGCAACCCGATTTCCATCTTTAGCGTTGTTGAGGTGCTTGATTACTCTTTCCTTTGCAGTCGTGCACTTAAACATTTCCTCTGCCTTCCATAACCGACACGCTGTTTTTCCTTCCCTCATTCTTTCCCTGCCTTTGCCTGGGAAGCCGCAGGGCGGAGGAGGCGGACAACCTGGCACGCGCCTTCCAGCAGCAGCTCGTCGCGCGACAGCGGCAGGTGGCAGCCTGGCAGGCGGCGTTGCTGGACATGGAGGAAAGGTGCGTACGCGGCTGGGCACCTTTACTGGTGGGAGGCGAGGCGGTGACGGTATCCTAGAGGGGTGCATGCAGCGTGATGCCCATGGGTTGGTAGTACACGGGCGGGGACAAGACCATGTCTCAAGGGACGCATGCACAGGCGCGGTCGGGATTCTAGGAAACGAGCGCACCCCAGCATACCCGCGGCCTCCCACACCCACACCCCGCATCCTGGCTGTCATCCTTGCACCGCATGCACCCCGCCTTCCCTACCTGTCAGGAAGACATCACGATGCCTGCGAACCCAGCCCTGTACCCACCCACAACCCTGCGTCCCTCGCCCCGCCCGCCCTGCAGGGAGTCTGCGGCCCAGCAGCAGCTGCAGGCGGCGCAAGAGCGCTGCGACCAGCTAGCCCAGCAAGCCAGCCAGGCAGAGCACGTGGCGGCAACCGCGCAGCTGCGTCTGGAGCGGCTGCTGCTGCAGCAGCGCAGCGCCGCGCAGCACCGGGCGAGCCAGGCCAGCATGGAGACCGCGTCAGGTGGGAGGGGCTCCCGGGACAGCAGCCGGGTGCAGCAGGTGGCAAGTCGGGACGAGGAGCAGGAGGGGGCTGAGGCGGCGCCCCCGCAGCTGCAGCTGAGGCACCTGCGGGCCAACCTGGCAGCGGCTCAGACGCGCGCAACTCGCGCGGAGCTTGAACTTGCTGTGGCGAGGAACCGGACGCTCATTACGCAGCAGGTACGTAGCGGTGGTGGTAGGCTTTGGGGGTGGTGGGGAGGGGTGACACGAAGGGGCTGAGGAGCTTGTTGGGCCGAGGTATGGAATGCCTCCTGCTCCGGACAGCTGACGCTTAATACCTAATTTGGTAGAGCTTAAGACAGAGACCCGGTTGCTTCCGCACCCCGGCTGCTTTCCTAACGTTGCCCACCGGACCCGACCGGGCGCCAGCAGCCGAGGAGCCGTGCGACCCAGCTTTGTTACCCAATCTTGACGATTGCATGCAAAGGTCGCCGCCGCACCTCTCATCGTGTGCACCTGGGGTTTGCCCCACCCTCCAGGAGCTGGTTGCCGAGGAGGAGCGGGCGCGGCGGGCGGCCGCAGCAGCCGCGGTGGCGCGGGAGGAGCTGGGGCGCACTCGGTCCGCCATGGAGCTGATGGGACGGGACCACGAGCTGCTGCGGCACCAGATGCGGGAGCTGCGGGCTAAGGTGGGTAGGAGGGGGGGGGTAACGGGTGGATTGATCTCGAGGTACAAGCTGGACTGCTTCCCCGCGGTTTCTGTAGGTTGTTGGGTTTCCCAGGTGCGGTGCTGGTAGCCGGTGAGGGTGGGAAGGGTTGACATGGATGGACCGAACACGCTGAGCTGGTAATGCAGCAATGCAGTCGGTCCGTTCTTAGGGGCTCTTCCGGCCCTTGTCACAACACACGGTGGCTTAGCATCCCTCACACCCGCACCTGCAGATGGCTGGCAGGGGCGTCTCGACACCGCAGGGCGGTCAGCAGGACCGCCCTGCCGCGGGGCTGCAGCAACCGCAGCAGCATCAGTCACAGCAGCAGCACCCAGGCGGATCCCCAAGAGTGGATCACCGCGAATTACCCCAGTCGCAGACGACTGTGGCTGCGGCCATGGCCTCGACAGCCATGCACGATTCAGCGGCAGGCAGCACCCTTGCGGCCGGGGGGTCGATGCGGCAGATAGACGGGAACGCCGCAGTCCGCAGCCCGAAGCATGTGGCTGCGGCAGTGGCCAGGGTATCTGAAGCATGCCTCGACACGCCGAAATCATCAACCCACCAACGCCTCGCGCCCGCTGAGTTTCGGAGTGACGTCAGTAGCGGCCTGTTTGACATGGCTTGTCTGGACAGCGACGGCAGCAGCTTCAGTTCCGCAACGGCGCCCGGCAGCGCTTCCTGCACTGAACCCGGGGCGGCCACAGCAGCAGCAGCTGCAGGACGGGATCTAGGGCAGCTGCCGCCGCAGCCGCCAGCGGCGGTCAGGAGCCATCGGCGGGGGTCCCTGTTGCTTCTGGCGCCGGGTGAGGTGCCCGCAGAGGCTGCCGCAGCTGCTCGGTACGGGCAGGAAGACCCCTCGCCCAGGCGACAGAGCGGCTCGCCAGATCCACGCGATGATGAGGCGGAAGCCCCCAGTGGCGTGCCCGCCAAGAGTTCTTCCGAGCCGCAGACTTTGTTGCAGATGGATGCCGACTTTGCGTTTGTTGCCTCTCCAAACGGGACGTGTAACGGAGGAGAAGATGGTGTTAATCCTCTTGCTCTTAGCATGAGCAGCGGAATGCGGATTGCCAAGACGCACGATGGCTCCATGCACCGGCGTAGCCTGGAGAAACGCGACCCACGGATGTCCCACGTCGTTGGGGCTGATGTGGATAGCCCTTCGAGCAAGAACGCCGCCCTTCAGGCAATGCTGATGGGAAGCACTTCTAGTGGTGCCAGCAGTTTCAGAAGCATCGCGGGCGCTTTACTGCCGGACGAGCTGCTGCCCCTGAGTCGTGCGCCCTCTTCTGGGTCTCGACGACACCGTTCGGTCTTCCAAAACAGCCAGAGCAGCGGCATCCGAGGCGCGGCAGCTTCTCCGCACTATGCAGCCGGGGGGCTGCACTGGGACGTCCCGACGTCACCGCAGTCGCTGACCAGGGGTCTGAAATCACCGCTGCGGCAGCAGCTGGCGGATAGCGGCCAAGGCAAGGGCACACCGCATCAAGAGCATCAACAGCAGTTGCCGCGACCTCCGCTTAGCCCGGTTCGCGCACAGCCCGGACTGGATTCAGATCCATCATCGCCGCTAGGACCAAACCGAAAACGAGCGGCGACACCTGTCTCATCGCCAAAGGAGCATCAAGCCCCCCAGCCGCAGAATCACCAGCAGCGGCCACCGCCACAATCCCCGCAGCAACCAGAACAAGGGGGCCAACCGCACCGACTACCCGCACCATCAGCTGCCCGAACCTTGGCACACAACGCTTGGGGGCATCGGCCTCCGCTGCCGCCCGCACAGCTGGAACACTTACTGCCGCAGTTGGAGAAGTCCGACTCGCCTAGGACAGTGCCGCCCGCGCCCATGCACCAACATGGAGCCAGCGGTCCTGAGGGTCCGGTCAGGTCCTGGAGCCCGCACATCCCAACGCAGGATGAAGGCAAACACAACGCAGCCGCAACGGCAGCGCCTGTCGTACAGCATGCATACCATGCCCCGCCTTTCAGCGTGCCGCAACGAGTGGCGGCTGCATCAACAACCTCCCCGCCCCGCGCACCTACGGTTACAGCGAAGCCCCCCATGCAACAGCAGCAGCCGCGACCCGTGGGTCATCCTGGCGCTGCAGTGACGACGGGCGTAACCATGCCCGGGAGCAGGTTGCTTCCTAGCCCTCCTGAAGGATACATTAGCAACCACCTTAACGACTTATACGAAAGCCTGCAACACAGCATGTCATGTGCGCCCGGCTTCCGTGAACGTCAGCTGCCCCCGCCACCGCCGCACCCAGTACTGCCTGCATCAGTGCACCTCGACACTGCCAGCCTGCCTAGCCGGCGGGAGGCTAGGCATCAGCAACACGACCAGCAGCAACCGCCCCAGCTGCAGGAGCAGCTTCAGGCGCGTGGGCAGGAGCAAGGTCTCCAAGGGGTGGTGCAGCCGGCAGGCCATGCCCCTACGTTGAGGAGCCATGACGACGGTTCCAGCATTCACGACCTCAGCCTCCAGCAGAGTAGCCACAACAACGCCAACCGCCGCTCTGACAGCCACCATAGCCATGCGCCTGATGCTGACGATGGTGACGCAGCCGGCATCGCAGGTTACACAGACGCGGAGCTCGCAGGCGCGGAGGGCTCCCCAACCCTATCCGCGTTCGCCTTCACACCTCGTACGCGCATGCTGAGCCCCTCCCAGCTCGACAGCTACCGAGTGAGCGCCGCCCTCACAGCTTCCGTGGCCTCTACTGCCACGGTGAGCGCCAGCCGTGACATGGATGGCGGTTTCGGCAGCTTCGGGGGCGCAGCTAGTGCTAGTGCCGATGGGACCTCTGGAGACAGGGGTTTCGGAGCCAGAAGCACAGGCGGAGGCGGCGCCACAGACGGGCAGCGCAACTCCGGCTTTTTCGCCTCTGTCAGCGGCTCCGGATCTGGCTTGCTGCTGCCAAGGTCTCATTCCGCTGCGTCTGAAGCCGCGGGTAGCCGCATTGGCGCTGCGGCAGTGCCGCCGCCGCCGCCTCAGCAGCAGCAGCAGCAGCAGCATGGAGACCCCTGGTGGCGACGCCTACTGAGGCGACCACCGTTGCGCCGTCTCGGTTTGCCGCTATCAGCCTCCTCCTCCTGTTCCTCCTCGTCTCCCTCCGCACCGTCCTCGCATGCACGCTGTGCATCGCACCAAGGGAGCAGGCCCCCACCGCTTTCCGCAGTTCCTGAGGACGAGGTAGCGAGCGGAGGGAAGTCGCCACGGCACTGCCTGGGCGATAATGACCAAGGCGAGGGCGACAGTACCAACGTTGACGGCGGTACAGGTCCCTCTCGCCACCCTCTGGGCAACGTGTTGATGCAGCTGGCGTTGTGGTCGGGTGGTGTTGCGTGTGGCATGTTGCTGATGTTGGGGGTGGCGGGTTTGGTGGAAGGCACGCTGGGTAGAGCGGGCGGCGCGCAGGGGTCTTCGCACATGCTGTTGCAGACCTGTGGGGGCTGTGGTGTGGAGGGAAAAGGTGGTGCAGAGAAGGAGAGGGATCAGAGGCGTGGGCACGGAGGAGGTGGGGGAAAGGAGGAGGGGAGGAAAGGCCGTGATGGCAATGGCGGGCGCAGGCGGAGGAGGTAGGGGGGTTCCTGTCGGGTTGTGGCTTGTGGTGGGTAGCCTGCTGGGATAGTGTAGCTGCAGAGGGAAGGGACCGCATATTCAACTTGAGACCGTGGTGTTTGGGGACATGTACGTACCACCTGTATATGTGATGTACACACGTGATCGCGGCCAGTTTACGCTTACAGAATTTGTGCCCTGGACCAGCCTGGACGTAAATGGGTTTTTCTTAACCTCTGATGAGCGTGCATGCGGACTCTGTGCATACCGTATATCTTCTGTCGTACAGTTGGCATTGCCGTACATGGCAGTTGCCGTGACTCGTTAACTGGGAGCTTGAAACACTGAGCAGCCTTGTGCATGCCTGGACGGCAAGCTGTTTATAGGTTATTTCCCCGTTCATTCGACGCGTGAGCCAACCAACGTCTGTCAACATCCGCTGGTTGTCAGCGAGCGGCTGATTCGACCGAGGCGTGTGCCTGGATAACTATGGTTAGTTCACAACTAAATTGTTTAGCTGTTGACCGTGTTCGAGGTGTGCCTGGAGTGACCGAACCAAGGGATGCTAGGGTGTGTATGTGACTGCAGGGTGCAATATTTGAGTTGCGGTTTTGGTTGCTGTTGGCGGTTGCGGTGGCCGTTGGCGGGCCCAAGCGCGCAGAGTCTTGACGAGACAAGTGATGAGTGGCAAGAAAGGAGACACCAGGTAGCGCCATATGCGCATTAGTTACCAGACATGCTAGCGAGCTAGCCTGCATGTGAGTATGGGCGACTGGTCGTCGTACGAATCGGATGGGGGTGAAGGCAGTGTAGTGTACCTTTGCTGGATCAATTGAACTGGCGATGCCTGTCACGTGGTATGATGTAGCTATACAACCAAGCTCATATGTCATGAAACATATGACAAGGGTTCAGGTTAAACGCGACAGGGTGGGTCACAACTTGCTGTGGGATAACACAACGGGGTGGACCGCAGCTTCTATGGGGTGGATTGCCACGACGGGTTGACCACAAGGTATGGGCGCTGAGACCGCTTGCTTGGTGTCCAAGGTGTAGCACCGCTGCCCGAGGATTGATGGTGCTAGCGCCAAGCACTCCACAAGGCTCGAATACAGGCAGTGCTGCACGGTCACATAAAGTAAAGTAAACAGCACCCCAAGGTACGCCGCGTGCAGAAAGGAAGGTGCCATAGAGTCCGCCACATTGTTCCGAGGCAACGAAGGTTTGAAAGGTCTGGCGCCTTCGCTAGCCACGCTAGCTGGGCATCCACGCTTGCTTCTAAAAGCGTATAAAGATGTGTAAGCTGTTTAACTTGCGATATGATGGTGCTGGAGTTGCTGTCTTCGCCATCGGTTGAAAGAGAGGATCCGGGCGTCATCAGGTGTAGTACTACGCAAGCATCAGCAAAGCCATGTATCCGTCAAACGTGTTTTGTGCACGCGTTTTAAGCTTTGACAACAACTGCCTATTCACGATGTCCACACGACTTCGCGCCCCAAGCCAGTGTTGCGTCGGAACAGCTTGTCCGCTTCGCGTAAACGCACGATCGAGGATCACACCAACATCGTTTCAGCGCCGATGTTTACGGGTTGCTGTCGTCAAGGCGTCTGCGAGTGCTGGAGCGGATGGAAAGCAGGTCTGCATTGTATGTGCCGTTAAGGGTGTTACCGCTAGACATGCTCTATATCCAATAAGCGTCACAACACAGCTTTTTATCAAACGTGGTCGATATATATCCGACCGTCACCGAACAGGCGCGTGCAGCATGTCATGGCGTGTTTGCGTCCCTTAGCGCCTGCTCTGCCGACGCAAGCCATAGCCGGTGGACTATCACCATTCCCCTGCTCATTACTTCAATTAGTCAGAGGGCCTGACATCTCGGTTGCCCCACCTCACCCCGCCTGTGCCTCGCCATCCGCCACCGCCGGTACATGTTTGCCAGCCACTCCACACCAGGGTTGCCATCATAGGAGGGGGCCCTGCAGCACACACGGCGGCGATCTACGCAGCGCGTGCGGAGCTGGAGCCAATAGTCTTTGAGGCAAGTCAGACCGCAGCGCATCCGCTGTGACCCACATGGGCATATTCAGGAGAGCGAGGGCGCAATGGTTTGCTGGTGGCGGACCTGAGGGACTGCTGCTTGGAGGGCTAGGGGAGGTGTGGGGCACCTAAAGGCGCGCGCGGAAGGGCCAGTTGGAAGCTCAGCTAGTACGGCAGCGATTTGGGTCATCAGTTAGCGCTCATACGGGGCACTACTGGCCCCCATCGCACCTACTGTCTTTCCCTTCCCCCAACACCTTTGGCAACACCCACACCTACTCCCGTCCTCGCAGCAGCTACCCGGGAGGGTAGCTCCTCACTCCTTTGGCTCTCCTGCCCTTGCTTCTGCCTTCACACGCTCACTCACCCTCCTCTCTCCCTCCTCCTCCTTCGCTCAGCCCCACATTATCTACCCCCGTCCCAACCCCGACCCCTCCCCCCCCCCCGGCCCCCGCCCCCCAGGGTTTCATGGCAGCCGGCATTGCCCCCGGCGGCCAGCTGACCACCACCACCTTCGTGGAGAACTTCCCGGGCTTCGTTGAGCCCATCATGGGCATCGACCTGACGGAGAAGTTCAAGTGAGGAGGGAGCAGGGAAGGGCAGAGGAAGGAGTAATGTGAGGAAGGAGGGGAGGGCTTGCATGGAGGGTGTGCGCCCCATGTGCGCTCCCCTGCCCAATCAGTCGGTCCCTCTCAAACTCCCCCATCTCCCTCCATCCCACGCCCCCGCCGGCCTCCCCATCCCGCAGGCAACACAGCAAGCGCTACGGCACTCGCGTCTTCACAGAAACCGTCACGTCCGTTGACTTCCAAGTATTCGACCAAGAGGGCTCCGACTCTAGCAGCAGCAGCAGTAGCGGAACAGGGGTTCAAACACCGCAACAACAACATCAACAGCAGCAACCCGGCGCACCCGCGGCTCCCAGTGGCGGTGCAGCGCAGCGCAAGCGTCGCGGCCCCTTCACGTTGCGAACCACGGAGCGCTGTGTGACCGCGGACGCCGTGATCATCGCCACGGGTGAGGGGGGTGAGGGCGGTTGGTGGTTGGTTGGTTGGTGGGAAGTGCATGCAACCACGGAGCTATGGAACCAGCCAGCCAGCCAGCCAGCCATGTGGAAGGGTAAAAAGAGGGAAGGAGTGGATTGAGTGGTCGGGAAAGAGAACGCAGCAAGAGGGAGGTAAAGGCACGTTGAGGAAGGGGCCCGGTCCAGCTGATGCGAAGCAGCCCGCTCCCTTCCCCCACCCCCACCCCCATGCCCGCACGCACGCATGCAGGTGCGAGCGCCAAGAGGCTGCGCTTCCCGGGCAGCGGGGACGAGTCGGAGGGCGGCTACTGGAACCGTGGCATCTCCGCGTGCGCCATCTGCGATGGATCCTCGCCGCTCATCAGGTGCCTGTGCTTGATAAGCCGGACGCAAGTAGGGGCGTACTAAATTGTCGGATGTCACCACCATGGCTGCGTCGGCCTCTTAACAGCGCTTTCTTTGCTGCGCCTCTTTTGTTGCCACATGCCGCATGCAGCGCTATCATGTCCTGCTACGGTATGTAGCCCCATCCCCTCCCCCGGGCCCTCCTTTTGAACCCCCGACCCCCCCAGGAACAAGCCGGTTGCGGTGGTGGGCGGGGGCGATAGCGCCATGGAGGAAGCCATGTTCCTCACCAGGTGGGCTGGCGGGAGCGGGAGGGAGAGGGAGAGGGAGGGCGGATGTGGGCGGTGGGGGCGGCTGCTGCGGGAATGGCTGGGCATCACGAATATGTGGCCGACAATCTGGTTTTCCCGTGCCTAGCTAACTATGTCTGAAGTCATTAGAGCCCTCCCCCCTCTCCCCCAGGTACGCCTCCAAGGTCTACATCATTCACCGCTTCAACTACCTGGAGGCTTCCAAGGTAGGAGGCGGGTGTGGGGGGGTTGCGGAGCGGGGTGGGAAAGAAGGCATGGTGCAGGGGGCAGTAGAGGGGGTTGAAGGGTCTGGCATAGCATTCCCCCACTGTGAAAGCCCGGGATGCATTTCAGGGCGGGCAGGCAGGCGATTAGCCACCGACCGCGCACTTTCGTGCTGCTGCTGCTGCTGCAACGACTCGTGCATCTCTCACCCCGCTCACTTCTCCTTCCCATTTCCCGCCTCTCCCGCCCCTCCCGCCCCAGTCCATGGCCCGCCGCGCCTTGGCCAACCCCAAGATCGAGGTGCTGTGGTGCGCCGAGGTGCGTGAGGCGCATGGCAGCGAGGCAACCGGCAACCTGGAGGCCATCACCATCGCCCGCTCGCCGCTGCCGGCGGGCGCACCGGTGGGGCTGGCAGCGGCGCCGCCCGCACCAGCTGCTGCTGCGGGTGCTGCTGCGGGTGCTGCGGGTGCTGCCCATGCAGCAGGGAGGGACGGTGGTGAGGTGCTGGAGCGGTTGGAGGTGTGCGGGCTGTTCTTCGCCATCGGACACCGACCCGCCACGGACTTCCTGCAGGGGCAGGTGAGGAGTGCCCCACAGGGGGAAGGTAATAGGTGATAAGGGCAGCAATGGAGGGGCTGGGGGAGTGGTGGGGTGGGGTGGGGGTGCACGGATGATGGTGGGCCGTGCCTCGTGACGCTTCACGCATCTGCCTGACACTTCACCCCCCTGCCACGACCCATGGGTCATTCCGCTGTTGCCACGACTCCTCTCCCTACTCCACTCTACGCCTGCCGGCCCCCCCCCACCAGTTGGACCTGGACGACTACGGCTACATCGTCACTGCGCCCGGCAGCACCGTCACCAGCGTGCCAGGTGGGTTGGGGAGGTGGGAAACGACGCTGCGACTGCACCCCCCGAGACGGCTCCCAGTCGCCAACCCTCTTCCGCCCCTGTTCCTGCTGTTATCACCTTGCGCTAGCGTCCTAGCGCACATCCCCGGCCATCCCGCCTTGTCTTGCCCCTGCCTGGGCCTGCCTCTACTGTGCCTCTACGGCTTATTCGACTCCCACTTGCCTCCTGTAGTCCCTCTACACCACCACCATTAGTGGTTGGAGCGTCGTGGCTCAGTAGCGGTAGCGGCAGTAACACGTCAGACACAAGGCAGACACACCACCGCCCCTGTCTGCAAACTCCCACGACCCCACCTGCACCCACCCTCCCCATGCACCCCCCCCCCCATGCACCCCCCCCACCCTCCCCCTCCTCCCTGCCTGCCCAGGTGTGTTCGCCGCGGGTGACGTGATGGATCGTAAGTACCGGCAGGCCATCACGGCGGCGGGCAGCGGCTGCATGGCGGCACTGGAGGCGGAGAGGTTCCTGCAGGTGGGGGCCGGGGGGGCGGGGGAAGGGGGGGGAGGGAGGAGGGAGGGAGGTGGATGAGGAGGGGGGGTGTTGCGAAGGAAGTGGAGGGTGGTGCGGGGAACTGGGGTGATGGTGGGGGAGAGTGGCGGAGGGAGATGCCGTCCATCCGCCCACACGTCCCCTGCCCCCAACACGCCGCACGCTGCACCCCACCCCCCCGCCCCTTCAGGCGCTGGACGCTGGTGTCGCCCCCGCGGCGGCTGCGGGTGTTGCGGAGCGCGGCGAGGGCGGCATGCCGCAGCAGTGGACCGCCTCCGCTGCCGCCCCTCCTGCATGACAGCGCCCCTCCTGCATGATGAGGGGAAGTTGAGGGGCCAGAGATATACCAGACCCACAGGTTGATTGATTGGGAACGATTGGGATAGAGGGAAGCTGAGGGAGGAGGAGAGTAGGGAGGCAGGGAGGCGGCTGCTCAAGGCAACCTGTGCGCGGGATGGCGGAGCGGCTGCGGGTGCTGCCCGATGGCAAGGCAGGGTGGGGGCGTCCTGGCATGTGCAGCGTGCGGCATGAGCAGGTGAAGTACGGAGCGGGGGGCGGAGGGGTGTAGATGGCGAGCGGGGTGTTTGGGTAGGCTAGGTGGGTGTGCATGGGTGTGTGTTTGCAGCGTTGTTGTGTATGCGGGTGCGCTGGAGGTGTGTGGGTAGGAGGTGTGGGAAGGTAAGCGGTGGCGGTGGTTCCCAATGACGTCCTTTGTTACGGGTGCGTGCATGCAGGGGTAAGGTACGCAGCGAGCTGGTGTGTGCATGCGCATTTGCAGTGGACGTGTGTTTAGGTGGTTGGTTGCGTCTTGTTACCGCTGCTTGAAGGAGATGTACTGTATTGCCGGTAGCTGCAGGAGGAGAGCCCGGGGTGCGGGCGGAAGCTTGGTGCAGCTAGTACGGCAAAGGCTCTCTATAACAGTGCATGCTTGCTGGTGTTATGAAGAGAGAGGTTTGTGTGAGAAGTAAGAGGTAGGCATGAGGTCCGGCGAGTAGAGATGATATTTAATTGTGCGGTAAAACGTCTTGGCTGCGACAAACTCCGGAGAGAGAGGGGCATTCAGCTCCCGCGGTTCGCCGCCTAACGTCAGTTTACGTATATGCGTTGGAGTGCATTGGGGTTCTTAAGAGGTGCTAAGAGTGACGGGGAGGAGTACGAGGCATGCGGCGACCTACTGTAGTGGGGGTCCTGCTGTGGCCCCGACACCGCTTTCCTTGCCAACGGCTGCCCGGTTTTGGTGGTTAAGCGGTTAATAAAGTGCAAGAGCGAACCAGGATACTGCTTCTGGGTGCGCAGTGCGTTCGAGTGGGGCTGTGTTCGCCGCGGATGGGAGTCCTTGGCCACTCAGCGGCCAGGAAACAGTTGGGACATCACACGTCCTCTTCAAGAAGCGCGCCTGAACCACCCTGCTTTACTGAACGACTGTGGCACGATCACCCGGGCCCCTGGAACTGCTCCATGTCGCGAGCCGGCGGGGTGTGCTCGCTGCCTTGCGGCGGTCCTTCTCTCCCAGCAGCAGGCAGGCAGGAGGTATCCCGAAAGCCGCGACAGGGTGGCAACAGCTGCCACGTCCATGCCGTGATTCATGTCGCCCTTCCCCCACCACCGCGCCGCTGACGTGCCGTTCCTGGGAGGACCCAGCGCGAAACAACGCAGCACGGGTGTGCGTCTGAGGCCAAGGCTTAGATCCCTGTCGGATGCGCTAATACCGGTAGGAAAGTGCCACCTTTCCTCTTCGGCAGTCTGCGGCCTCCCTCTCCCCTGCAGTACGGTGTCACGGCCTCGCTCGCCGTTCTCGCCGCAATGGGACGCGTTGCCGTTGCAGAAATGCGGGGCATTTCAGGATACTTTTATGAGTTTTAGATGCTGCAGTGCACGGGCACCGCTTGACTAAGTGCCTGTCCTGGCGCTTCCCCGAAACCAACGGCTTGCCATTTTAGGCCCTGCCATGACCAGCAGGGCTTTCACTGCTTAGGTTCTTTACAATGCCTTACCGCCTTTTATCGTCTCAATCGGTGAGCGGGTGTTACAACACCTTTCCAAGCAAATCGCGAGCGGTTAGGCGAGGTTTCTCCTTGCAAAAGAAGCGCGGCGGTCTAGCGCATTCATCGGCACAGATGGCTTCCTCTGAGGCGCGAAAAGGCGACATGACCTCTGGCAGCGGCCACAATCGCAAGCCTCTACAGAGGTGCGGCGATCAAGTCCCGCTGTTGTTACAACTTACAAGTGCAGTTCGCTAGGCGCATGGTTGGTTGAATCCAGGCGGGAATATTTCGTTAGTTTGCTGGAGCCTCGTGCTGATGTTTAAGGCTTTTAGCCCTACTCGCAACCCAGTACACCGTAGCTCTTTAACGTTTCCTCGAGCAAACCACCACAAGTAACGCACGACTCATGCAGGAACCTGTGTGTCTTGTACGCTGTACATGTAACTGTGTGCAACTGTCTTGCACACAGTAAAGCGGCTTCATGCGCAATTGACCCATGGTTCACTCACAGCCCAGCATGGCTACAACACCTGCACACGCATGCGCTGATGCACACCATCTGACCCAAACAAGAACACCCGTCCCTCCGACACTATTCATCCCCATCCTCCTCCCTCCCTCTCCTCCCATCGCCTCACACTTGGCTCATGATTGTCCTCTGCGACAAGAGCCCTATTCTCTGCCCATCTCCCGCCCTCTCACCTCTCCCTGCTTCTCTTCCATCTTCACGTCCTTGCCGCCTTCCTACCCTCGCAGGATCGTCATCTGCGGCGGTGGCATCATCGGGGCCGCCACAGCCCACTACCTGGCAGCCCGAGGCCTAGCGGAGGCGGTGACGGTGGTGGAACGGGAGGAGCCCGCATGTGCCGCTTCGGGTGGGGTGGGGCCGCCAACCTTGCTAGGGTTTTGGGTATGTACTTTGACGGATTGGGGTGTTGTGCGGAGGGGGGGGGCACGGGCAAGGAAGGGGCCGAGGCAGCAGCCCCACACACCCCCAGGCAGGTTTCCCAGGTACGGCATTGCGCTACTAGCTACCTGCTTGCAAACAGGGCGCTCTCCAGGTTTGGTGTCCCAGCCCTTGATTGACCCTGCTCCCACTGCTAAACCAACTGGCCGCAAAACTGCCGCCTACGGTATCGTCAGCTATCGTGACGTAGGAGTGAAGTTTCCGGGTGCGCATTGTGTGCACGTACCCGCCGCGTCATTACGTTACCCCAACGCTACCGACATACACACTGACAGTATGGCGGCCAATTTTCGTAACACTCTGACAGTTCCGACAGCCTCTGCCCTCCTTACCGCCTGTCGTACATTCCACGAACGGAAATGTATGGTAGTCGTTCCCCCCAACCAGACCCTGAAGCTTCATCGTGCTCCTCAACCTGCGCTTACTATCCGCTGCATGGAACGCCTCCTGCCACTCCGCCCTCCCTGTCAGGCAAAGCGGGCGGCTTCTTGGCTCTGGACTGGAACGACTCCTCCCCTCTGGGCCCCCTCTCGCGGCTCTCATTCGCCCTGCACCAGCAGCTAGCGGCCGAGCTGGGGCAGGAGCAGCTGGGATACCGGGCAGTGCACACCCTGCAGGTGGGTACGGGAGGGGTGACGCGGCGTGTACGGATGTACGGCGCGGGTTGCGGCGGTGAGCTGTACGGCGACGGAAAAATACGTCATCTGCCTGAACCAGAACCTAGTAGGTTTTGGTGGGTGATCAGGATGGCAGGCTGGCTGGCTGCCTTGCTGATACGGTGGGGAGTCGGGAAGTGCCACCGAGAGTCCACCGAGACAGTACACCGGGACTGTACACCGCACGAATGGTCTTGATGAATTGACGTGGACTGCAGGTTGAAGCTTCAGAACGAGGCCGCTCCGGCCGTGGAAGTGGAGGCGCAGGCAGCAACAGCAGCAGCGGTGGTGGCGGTGGCGATGCTAGCGGCAGTAGCCGCCGTAGCAGCAGCAGGGCCCCCCCGGGGGCTCATCTGCTGCCTGACTGGCTGGACGGGAACACCATCACAAATGCCTCGGTGAGGTGGGGAGGCCCTTTCTAGGAAGTGTACGGACGGCGTTTGACCGCACCGACGGTTGCGTTCCCAAGATCCCGGTCCTCGTTTTCACCCTTTAATGGTGTACGGACGGAGGGCTGGGCCTTGCCAGGTTTACGTCTGCCTTGCCACCCTCACCCACCTGCACCCCTACACCGCCTCCCCGCTCAGACCCTGGGATCCCCCGCCACCACCGCCCAAGTGCACCCAGCCCGCCTCACGCAAGCGCTGCTGGACTCCGCGGTGACCCGTGGGTCGGTGCTGCTGCGGGGGACCTGCGTGGAGGGACTGCAGCTGCAGGAGGAGGAGGAGGGGCAGGAGGCGGCGGCGGTGGCGGAGGCAAGAGGGAGGGAGGCGGAGGAGCAAAGGCATGAGATGAGAGTCAGCGGTGGTAGCGGAGGCAGCGTCGGTGGGGAAACCAATCGGCGGGTCACAGGTAGGAGGAAGGGGCAAGGCAGGATTGGGGCGGAGGGTTGGTAAGGCGGACGTGGGTGCTTAGTCGCATCCCAGTCGCCACATTTGGTGCACCTTTGCATGCGTACACCTTACCTTCCACCTCCGGTGCCTCCCGGTTTTCCGTCCGCCCAGGGATAGGTAAACGGATGCTTCCCTGCTATTTTCCATCCTCCTCCTTCGCCCTTCCTCTTGCCAACATCTCCTTCCTTGCCTTCTTCCACATCCTGTACACCCCCGTGACATATCATCAGGGCATCCCCACCAAGCACTCCACAAAGCACCCCACCAAGGCTTCTCCCTTGTGCATAGATGCCCTACAATACCGATCCTGTTCCGTACACTCCTGTTACGTACATGCACACACAAACAGGCGTGCGGCTGCAGGGAGGGCGGGTGCTGCCGGCAGACGTGGTGGTGATTGCGATGGGCCCCTGGTCGGATGCCGTACGGTCTTGGCTGGCTCCGCACACCCCCACCTGGCTGCCGCGCATCACGGGGCATAAGGCCCACAGCGTGGTGCTGAGGCCGCAGCGGCCGCTGAGCAACCATATGCTGTTCACGGGGTTCGAACTGGCGTCAGGTGAGGGAACATGAGGTACATGACACATGAGGGGACGTTGAGAAAGGGAGGAGACGACATTGAGGAGGCAAGGGCGAAGGGTGCTTCCGCCAGGGATGGCTTCGTAGGGAGTAGTTCTGGCGCGATCATCACACGTCCAGTTGGTACCCGGTAGCATGTGCCGTACGTACGGCCCAACCTGTACGACATAAGACATACACCCCCCCAAACCCTAAATCCACCACCCCTCCCTCTCCTCCTTCCCCTCCCAGGTCGTACCCTAGAGCCCGAGGTGTATCCGCGCCCTGATGGCTCTGTGTACGTGTGTGGGGAGGGCCAGCCCGAGGTGCCGCTACCGCCCGCGGCGTCGCAGGTGGGAGGTCAAAGGCCACATACCAAACCATTGGGAACCACACATTAGGGCAAAGCAGGTCGCAGGTGGGAGGGTGTGCCTGACGGTGCCGGCAGGGATAAGGCGTGGCGTGTTTCCGCAGCATCCCTACAGCGGTCCGCAGCCTGCATGGCGAACTGGTTTCAGCTGACGAGAATATAGTCACGAGGAAAGCACGATGCGGCATCCGTGTTGTGTAGGTGTGTGTCCTGTCCTCCTCCTGTCCTGTGTTTTCCTCCCATCCTGGCACGCACCTGTGCGTTCACTGCCTGCCTGCCTCCCTGCCACGCAGGTGCATGTGGACCCCCAGCGGGCGGACTACATCCGGCGAGTGGCAGCCGGCCTGGCCAGCAGTCTGGCGCAGGTGGGGGCGTGGGGTAGGCCTTGGGTAAGGAAGACGGAGGGAAGGAAAGAAGCAAGGGCGCTGGCATGCGGTCTCCCAACCCCACCCCTCCTGCTCCCGTTATCTCCCGTCCCCCACTCCCTGTCGCCGGTGCCCTCACTTCCCTCGCTTGACACTACCTTACTCTTACCCGCCCTCCCCTCCCCTCCCTCCCCTGCCAGGCCCCGGTGGAGACCCAGCAGGCCTGCTACCTGCCCTGCTCGCCCGACAATCTGCCGCTCATAGGGCCCCTGCCGGGCTGCTGCCGGGGGCTGCTGCTGGCTGCAGGTCACGGCTGCTGGGGCATCCTCAACGGACCCGCCACCGGCTGGCTGCTGGCGGAGGTGATTGCGGCGGAGGTGGGGGCGCGGAAGGAGGGTGCGGGTGAAGGAGGAGGTGAGGGAGGTGGTGGAGGTAGGGGAAGTGGAGCAGCAGCAGCAGCAGTAGGTGGAGGAAGAGGGGGGGTGGGGAGTGCGGCGGAGTTGTTGGCGCCGTTTCGTCCAGCGAGGTTTGCCGTGGTGCGGCGGGGGAGGGGCAAGCAGGCGGCTGGCGAGAACGCGTGAGTAGGGTTGCAGAAGGGCGTAGGGTCATGGTAATGGACTTGTAATAGGTATGAGGTAGGTGCCTGGCTTGGAAGCAAGCGTGGCACTCGGGGCACGGCTTGGAAAGCCCTTGCAGTGTGGCCTGATGTGTTGTACGTTGGTATCATCGAGTCGGAAGGGTGGTTGTGTGTTTTAACTGGTGTAACTGGTAGACACTAACGATTGGCGAGCAATCTGCTTTGCTACGAAGTGCTTGTGTGCACGGGCAACACGACTCGGTGCTGCCTTGGAGCTGTGGGGTGCACTGGATGTGGCCGGGTGAGCATGCGGCTATTGACGGTTAGGATGAGGGCTTTGGGCGCTTCCTAACGAGAACTTATGAATTGAGACAAAGGAGTTGCGAAGACATTGACCTTTACAAGGCCCGAGTGCTGCACGTATTCAGAGCTGCACGCCCCGGCAGATATAGTGGCAGTACGTTTAGTCATACTGCAGTGTTCGGAAGACCCGTGGTACATGTACAACAGACGTCAAGACAACAGCGCGAAAATTATTCGCATGGTCCATATCATCTAGTCAGTACCAACAAGACACCCCCGAAGCCGTTCGTACAAGGTCGGCAAGTGTCCTTAGATGCCAGGGACACGCCGCCTAGCTTGCTAGATGCCTAAACGTCGAACTCCTGTCTCAGGTTAGCACAGGTTCGAACCTAGACATGTTGCCTAAGAGGGAGCACCGTAAGGTGCGTAAGAATCAAAGCTACGACGATAGTCGCAGCAAGGTGTAGCACACTTCATCTATACACATTACGATATCGCACACGTTTTGTCAGCGGCGTCGTGTCCAGAGATTAAGAAAATTTAGAACGAAACCCTAGGGGACAACAGATTGGACGCCTCGTCATGTCGACGAATCAATCACGTGTTGTGCCGTAATGCGGCACTGATCACGGCAGCTAGTCTGTTCGCGAAAGCCGTGCGTCCTGGGGCTCCCTAGCTTCCCAACACGACTGGGGCCAGAGGAGACAAGACAAGAGAGACAAGACAAGATCACCAAATAATAGAGGAAAGGGGCCAAAAGGGTGCTCAAGGCCCACACCACACGGCAGTGGTGACGGCGCCGGTTGTCCGTTCCATGGCGCCTCCGTCATGACATGCGCAGGTGACATGGGTACGGTAGATCAGACATGCAACCGTCACTGTCCGGTGCGCTGCTGTGCCTAGGATTGCATCCACACTACAATCAAAGAATAAGAACGTGTCGAGCTGTGAGGTTGCGGGCCATGCTTGTTGCTGCTGCCCACCAAACTACTAGGGTTTGGGTTTGTCCGGCAGCAGACACCCGGGCAGGCAGCGAACACAGCAGCACCCAAGCTCACTGGCTGAAACTATGACAGAGCCAAGCACGGCGTCCTCCCAACATCTATGGCTCCAACGGCTAGAACTACAACTATGTACAACAAACACCAACCCATCCATCCACCTACCAGCCTTCTCAGCACACCCACAGGTCTTCTACCACATACTTTCTCTGTACCTCCAAAGGTTGTGTTTCCTTGCGACTCCGTTGAACTACCTCCTCAGGCAATCCAGACTTCGTCAACGTACCCATGAATCACACTCCAATAGCACAGGTCGGCGATTGCCCTCCTCCGGTTCTCACCCACCCTGCTGCACCGCAACCCTCGCATTCCATCGAAATGCATGCCATCCACCACACAGATGCCCTGCCGCCCGAGGCTTACACCGCCCGCTGCTCACATCACCACACAGCCACAGCCCTGCTCCACCGGCCGCCCCTCGTCCATGCTGCGCCACGCCGTCGCCGCCGCCATCTCCTCTTGCGGGTCCACCGGGCCCTGCTGCTGATCCGCCCCCCTCTTGCTCGGAGTCGCCGACGCAACCGAGGCGTCGCCATCAACATCCAGCGTCACATCCTTCTCCGCCGCGATCGCCTCATCCTGCACCACCGGCTCGACCTCGCGGCTAATGGCTGCGGCAAGGGCGCTGCTCTCCGCTTCCGCTGCTGGGGACGCCGGCGGCGCAGCGGTAGGCGCAGCAGCAGCAGCCACGGCAGGGGAGAGGGCGCGCACGGTGGTGGATTTGGGCTTGGCGGGAGTGACAGCGGCATCGCGACTGGAGGCGGGAGTCTTGGCGTCGCGCTGCACGCAGCAGTCGTTGTCGCCGTCATGGTGGCGGTTGCTGCTGCTGTTGTCCTTGGCCTTATCCTTGGAGGAGGCGGCCGCGTTGGAGCGCTTGGGGGTTGTGGTGGCAGACGTCCCCTTGGATCTAATGGCAGGGAGGTGCGGCGAGGGCGGGTGATGCTGCGGCCGCCGGGGAGAGGCGGTGATGGAAGCAGCAGGTGCGGATGCGGCAGCAGGACCGGAGGTGGACTTGCAGGCTGCGGACGGCGCGTGCACGGCATCGCCATCGCTGGGGTTGGTGGCGATGGCGGCAGCAGGAATGGCGGCGTCCTCAGGAGCTCCGCCGCCGCTGACGGTGGGGGTGGTTGAGGGCCGGACGAAGATGGCAGCCATCTTGGCCGGGCTCTTGGCAGGGCTCTTGCCTGATGACAATGTCAGCTGATCAGGCTGCTGGCCCTGGTCTTGCTCATGTTGCTGCGGTTGGGAAGCCGGGGTGCTGGCGTGGGTGTCGCGTGAGGACTTGGGAGCTGCCTCCATGGACTGCTGAGACTGTTGCCGCTGCTGCTGCTGCTTGATCTTGTTAGCGGCTTTGCCAGCGGCCGCAGTACGTCCGGCCTTGAAGGCGCGGGACTTGTCAGCTGCTGTGGAAGCACCAGCAGCAGCAGCACCAGTAAGCTCGGAGGCGGTAACACCAGCTAGCTGCAGGCGGGCTGCAGCCGACTTGGTTGGTTGCATGTGGTGGGGAACGTGTTGCTGTCGGCTGGAAAGCGGGCGAGGAGACATGCCGGTGTCCGGAGCAGCGCGCATCCGAGCAGTGGTGGATTCGTCGCCGGTAGTTGTGGCTGTTGCCTTGGTCGTGGCGGTGCTGCGGCGGGCGGTGATCGCAGGAATGCTTGCACTTGGAGACATGGCAGTGGAGGTTGCGTGCGATTTGAGTCCAGCGCCGGTGCCTGGAGTGCTGCTGTCGGGCGTGGCCTTGTTGATTGAGCGCCTGCCGCTTGAAGCGGGCATACGGCGACTTGAGAGCGGTTTCTTCTCGTAGATTTCGCGCTGGGAGTAAGGTGCAAGTGGACGTTTGGGCCTGGCCGAGCGGCTTTCTTGTTGTGCCTCAGCAGCATCAGTCTCAGGGCCGAATGTGGGCTGCTCCATTGGCTGGGTTGGCGTCAGCGGCAGAACGTCGGTCTCGTCCTCCACCCAATCTGGTAGCTGACCGTTAAGCTGCAGCATTTCTGGTGCGAGGTCGGCTGCTGCGAAAGCCATGGATACCTGCGTAGGGAGAAAATAGGTGTCTGCAGTCAAGGTCGAGCATTCTGAACATTAAATCTTAATAATTCAGGAATGCGGGCAAAAGTTCAAGCAAACGCTATCGCCTTGCTAGCTATAATGGCTTGCAGTGAGGCCGGCAAGCCCGCTACAGCCCATAATAACATACACCGATTTATAGTCGATGGGATGATAAGCAAACTGCCTGACTATGACGAAGATCACATACCTGCCGCTTGCAATATGGCTTATAGGCTTGGCTGGAACCGGTCAACGCGAGGCCCCTCGGTAACTTAAGACTGATCCTATCCAAAGTGTGCGTATGCAGCTCTACAAGATGTTAGTGAACTCAAATCCGCTGAAAATATGTATTGCTTTTACGCTGCCTTGTCCTCAATAAACACTCATGGTGATGTACGGCATACGGGACAATGCTTGTTTCTCTGCTTTCTGCGAACAGTATTACGCGTAGATCATGTTTTGCTGGCCAGCATGATTTGGGTAGACTCCTCGTCTGGGGGGCATATTGGTTATGCAGAATAGCTAACTTCGGAGCGGATCCATGCATATGCAGCTTTCGCATATCGTGCGCAAGCACTCTTACGGCCACTGGTATGCAAGTGCATTTTAAAAGCGTAAATATAGAGCTTGAACGTCAGGCTTCCCTATAATCTACTGGGAAAGAGCGTGAAGGCGGGAAGCGAAAATTGCCATGCCATCCACCGAGCTCTCACAGCACGTAGTTCAAACAGGCACAGTGCCTTGGACTCCGGTACTTGTCGCTGGTCTCGTATCTGGCGCAGTCGCGGGCGCGGCTGTGGCATGCGTCTTTCTCCGACCATCTCGCGCCCATGGCCCATCGTCTGCCGGCCACAAAGAACGGCCTAAGTCCTCTCTCATGGTGCTTAGTCAGCAGGAGGCACAATCAGAAGGATGCCTTGAAGCGCTAGGCGAGGTGCATGCCGGGCAAATGCCATTTCCCTGCACAGCTGCAGACGCTGTCGTCACGGTAGCTGCAACACCACACAAAACACGGGACATGAAAACCAAGTCGTTGGAAGCCGACTTTGCGGCGCTATCCGGCCTTCACCAGGTGCAAGCCACTCCAATGCCTGTCGGACATGGCCCCAGCACAGCAGCGCTGGACGACCTGAAGTCACCGCTGCAAGCCCTGGGACGGAGGGACCCCACGGACCCCGCACCGCGAGGAGGGTAAGCGCAACCAACCAGGCTTCAAGCGCGCACGTGCTCTGGACCCTCTCTCCATCTTTCGAATGCTCCTGCGCTCCACCCTTCACCCCGCTTCTACTCGCAATGCTGCTTGGCCCCTTTCCTGCTGAATATCTCTCTTTCGGCATCCCAATCCAGTGCCTTCAACCCCTGAACCCTCACCCCCTCCTTGCCCGACCTCCTCCCCTCTCACCCCAGGAGCCTAAGCTGGGACGACTATTTCATGGCCCTGGCGTTCCTGTCCGCTGAGAGGTCCAAGGACCCCAACAAGCAGGCGAGCGGGAAGGGGGAGGAGTGGGAGGGGAAGGTGGTGGCGGCCAGCAACCGCGAGGAAGCGGGGCACACAGGGCCACAGCTCGTAGCCAGTCGTAGCCGGACATCGGGCCAGTACCCACGAAAGAGAGGAGGCGACGGTGCAGGGCCTGGTCGGAAGGGGAACTGCGGCCACATTTAGACAGGCCGCCCGCAAAAGCAGAGTCTTTAAGAGGCGATGGACGTCAAGGTCCTTACCTGTCGTACTACGCCCCGCCCCGCCCCACCACCCCACGTGTTACCTCGTGTGCATATGCCTGGCTGTCATTGCTTGGCTGCGCAGGTGGGGGCGGTGATCGTCAACTGTGACAATGTCATCCTGGGTATCGGCTACAATGGCTTCCCACGCGGCTGCTGCGACCGGCAGCTGCCCTGGGCCAAGGTGAGGGCTGGGGGGCGGGAAGCAGGTGAGGACTAGCTGGGTTCGAGATATGAGGCATGCCGATGATAGCAGTGATGGAAACACAGATGGCCAAGGCTAGGGATACGCCTTTGCATGATGAACGTGTGTGTTAAGAAAGCTGGCCGCAGTGTGTTAAACCTCCTCCCGCCCGCTCCTCCCCCTACCGCTCGGCTTCCCACTCCATCTCATTACCCCTACCTCCATCCCGCTACCTTCCATTACCTGTTTACCTCCCTTGTCCTCCCCGCTGTCTTCCCCTCTCCCTCCCAGGTCGCGGTGGACTCCCGCGGCCTGCCCGCCCCCCTGGGCACCAAGTACCCCTACGTGGTGCACGCGGAGGCCAATGCGCTGCTCAATAAGAACGCGGCAAGCGTGTCAGGAGCGGTGAGAGGGGGAGTGGGGCTATACCGGTAGAGTCGGGTGCGGCAGGAGGGAAGGTGAAGAGATGCGGGCGCGTTCCTCCCAAATCTTTTCGCCTTCACACGATGTCTCTGTCATGTGTTCTCATGTCTTTCACAGCCTCAGGATGCCGTACACCTGATGACGCATATCCCGACCAAGTCGCACGCACAACCCCTGTTGCTGCCGCTGCCCCCTCCTCCACTGCCGCTGCCCTGCTCCCTCCTCTGCCGCTGCCCCCTCTTCTGCCTCTGGCCCCCGCCCCTCCTCTGCCGTACAGCGCATCTACGTGACCATGTTCCCATGCAACGAGTGCGCCAAGCTGCTCATCCAAGCGGGGATCCGGGAGGTGGTGTACCATGAGGTCAGGAGCTGGGGGTGACGGGTTGAAGGGGAAGGGGGGACGATGCAAGCTGTAAGTTAGGGGACGGCGATGGGCAGGACGAGCGTGAGCGTAGGCTGTCTCCACGAACCCCGCTCTCCTTGGCTCCAGCTGCTGTCCTTGCTCGGCCCCCGCCCCGCTCCACTCCCAACCCATAGGACAAGGTGGCTCACCTGACGGAGGGGAAGACCGCCGCTGCGGGCACGGCACGCCCAGCCACCGCTGCCGCCGCCACCAGCACCACCCGCGCTGCTCCTGCTGCTCCGGCTCCCACTTCTAATCCTCCCGCCATCTGTCCTGCCAGCGTTGTTGCACCTGGACATGCTACTGCTTCCGCCGCTGCTTCCGCCATCTCCGCCTCCTCCGCCGGCAGCCTCCCAGCAGGCAGGTCCGCCACTGCTGCGCCCCATGTCGCCGCCGCTGCCGCTGGAGGCAGCCTCACCCCGGGCAGATCTGCTCCCCCCGGGAGCAGCGGCAGCCGGCTGCTGTTCACCTCCTCGGCAACCCGACGCAGCCGCTCCCTGTCCTCAGCGGCGACGGGCGCTTCCTCCTCCTGGGGCCCCAGCAGCGCCCTGGCAGCGGCGGCATCGGTGCCGCTGGCGGCAGCGGGCTCCGCGTCGTCTTCGTCCTCCCGTGGCGGAGCTGTGTATCGGGAGCAGCAGCAGAAGCGGCAGCAGCACTCGTACAGCAAACAGCAGCAGCAACGCCAGCTGGAAGGAGAGAGGCGGAGGTCGCCGCTTTCGCCCAGCGGCGGTGGCAAGGGCGGAAACGCCGCCGAAGGCGCCATTGCCCCTACGGCCGCCGCCGCCGCGGTCACCGCAAACGCCGTACAACCAACACAGCCACAACCCCACTCCATGGTGACTCCCTGCTCCCCTCTGCCAGTGGAGGACACATGCGGTGAGGTGGAAGACCAGAGCAGCGGTTGTGATGTTACCCTAAGAGGCGGCGACGGCGCCGTGAACGGCT